ACCTCCAGTTCAGCTAGCCTCCCTTAGCCCCGTCCCTAGCTAATCAAACTAAACAATAGCGATCGGTAAACGGTGTCTTTCATCCATGCTTTGATCTGATCCCGATCCTTCGATCCTCCGGCGTCCCCGTCAAAGAAGTCAAGCCTAGAACCCACCCGGATCTCGATCGTCGCCTAATATTTCTTCAGCCTGGGAGCCAAATTGTCAATCTGGAAAGTTCTTAACTGTAACCGGCAACCCGGGACGACGGGGCCCTGACAGCAAGTCTAGTCTGGCCTCGCCGCCTCGCCTGGACCACTTGGACACTGACGGACTTTTCCATCGGAAATGAAAGGCAGACCCTGCGCCTGTGTTAGCCTGTAACTGTTAGGCAACTTAGGCTCTGATCTCCATGCTGTGGGACTGAGCCTGTACCTGATGTGTCCTAGTGTCCCCACCATACACTTGCATCGACTAAGTTAGTTAAATCTGTATGTAGGTCACTTTCTCTCTTTCCGACGATTAATTTGCTTTCGCGAACTGCATGGCCGAGGCTATTCGAGCGGAGATTTCAATCCGAACTGTCCGAATGCAATAGCCTTGTCCATCACTTGATAGCCCACTGTCGGGGATTCTTTTCCCTAGTCTAATCTGTTACTGATACAGTGATACTGGCCCGCTGGCGAATCAACCATGTGTTCGTTGTTTGCTACCAGCGCCATGCATACATATCATATGCAGGGGCTCGGGGTACCGGTACTTTGGGGGTTCGCATTGATGTTGTGAACACGAATATGCACTCCCACAGACTCGAGGGAAACTCTGGATAATTCATCCAGCATTGCAGTGAAGGTGAAGACTGAGAAGTCTGAGATCTTGTCTCAGGTTTGCGAACATAGACTCCGTATACTTACTTCTGTGGGGTTTGAGGATGACTGTTGGGCGTTGATCAGCATTCTGGAACAATTCCTGAGACAGCGCTAGAGTTGGGCTCCCAGATCGGGGGGCTTGACGATGTCCTGTGTCTACCTACTCGCTGCTAGTGACTTTAGCGGTATAGCACACAGTGTGCAAACTAATGGTGGTGCTTCAATGCAGATCATCTCTTTACTGAATAGCACTCCATAGCAACGACCCCTCAATATGACACGACCAACGCGGAAAAGCCCAGCAAACATTCGCCTATCCGTATCCCGTCCGTCTTCCCTTTTCTCTAAGCATACGGATACATACCCCAAGCTACTGGCATTGAACTGGAGGCCATCAATGGATTCTCCACAGGACAACCACTCTACGTGACGAACTTTTGCGAACCCGGCCATTCCCCTCAGATACCTCGTAAGCTCCGTATGCTACTCAACCGTGCCAACGGACCATATGTACGTCCACGAGAATTGAACTCGCAGGAAGCCTCAGTCGAACTGGTGTTCATGACATCTCCAATGCCATCTAGATTCTTCGGTGCCATGCATATGCACGGCGTACTCCGCTCCGATTTACGACCCAGGGGGATGGATGTGTCATGCCCATGGCCCATGGCAAGCAGGGATAGTGCATGCCCACGAGATTGTTGGTTGCGCCACCATGCTTCAGCACGCAGGCCATAAGCGACGCTTTAGGCTCCAGGGCTAACATTCGGAAGCTCGGAAATGAAAAATAGTCGAGGATCATAGTGCATCATTGTTGTATTGTCGCTGCTTACATGTCATGTTGCTGTGCCCGTTGATAGTCGTGAGATCGTTGGGATTGGATTCCTGTGAGCATCTTCGGCACATGGTTCGGTACCTAGGTAGGGGCTCGCTGTTGCCGGCATTTTGTTGTTTTTCGACTGTCAATGCCATATGGTTTGACGGGGATATAGGTGGGTGGTGCAGAGGGCACCGACTTCCGGGCCATGGATGAACTAGAGTACTTCAGAATGAAAATAAATACCTGTCTAGCTAGTCATAATCGAACACTATCATGTACATCAACATCACAGAGCACCAAGCTCCTTCAGCTTGGAGATCAAGCCGTCGACATCCTCGACCTTGCCGCCACCCTGGCGAGCAGGAGGCTCTGTAACAAGTCAGTATTCGGACCATACCTAATCAAAGGCGCGTGAAACTCACCCGTAACCTTCAAAGTCTTCAACCGCCTCTTGTCCTCTACACCAAGATCCGCCAGCGTCTTTTTCTCCAGAGGCTTCTTCTTCGCCTTCATGATGTTCGGCAGACTCGCGTACCGCGGCTCGTTCAGTCGCAGATCAGTCGTGATAATCATCGGCAGCTTCGCCTTGAGCGTCTCAACACCACCGTCAACCTCGTGCGTTACCTCAACAGTCCCCGCCTCGTCCTTGATCTCCACCTTGCTCGCCTGCGTCGCCTGCGGCCAGCCCAGAAGTCCTGCAAGCATCTGACCCGTCTGTCCCTGGTCTCCGTCAATGGCCTGCTTTCCGAGCAGCACCAAGTTGATGTTCTCCTTCTCGACAACAGCGCGCAGTGTCTTGGCGACAGTCAAGGGTTCCAGGCCGCCGTCGTTGCTGTCGGGGACGTCGATGTGGAACGCGCGGTCGGCGCCCATGGCCATCGCTGTGCGGAGGGTGTCGGCGCATTTCGGGCCACCGGCAGAGAGGGCAAGGATGTTTTCGACCTTCAGGGGACCCTTGCGCTCACGGAGGCGGACGGCTTCTTCGACGGAGAGTTCATCGAAGGGATTGAGCGAGTGCTTGACGCCGGCGGTTTCAACGCCGGTTTGTGTCTTATTGATTCGGGGTTTGATCTGTTTGAGTTAGTAGACGACTTGCAGATTAGTTGTCACAACAAGAAGAAGCCCTTGAAGTGCCAATGCACCACACATCTCGACGACCGCAGACAACAATTCGGGGACGGAAACTGCGCCGAGAACGGAGCTCCAAAGGCAAAACTCACAGCATAGTCGATCACCCGCTTGACGGGGACGAGAATCCGCAATCCGCTGGCCATGGTGAATATGTACTGTAAGAGATCCTCACGCGAAATGATATCTAGCAATCGACTCCTGAACTCCGTGCGGGGACTGTAGGTCTTGAAGGAGAATGGATCGGACAGTGGACGGTGACCTCGGACGGTGACCGGCAGAAACAGTCAGCGGCCCGCCCGAGTCAACTCTCCGCCCTCAGGTGCACTCGTTCGCTTCCAAGGTTGTCCCGCAGCCGAGGTTATGCAGGTGGGAGCCTTCACCAGCCGCAAATAGCCGTCTCGCCAGTGACATGCCAATGCATGTTGATTGCTGTATTTCATTCCTGCTATGAGACAAGATGACTGCACTATTATTCTATTATTCTATCTAGATCTTCACGCGACCGGCTTTTTGGGTATATGCAGGTGCCAGCCTACTATCTATCTATAAAGGAACCTTCTATCTACCACGTTTCTTGTTTATATCTCGCTGTCTTTTCCATCCCGACCAGATAATCTTCAGCTTCTCGCCGGCTGAACCGTTGTGTTCCAGCCTCGTTCCCGAACTGGAATGCCTCTGTCAAAGCCTCCCTGACAGCTTGTGGCATTCGTCCGGAAGAGCCACAAACAAACACGGCGCCGCCCTTGTCGTGCAGGAGGTTGAAGACCAGGCTCGAGTTCTCCCGGATGACGTCTTGCACATAAACCTTCTGCTTCTGGTCCCTTGAAAATGCCGTCAGGACTTTGAGTTTGATCAGGTCACTCAGTTGCTGCCACTCGTCTTTAAAAAAGAAGTCTGCGGCCCGGTTACGACCACCGTAGACGAGGATAGTGGGCTCGATTGGCGGATCCACGCCCGGGTTCTCTTCTTGATAGGACTTGACTATAGCAGCCTTCTCCCAGAGCATGGACCGTAAAGGCGCAACACCCGTGCCGGGCCCGATCAGCATCGTTGGTCCAACTAGTTGGCCGACAGACGAGTTGAGGCCGCCTCGTTGCAGCTGGACTCGGAGGGTGCTCCCAGGTCGGAGGTTTGAAATGTATTTCGTGCAGACACCCTCTCTTATCTTCTTGATCACGGTTCGGTACTTGACGATGGCGATCAAGAGCTCGAACCTTGCACCACCATCTGGCGTTCGCTTCAGCTCTCCGCCACTGGCAATGCTGAATTGCCTTCCTCGGAAGATGGGGAAAGCCGATGTTGCATGCTGCCACGGGATCTTGACGGTATCAAATTCGTGCAGGATCTCGAGAATGCTACGCCTGGGGCGTGTGGTGTAGTCCCAGAACTCGTCAAGATATTCTGGATTGGTGAACTCCAGAAGTCGCTCCTTGTGCATCTCATATGTTGTATAGTGTGCTATAGCTCCGAAGAATGACCGGCGAGGGATTGCTCTGATATCTAGATAGTTTATCAGTAGCTCTCGCAGAGTCAATCTGGAGTGAGATTCAAGGTTGTGGATTGGCGGAGTTGGTAATTCGTTCGTGGATCGAGTGCTATCCCTAGGGACTAGAGAGACAAGCTGGTCCGCTTGCTCCTGCCAACCCATCATCTCAATGAGACTCTGGACATCCTCAGGGGTGTTCTTTGGTGTGATGGCTATCACGTCTCCTGGAGCATATGAAACCGGGTCGGGAACCGTCAAAACCAAATGTCGCACGTCCTGCCAGTGTGTCTCCGGGGTCACACGTTCGTTCCGAGCAAGCGATGCTGTTAGGCTATTTTGGAGGGGCCGGTGATCATTGTCGAGGCGATATGTGTCCGGAAAGTCTCCGGGTACTGCTGCATTGCCCCCATTGTGGGAACTAGCTTCTTCCAAGGTCTCTAATTCCTCGTTTCGTAATTTCAGAACCCATTTTGGCGGCAATTGGACGTCGTCCGGTATCGGATCCTGCCCTTCAGGAAGGGGGTACTTCTCTAGCAAGTGCTTCCGGAACCCGGTCAGCCATGGAATAAATGTGCCCTCCAAGCTATAACCATATTAGCGCATGGCTCTGGAGTGGAGTGAAGTGCATACCCCTCAGGGTGTTGATGGTCCGCCTCTCCACCGGGGTGTATCTCCTCCGCGCCGAGCTGTAGTAACCTCTTATACAATTTCCGTGCAGCCCAATTGAACTTCGGATACGAGCTATCGCCCAGCCCAAACCATGTAAAGTTCACTCCGCTCAAGAAAGTCGGCGGTAGCTTTTTCAGAAGCAGCGATCTCCAGAATGTCCGGGCATTGGCCGGTAAATCTCCCTGGCCGGTCGTTGAGACGGCGAAGACGACAATCGTATACGATTTTAACGCTTCCTGAAGCAAGGCCGACGGGCATTAGCGTAGTTCGTATTGGACTACTGAGGTGAAAGGACAAACCGGCTTAACATGATTCAGTTCAGAAACCTGGGTCGTAAAATACAGACGCTCGGCTAAAGCGCCCACCTCGTCGGCGACATCCTGCGCATTGCCTGTTTCGGAGCCGTAGAGGACGAGAGCGGAGCGTCCTTGTGAGCCTGTGTCTGGACTCCCGCTCATTCTGGTTTGAGTTCCGGCTGCAAAGAAGCAGAAACCGAATAGAGTTGTTGTGCCTCGTGATCAAACTGAGTGTCTTGACTCTTGAGTTAAATTTGGTGCACTGCGGGGAAGACTCCGCTGATCGGAATGATATCATCCGTAGATCTGATATGCTTTTGATAAGGATTGTTTCAAGAAAAGGCATCTCTGTAAAGGCGTAAGATAGATAAATTTAGGCATTGATATAAATGTAAAGGTACTTTCGCAAGGCTGGCTTCAGAACTGCTGATCTCTGACCTGAGGGCCATTGCTGAAGCTCTTGCATCTAGCGATTATCATTCACGGCACAGGCTACATTCGGCCGGATTGTTTCAGCACATACTCCAGAGAGTTGATAGTGACGTCCGTGATTGTAAAGTAGCGTAGAGGAAGATGCGAGGCAGCGAGATTGAATATATTGGGTGTTTGCTTGCGAATGGCAGCGAAACCATGCCGATCTCTAAATAAAAGCGGCAGCGCATCGGGCCGAATTCGGAAAGAAGCTTCAAGCCCGAGCGGAGGTCGGGGTAGCAGAGCACCGGAGCACTCTACAACTAACCTTACTCCTCATTCCAAACCTATCCTCAACAAACACAACAATGCGCCAACGAATAACCTACATCCAGAAACCTTCCGCCCCCTTCCACCCCTCGCAAACAACACTCACCCACGACGCCCTATCCGTCGAATCTCTCGACGCAGCCCGCGAGGAACGCGTGACGTTTAGCTTTGACGAGCTGCCTAGTGAGGTGCGCAGCATACCATACCTCTGTTACTCCGTCGGGGTCATACCGTTGAGTCGGCTATTCCTTGGGTTGTGAGCTAATGTGCGGAATGTACACAGCTCTGGCAGGTCCTCCGGCAATGTCACCAGCTTCATATCCGGTGGGCGAGCGAGAAGGTGTATGAGGCTGTTTCGCCATTCTCGAGTCGAATAAGCCCTGGGTTACATGTTTTCTACTCGCCGGTTGATGCTGGGAAAGCGAAGGGGGATAACGAGGGGAGGTGAGTGGGTTTCAGTTGGTTGGGACGGCGCAGAGCATACAACATGCTAATGCGATCTGGGCAGAGAGCCAGTGTGCACCTTACTGAAGAAGGTATTCGATGATGGGTTGCGATGTGAGAGTCCTGAGGTATGTATTGCTTGCTGGGCAACTGCCTGATAAATACTGACGCTATCTATGTCCAGGAATCATTTATCACGCCTCCCATTCTGTCTACGCGCTTCGCTTCGACGGCGGGGTACCAATTCCATCAATTATTACCGTCTCCCGAGAACCTGGTCACATACATTCAGCACAAGTTTTGTCCGATGGATGATGATAAATGTCGGCAACGGGCGGCGTCGATACTGTCTGCCGATGCTGTGGATATCAACTATGATAGTATATCGCATGCGCTTACAATGAGCGGGTATTGGTCAGAAGCTCCAGGCGGACAAGGATGGACGGAGATAATTGGGAAGCATGAGGGCGGGACAGATAAAGTGGAGGTTGGACTTTTGGGGGCCGAGCAGGCGAGCGAGCCGGAAGAGATAAAGATGGGTGGGCTGTTGGCCGTTGTTGGGCAGGATGAGGAATTGAGTATGTTCTCAATATCCCCACGAAGTGTGTGTGACTGATCCGTTGTTAGAACCTACGTTGTTCTCGTTCCCGTCGCGACACCATCCGCTCCCTGAAGATGCAGTGTACTCGGTCTCATTCCCGACTCCGACCGGTATGCATCCTACCATGACCATTTCAATCTCTCGGGAAGCGCTCAATGAGCCCCCGGGACGCCCGGATGCGACCTGCGCACTGCATGCCTACCTCACCCTGCCGTCCACACTATTTGGCGACAAATACCAACTTTCGACCACCGACCCATTGTTTCTCAAATCTCACAACCTCGCTGCTCTGCGGGCAGTGGCGGGGGAGACGGATCTCGAAGCGCCAGACTGGTTTGTATCTCGCTGGGGTTCGAACTGGTTACTTGAACTAGCGAGTCCGTCGGAATCAAACCAGGTTGCGGAAGTCTGGAACGTCACAGTCCCCCTACACCTGCGATATCTGCCTCCGTCGGAATCAGGGTATCGCACCGCATCAGTACCCTGGCCTGTCGTCTTCTGGGCATGTACCGCAGAAGACGGCACGAAAATGGGAATGAACCCCTTTGATCGGGTGAATCTGGGATGGGAGGGACTGTTCGGCCCTCGGACCATGTTCTACCAACTACACCCTTCGCCTACTCGTGAAAATGGTGTTCTTATGGAAGGATTGGAGGTCCCCGTTCTCACGCTCAAGGAGAATGGCGGTGTTTTCGGAGGCCGGGCCATAGAACTAGGCACGGTTGCTGTCATTTCCCTTGGCTTTTTGTGGGTGTTATGGAGATTGGGCTTGGTGGCGCGGTCATCCGGGATCAGAGCCCAGCAGAAAAGAGACGCTGACAAGCGGAATAAAGCTGAGTAGGAGCCCTCATGCTTTGGCATGCCGTAATTTGAGCGTTCGGTGCTCGGTGTAATACCCTAGAATCATGATAGACAGCATAGCATGTGCCACTCAGAGATAAGGTACCCGGCAGTGAATATTTTGGGATTTCAAGAAGAAGTGGAGGTTAAGGCTGCCGGTTGTGCAGCGTCATACCGGCTCCATATCAAAATCCCGTAGACTGGGTATATCAACCAAAATGTCGCTCAGCCAGGAAAAACCAGGGTAATCCATAAGGGTGTGATCCGACTGCACCGCAGACTCTCGGATCGGCGTGTCTGTGGGAACAGATACAGACGGATTCAACTGCAAGACGTCCCTAAGCATCTGGATATCTTCCTCTTTTCGTCGCTGGTGCATCACAATCATCAGGTAAGCCGTGGTGTAGGCCTCGCGCATGACCTCTGTGTCATAAGCAGAGGCAACCTCGTGTAGCGCATGCATGGAATCACGCAGCATCGCCAGGGAGGCACGATTGTCGATAGCCAGTAATGTGCATACAACTTGGAAGGGTACATTCGCGATCTGGTGCCAAGGCGAGTTTACTGCAACAAGCTCGGAGACGGCTTTTAGGCCCTTGCCAGAAAGCGCTAGGACACGGTCAAGAAGATCTCCGGTGATGATGGAGTTAAGGGCGCGCAGGCGGCGGTATATGCAGAGCATTAGGTTGCATTGGACGAGGATGAGATGAGGCTGGGTGTAGATAATGTCAAGGACATCGGTTAGTGCGATTTCGAGATTCGAGACGTCCTGTGCTTCGTTTGGGTCCAAACTCTCGGAGACCGGGAGGAGGTTGAAGATGTCTGTTGTTGTTGCTGGGTCGGCCGTGAAGCCAGGGGTCGAGCCAAGTTGCCGTGGACTTGGTGGGAGAGAGGTTGCGCCTTGCAGGACGACGCGAGAGCGGCCGAGTTCAAAGGATATCCAGACGTTGAGATGACGGGCCATTGCGAAGAGGCGTCGGCGGGTTTCTGGGTTGCAGGATTCAGTTGTTGACGCTATATCAAGCGCTGTGTTGGATGAGGGCTCAATGTGCATGCCCGTTGCTTCGATGAGGTGCATGAGAGAGCAGCTTGCCATCCAGGCAGCATGGGCCGTAGCCGTCATGCGAAGATAGGCGACTCGTAACACCCAGCCCGTCACAGTTTCAACTGGAGAAAGTGGTTCAGACTGTAAGCTCTGCTCAAGGATCGACCGAGCAGACTCAATGAGCTGCAGTTCCATCGGCGTAGCTCGTCGGCGGGAGAATAAGCACCCAAAGGCTGCAACGCCACAGAGTACCGTATCATAAGGTCCGAAGCCCAGAGACTCGGAGGAGGCCGGCAGCCATCGCCTGCTTATTTGACGCAACAATGTCTCTCGATCGATAAAGGGATAACAGGGATCCACCCTCTCGAAGAAGATGTTAGCCAGGGATCGCATCTCGTCCTGGTTGATGATCTCCACCACGGGTCGTGACTTGACAGATGCCAGCGCCTGCGCCCACTCGGGGGTTGGATATCGCGCTCCAACGTTCCAGCCAAACAAATGCAGTTTTGGAGCGCCAGCCACGTCGTTCTTTGGATTGAGGCGTCTAGCGAACGCTGCGCCCGAATTCGCCTCGAGAGCTTTCAACAGGAGTCCGGCCAAAGCGGCCGGGTTTGTTTGTTGTTCTTGTTGCTGCCTTTTTGCCGCGAGATCATTCTGTACTGTTGCTGGGCTCAGCAGTGAGCTCCCCATTGACTGCGAGTGGAAGTGCCGAATGTCTTTCTTCTTGCGCGAGAGCAAGTCATAGTGACAAACGCTACCTGACTGCACACAGGTAGTGCAAGGCGATTCCCCTGAGCATTTGCGTTTTCTTGCCTGGCATGATTTACATGCCACTCTTGATCGTTTCCTACTCTGGTCTGCCATGGTCGGCGACTCTTCTCTCCGAACCGTGAGGTTAGGGCAGAATAATATAAAAGAAATGCACGATGGATGGAAAGTGGTCTTAGCACGTCACGTGTGGAGGTCCATCTACCCAATCAGGAAGGCGCTGCCGAGGCCGGGCGGCTCCCCATCTTATTATCAACTTGAACATGTCCCTTTCTGCTTCAATTGATATCTTCTAGATTTATCTCTGATCACGTCGAGCCTAATCTTACACCCACTATTTGGCCTTCCAATCTACAGGTCATCATACCGCCGCCCATCGGGACGATGCATCAGCTTTTTCAACTCATCCAAGTCCGGCATCCCAGCAGGTCCAGGCATATATTGCGGATTATCCCGATATGAGGTCCCGTTTGTCCACAGCTCATTCCTTCTCAGGGCGTCGGTGACTGAGCCTTGATCGATATATGTCCTAGCCTCCACCATTTGTCCCTCGTGCCATCGCGTCACCCAAACATTGACCACGTCAAAGGTGTCACCTGGCCAGGATCAGCATCAGCTTATGGAAACGCTTACACTGGTGGCCTGGTACCTGTATTGAGCAGTCCTTTGAACTGGATTTCCTGGACTGACCACCGGCTATTGCATCCACCATGAATCGCCTGTGGGTGAACTTCGAACTTCTCCGCATGCTCCGAGAAGCATACCGAGACTCTTCGGAGCGCATTGACATAAAAATGGAGCAGGTCGTGATAATGGCCCGCAACCGGGTGGTGGCCCATGACGTGGAAGTCGACGTCCTTGTGGACGTACGTGAAGAGCTTGCCCATGTCCTTTTCGAGCACTTTGAACACATCGTATATGTACATCTGACTCACGTATTTGCAGTCGGTGGAAGGGTTCTCGAACCGAAACCCTTCCCTTTTGGGATCTGGAGGGTTGTCGACAACTCCGTCACCATTACATCGACCATCTGGGTCGACTATTCCCGAGCCGTCGCAACCAGGGCCTTCAAGGGGCTCTTGGGCTTGTATGGAGGGTTGGTAGCTTGTCCAGAATGGTAAGACGGCGTAGCTGAGGGTGCTGATAAAGGCAACGCAGGCCAAGGTAGCCTGCAACTGATATTTCCAGATCATTGGTGTCAATCCGGACCAAAGACGTAACTACCATGAAAAAGGAGGTCTTTGTGAAAGATTGTACCAGGTTGGTTCATTATATGCATGGTCTTTGGTGCTCCCAGCTTCAAGGAATATCCCGACAGCATTGTGCGACTGAAAAATATGTTTGACCAACCAAAACACCCCGAAGCCGTAGAAAAGAACCGAGAGGCAACGAGCTTCGTTCCTCTATTCGAGCATCCTAGTCATCTCAGTTGTAGTAGAATAAGTGAAATAACATGCGGACTGGAGTAGACCGGCTGTGATGTCACAATTAACGGTCTCCCGCACGCAGAGTATATTATGAAAAGGATCGCTCGACGTCTCCGGTTCTTCAGAGTGGGAAAAAAGCCCTTTGCTGCGACATCGTCTCAGTAACCACCCCGTCATTGATAGCTTGATGCTATTCTTATTCGGATCTGAACAAAGGCATCCCGAGTCCCGACGACCGGTTCCAACAAAGCGATCGCAAGAAACTATTTGCAGGGCTCCGATAACGCTTTGATAGAAGGGCCAATCCAGCGCCTGTGATTTGTGGACGCAGCAGCCGGTCCCCACCACGAGGAGTCGGTGTAGTCATTCAGTGGCCCACAACCCAGAGCCGGCCCGACTGGAAAATCCTTTTAAGCCACGCCCCTCCAGATCTTGACCATCTTCTTCCCCAAATCTCGAGAACCACCACGCACAGTCGAAACCCCATGTCCTTCTAAACAACATCCACTCAAATCACCTTTCATATCAGTTTATAACTGGTAGCAAAAAAATCGCGTTCATGCCAGCGGCACCTTCCACCTTCACATCTCAGGTATGCTCGTGACTCCTTTCCCTGACGGACTCCGGCAGGTTCAATTCTCTACGAGAGGAATTGTGCTAATGTCTCCCAGGATTACATCTCGGATCACCTCTGGAAAGCCTCCGGAAACTTCTGAAAGCCCTTGCCCAACCGTCGATAACTACTTACGAAACCTCCCAATATTCTTAAAATGATGTTCAGCCGACTCTTCAAGGCGGTCCCCGCCAGGGCTCCAGCCTTCTCCTCCCCCTTGCCTATCTACCAGGCCCGCACCATGGCTACTGTTCGCAACTCGAGGCCTATCGAGCGAGCGACCTTCACGATCCGAGATGGTCCTATCTTCCACGGAAAGTCCTTCGGAGCCCGTACCAACATCTCCGGAGAGGCTGTCTTCACCACCTCTCTGGTCGGATACCCTGAATCCCTGACTGACCCCTCCTACCGGGGCCAGATCCTGGTTTTCACCCAGCCCTTGATTGGAAACTACGGTGTTCCCTCTACCGAGAGGGACCCGCACGGTCTTCTCAAGTACTTCGAGTCGCCCAACCTCCAGGCCGCTGGTGTGGTTGTTGCCGACGTTGCAGAGCAGTACTCTCACTGGACCGCTGTTCAGAGTCTCGGCGAATGGTGCGCTCGTGAGGGTGTTCCTGCTATCTCTGGCGTTGACACCCGTGCCATTGTCACCTACCTCCGTGAGCAGGGTTCCTCCCTTGCTCGTATCACTGTCGGTGAGGAGTACGATGCCGACCAGGATGAGGCCTTCACCGACCCCGAGCAGATTCACCTTGTTCGCCAGGTCAGCACCAAGTCGCCTTTCCATGTCAGCGCTGCCGACCCTCAGTGCCACGTTGCCGTCCTTGACTGCGGTGTCAAGGAGAACATCCTGCGCAGCCTCGTCAGCCGCGGAGCTAGCATCACGGTGTTCCCCTTCGACTACCCCATCCACAAGGTCGCTCACCACTTTGACGGTGTCTTCATCTCCAACGGCCCCGGTGACCCCACCCACTGCCAGGAGACCACCTACCACCTCCGCCGCCTGATGGAGACCTCTCAGGTCCCCGTCTTCGGTATCTGCTTGGGTCACCAGCTTCTGGCCCTTGCTGCTGGTGCTCGCACTGTCAAGCTCAAGTACGGTAACCGTGCTCACAACATCCCGGCTCTTGACCTCACCACTGGTCGCTGCCACATCACCAGCCAGAACCACGGTTACGCTGTGGATGCGTCTACCCTGCCTTCTGACTGGAAGCCCTACTTTGTGAACTTGAACGACTCCTCCAACGAGGGCATGATCCACAAGTCTCGTCCCATTTTCAGCACCCAGTTCCACCCCGAGGCTAAGGGCGGTCCTCTTGACTCCTCTTACCTTTTCGACATCTACATCGAGAGCGTCAAGAAGTACAAGCACAGCCAGCTGGCTTTCCACCCCAGCCGGGATACCATCCCCAGCCCTCTCTTGGTTGACTTGCTTCCCAAGGAGCGTGTCGGTGTTGCCCCTACCATTGGTATGCAGAACGTGGCTGCTGCTACCGCTGCTGCCGCCGTCGCTGCTTAGTCGGTGGATCTGGGAACTGTTTATATGGAGTCTGGTCATATCTTGGGTCTGGTTTATTGTTTGGGTCAATTCTCGTTTTTAAGTTCGCATATCCCCCAAATTGAACATATTTTCTTATATTATCTTTGAAGCAACCGTACCAAATTGAACATATTTTCTTTTATACCTCTTGAAGCATTCGTAAAAAGATTGGTATCTCTTAGTATACTTTGTTTCCTGCGATCGACCGCTGTAGTTTTATTTATTTTTAATCGCCGGCTCACTCCATCATCTACTTGGCAACAATCGAAACCACATCCTCATCAGCCACAACATGACTCAACCCCACCCGCTGTGGAACATGTCTAGCACTTGCACCCCAAACCAACGCATATTTAAACGTTTCCTTCAGTGTCCGATGAATCTGGTCACAGACATCCTCAATCGTCGAATCTCTTCGAACAATCAGCGCCTCGCTAAAGTCAGGCTCGATGCCCTTTCTGTTACCAATATTAGCATATCCGGGGCGCAGGAAAAAAGTTCAATGCCAAGGTGAACAGGCTGCGTACCGTTTTGTGTATACACGCATCAAGCGCAGTTCTTTCCAGATGCGGTCTACGACGTCTTGCACGGCGAGATCGAGCTCGCAGCTCATGACAGCTGTGTGGGGTTCGCGCGCGAGTTGGTCGAGGAATTCGATGCTCACGCTGTCGACTTTGTTGTAGACGTAGAGACTATGGGTTTGTTAGCTCTATACTGTACATGGATTACGGGAAACAAGCGCGAGGGGCGTGACTTTACGTACCAGGGGATGTATTTTCTGTGGTCCTTCATGATCACGTCGATGAAGTCGTCAATTGTAGCTGCGTTGATTGTTAGTGAAAGAGGGAAGTGGATTTGAAGGGAAATGAATAGCAGCAAACGCACCATATTCGTCACGGACTAGGACCTCGCAGTTGAGCATCTTGTAGTCTCGGAGGACGTTGTAGATCATCTTCTCGTCGAGGTATTTGGGTGGCGTCTGGAAGGTGATTTTCATGCCGCCTGCTTTCTTTGCTTTAAGGTAGATGTTTCTGGACTCTATTAGTGAAGCTCAGGTCATATTGGACATTGGCACGGGTGTGCTTACGGGGGCTCCTTGTTAAGCCGAATACCAACAGCATCCAATTCCGCCTCGAGGAGGGCCCGCTGTTCTGCCTTCTTAGTGGCGTCCAGGACCATCAATATCAGATCACTTGTCTGCCCAGACCTCAATCAGCACACGGCACTCTTTCAAGGCGCACATAGCGCAAATACACACCTTGGCAGCAGAAATAACCTGTCTCCCTCGCCCCTTACCCTCAGAGGCACCCTCGATGATACCAGGGAGATCAAGAATCTGGATCTCGGCGCCGCCATACTCCAGCACACCGGGGATAGCAGTGAGAGTAGTGAATGAGTAAGCGGCGGCCTCACTCTTCGTCTTGGTGATCTTGCTCAGGAAGGTTGATTTACCGACGGACGGGAATCCGACTAGAGCAACGCGCGCATCACCGCTCTTGCTGACGTCGAAGCCTGCGCCGCCGCCTCCAGAGCCTCCTGTGGGTTCGAGCAGTTGCGCTCTTAACCGGGCAAGTTTTCTAAGGAGTACGTTAGCTAGATGGCCTGGAAAATGTGGGGAACACGAGACTCACCCTTTGAGAAGACCAAGATGGTATTCTGGTTCCTGTTAGTTTACTGCTCTTTAATTCCTAAGAGAAGATGTCCGCACCTGTGGCCTTGTTCTCTATACTCGCGTTAGTTGCGGGGTTACTTTGAAATGGAAGCAAATTATGGAGAACTTACTCTGCGTCCTGCGCATCTCATCCTCAATCCTGTAGTAGTGGTAATCACATCAGTGGCCTATCCCTAAGCAAGGCCTTTCCGAGCACATACTCTTTGATCTTTTCCGTGATGTTCACCATCTTGCCGGTTAGAGAGCCCCGCGGACTCTGATATCGAACCTAGGAGACCCGTATACACCTGTTACAAAATCTCAGAGACCCCAAGAGACCGTAGAACAGCCTTAGAGGTAATCAGCACCGTTAGACTCAGTAAAATTGACTCTCTGGAATCACTATGCTGTCGGCGGAACCTCCGCAGCTTCAAATTCGTCGCGATGCCAAGGCCTATTCAGGCTTATGTAATCACATGTGTTTCTGAAATTCCCGCCATCTTCGAGACATCACTTATTCATTACAATCAACACCTAGCCATGGCAGACACAGCAGAGATCATTACCTCAACGGCCGCGGCCGCGGCCACACCTACAGCTCCAGTTGACACAGTACTCCAAGACGGACAGGGAGAAGAGCAGCAAGAAACAACACCAAATGACGACAACGCGCTCGTCCAGCAAAATTCCGAGACCGCGGTGACAGCCACTGACGGGGACGGCACACAGAAGAAAACAAAGAAGATCATTCGACGGAAAAAGCGGCCTGCACGGCCGCAGGTCGATCCTGCGACACTGAAGTCGGAGCCGCCCCCGCAGACAGGAACGGTCTTCAACATCTGGTACAATAAGTGGTCTGGCGGCGATCGCGAGGACAAGTATCTCTCGAAACATGCAGCGCCATCGCGGTGCAATATTGCGAAGGATAGTGGATATACGCGCGCGGATAAAGTGACGGGTTCTTACTTCTGTTTATTTTTTGCTCGCGGAGTACGTCTTTATCTTTCCTATATAAGGTTGCTATGCTTGAATAGGACGAAGCTTGCTAACAAGTTCATCAATAGGTCTGTCCTAAAGGCCACGAATGCGAATACCTCCACCGCCTCCCTACACTTCACGACCTTTTCAACCCGAACGTCGACTGTTTCGGTCGAGACAAACACAGCGACTACCGCGACGACATGGGCGGAGTCGGCTCCTTCATGCGCCAGAACCGCACGCTATACGTTGGCCGGATCCACGTTACCGATGATATCGAGGAAGTTGTCGCGCGGCACTTCGCAGAATGGGGCCAGGTCGACCGGACTAGGGTCCTTACATCGCGCGGTGTCGCGTTCGTCACGTACACCAATGAAGCGAACGCGCAATTCGCAAAGGAGGCAATGGCGCACCAGAGCTTAGACCATAACGAGATTCTGAATGTGCGGTGGGCGACGGTTGATCCGAATCCATTGGCGCAGAAGCGTGAGGCGAGGAGGTTAGAGGAACAGGCTGCTGAGGCTGTAAGGAGGGCGCTGCCCGCGGAGTTTGTGGCGGAGCTGGAAGGGAGGGATCCGGAGGCGCGGAAGCGGAAGAAGATTGAAGGGAGCTATGGGTTGCAGGGGTATGAGCCTCCGGATGAGGTGTGGTTTGCTCGGGCGAAGGAGTTGGAGGGCCCCGGGGACGAAGCTGCACAGCTTGAGGCCCCCGAGCAGCCGCTCATGATTGAGGGCGGAAACTTCTCAACGCCACAAGCTGAAGCTGAATCAGGCGGCGGTATCTTCTCGAGCTCCACTGTCGCCGCGTTGCGAGGATTGAGTGGTGGTAATGTGACGACAAAACAAGCGCCGCAGGCTTCAGGGCCTCTGGTGGCGTACGGAAGTGATGATGACAGTGATTGATTTTCATTATCTTGCATTACTTCTTATTTATTTATATGTATAATATCAGAGATACCTGACATCGCCATTCTCTCCTGTAATTGAGTCGAAAGTTTGGGGTATAATTCGTTGAAAAGTCGCTGGCTGAGAGGAGATGCTGTGCTGGAATCCACGCATCGCTCGGAATAACATTCATATGCAGCACATACCACATACCGCATAACACATAAAACGCCCTGCAGTGGTTCTTATCGTTCATTTCCGCCTCCTAGATCATAATACAAACACGAACCTGTCCGGAAATTGTAAATGAAAGCGTTCTCGAGGTTCTCGGTGCTCTCCCCGTGACTTTCACTTGCAAATTCAGACAGCAAGTCGTACAGTTGATTGAGGTATTTCCGCTCAGTGAGCGGCGCATTCTGGATGACGGCGCGCCAGCTGTCAGGGTCGGAGAGACGGGTGCCCCTTATGGCTTCGAGAAGATCATCTCGAGTGTCAATGGCGGCTATTGGGCCGTTCATGGCCTTTTCAGCCACCTCTCTTGAACGTGTAAGAGCTAGAGAAGTTAAGTGATAGTGTTTCAAATAATACGCTGGGTTAACACTTACCTTGTTCGACAATGTTTCGCCGGTTCGTCTTCTTGCTTCTGTGTTGTGGTACGAGGATGCGCACGGCATTTGGCCGTTCGCTGGCACTCATGTTTGTTTCAGACTGGCTGGGGAGACGAGAATACCGCGGGTTTTCCGGGGCTCCTTCTCGTTGATTGCGCGCACGTATCTCGCTTCGAAGCCAAGGTATGAGCTCTGAGCCGCGGATATCTAATTCTTCCTTTGGCGCAAGACACCTGACTTTGAAGCCTCGCTCTTTACTGTCCTGCTTTGCGATAACAATCCAGCTATGGTTATGCTCTTTGTACTTCGTGAGAAGCTCTTCGAGAGAGGACGCATCAACTGCCAGTTCCGCACTGATATCGTTAGACCAGAGGTCTTGAGTCAATTTGACGCCCATCTCGCGTAAGACTGTTGGGTCAAAGCTGGCGACAAGTACATCACACTAAAAGCTTGTTAGAGACAATGACAGTAGTAGGAATATCTTCAACTTACCCTTCTTGTCCTCCAGAACGCTCCGACTTCGGTTTCCGGATGTTTGAAAGACGCCCTGGTTGGAGCTTTGATATAGTCAATCATCGCAGAACTGAGCCGGTCCCAGCTCAGATTGAAGCCTACGGCATGGGGCTGAGCGCGGTTCGTCGTGACGCCCGAACGGAAATCTTGTACCAAAGAGTCATAACGGCCACCGGCTGCAAAGACATCGCGTCGTTTGCCGTCAAATATGCATTGGAAGAGTATGCTGCCTCGGAAGAACTTGTCGTTGAGACTGCCTAGAGGGCTAATGTAGAACTTCCGTTTTACCTTGAAGCCCTGCAAAAACGCGACCAGGGAATTGATTCTTGCAAAGATTGGCGTCAACCGCTCGGCAAACTCGGTGCCCTCCATGATTGCCCGTAATCGTTTATGAGTTTGCTTGGGGGTATCTATGTCATGTCAGCTTCGTTCTCCCAACAAGGGTGCTTCACAGTTTTACCTCTGAAATCAAACCTCGCTAATTCATCAAGCGAGGTGGAAGCAACTCCGACTGCTGGAGAGCGCAGTTCGCTTCGGATCTTTTGCATAGAATATTTGCCGACGTTCAACCTGCTGATCACCTCTTTGACCAAGGGTATCTGGGAAGGTTTTATGCGACAAAACTCCATGATAAGCTGTAGCAGATCGGAATGATTTATCAAGAAGCACATAGGGCTGGCTTTTAGCGGTGGGAATTCCTCAATAATCTCGTCAAGCACTTTGATCACCTCCGCCTCTTTCAAAGCTAGGTCCAAAGTGTTGCGCGACACAATATCAAAATCCACTTCCTTATGGGTTCTTGGCTCACCACCTTGAGGATTATCTCTGTAAACAGTGCCGAATGCAAAAGTCTTCTCGAGCGAAGAGTCTTGCCGCGGGATCGCACGTGCATTCGGAAGCGTGAGGTCGAAGGGTAATTGAAGCATATTCCCAGAAGCGTCAAGAAGCCTCACATCGCCAGTGCTATAATGTTGGGATTTCGGAAAGAGCATCTGTCTAGCGGTCTCTACCGCTCCGTGTCTGCGAAATATTGACGTAAGCCTTTCTTTGACCAGGCCGCGCACGAGGAGCTCGTTTGCGGCCGGGGGTGCACGGGAATGCATGTCCCAAGCGATATCCTCTACTTTCTTCGGAGACTGAGAAAATATCGCAGAAAGAATCTTCTTGTAGTCGGGAGAGCTAGGATCAGAGAGCAGATGCATGATGGCTCGTCTGAAAGTTTCCTCCTCGACTTGAAGTGGGATTTGGCCGCTATGGAGCAATTCCGACGCAGAAGGTCGTTGGGATGGATTGTGGTCCAAGAGCGACTCTATAATCTTACCCTGAACTACTTTTTCGGAATCCTGGAATGTCGTGGGCAGCACATGCTGCTTCTCCCTGATAGCGCGCAGTGTTTGATCACGCTCCATGAGCGTTGGTAACGGGTGACACATCTCGAGGAAGATGACTCCCAATGAATACATCTGTTTCCATTAGCGATAAAACACCAATAGCGTACGGCAAAGAGCTTATGAACTAACATCGACCTTCTCGTTGTAGTGTCCTGTGAATCCAGATTTCATTTCTGGTGCTACATAGTAAGTAGTACCTAGGCTTCGAGTAAGATTGCCTTCGAAATCTGCGGCTGCAGAAGACCGTACAGCTGTTGTGAACTGGCCGCTGGTTGCTAGGCCAAAGTCTCCGATACGGGGATTGCTGGCCGCGTCTATGAATATGTTATCGGGCTTGAGATCGCGGTGAATAATGCCGTTTCCATGAATATGAGTTAAGCCATCAAGGATTTGGCGGAATAAACGCCAGGATCTATCGACATCATCATATAGGCCATTTTTGATAAGATCACGAAGGGTCTTGCAGAATCAATGTTAGCGTTTGGTCTCAATGCATGAGATTGCGCATAGTAGTGAGCTCACATGTTTCTCGCAATATTCCATCTGAATGTATAGCGCAGTGAGCACTGGCCTACCCTGCGAGCCCGATCTCACTCTGCTGAGTTCCTTGCCGGTGCTACTCTCAGTCCCGAAAGTTTCAGGCGATGAGCCCTTTTCTCGGGTGGATATCGTTCCAGCGTCCTCTTCATCACTATCCGGCGCAAACTCGATGTTGGGGTACCCGCTCGAACTGATGAAATCAAGACCGCCCGTGGTGCTGTACTCGAAGTCCTCGGAATGTGTGCTAGCAACAGAATATCCGTCTGTGAATGAAATCGCCTCATCATCTCTCTGGTCGTAATCTTCCTCAAGCCAAGCGGTATAATAGCGTACCACATACGGATGATTTAAACGCGACAAGAGCATGATCTCTGACAGAGTATCTTTCAACGCAGCAGCAGATCTATGTGAGATTTTCTTGACGGCATAGAAGCGACCGTCTAGTTTGTTGCGTGCTTTAACCACCTCACCAAAGCCACCTTTACCCAAGCGTCCGGCTTCATCAAAATCCTGGTGATATCGTGAAAACGAAGGGAGACCGCCACTGAAAGATTCAAAGCGTGGACGCCGCGATAATGACATAGAATCCGAGGCACTTGTTCGCATGAGTAGGGGACTGTCGACACGGAAGAACTCCGAGGGCTGCAACTGGAACGCTGTTGGTCTCTTTTTCGGACTTGGCCTGAAGAACTCCTGTAGCAAATCGTTCAGCGGCGGCGACAGGTCAAGGTTGTCCATCAATGCATTGGCCGACGTATATCGCTGAAGTACATCTTTCCCGAAAGCCATCTGAAGGAACAATATTCCGAGGTCCCAAACATCGGCTTTCATGGTAGAAGAGCTTCCTTGGGTTAACTCCGGAGGGAACCAAAACGGAGACTTGGATGCCGTGAGAATCCGTTTGTTCCCTGCTGCGTCTGGTAGAGCTTCTTCAATGCTTGAGAGCAGCTTTACGATCGTGCCACCCGTGGAGTTTCTGAACAACAGAACACGCCCGCAGTGGATGTTTCCGTGGACAAAGCCATGTCGGTGATAGTACTCAAGTGCTTCAAGAAGCTGTATGGTCCAGCTACGAAGCATTTCGGCAGGTACCGTACCGACTATATCCAGAAACTCGGATAGCGATCCCTTATTTGCATGTTCAACAAGAGCGAATACAGTCCAAGTACTGTCTTTGGAATCCACAGAGTACAATGGCGTTTGGATCTTGAAGCCAAGGAAGTCAACTAGGTTCTGATGCCGGAGCCTCTTGAGACTTTCAAGCTTGTCCTCGCTCAGCCGCATTTGCTCGCGAAAGACTAAGGCATCAGTTCCCTTTTCATTGATTGACAGCTCCTTCATGACTATGAGAGGCGCACAAGGTCGGCTCTCTGGGACCGCAGGCCTTACTATAAATGTACTCGCACCCTGTACACTCTTCAACAAGGTCTTTCCATACACCGCTCGGAACACTAACGGACCCTCGTCTGCATCCGCCATGACCAAAGGTGGATCGAATGTAACTGCTCCGGGTATATTTACCACACCATCGAGGTCGCCAGACGCTTCCAACCCGGACGATCTGCTTTTCCGACGTGATAATGCTTTCGTGCGCTTGTCGATAGCGTCCTGTACCAGCTGCTTAAGCTCTAGTTCTTCCTTCGCCGAGGCCGCTTCTTGCTTTCGAAGCTCTTCTTCCCTGGCACGCTCCGCTCGTTCGATTGCAGCTGCTTCCTGCACCATCCGCTCCTCCTCTAGACTAGGGATATCCTGGTCATGAGCCTGAGCTTCCGCTGCATCCTCTAGGATTTCCTGTATCGAGTCCGCCAGTTCGTATATCATTTCAGATCCCAGAAGGGTTTTAGGCTTATTTCGTAGAACATCGCGGATCCTTGACTGGGCGCCTCGTCGTAGGTCTTCCAGATTCTCTGGGGTGATATTCGGACATGTTTTAGGGTACGTCGCCGGTAGCTCAATCAATAAGTCTAAACGGACATCGGCATTGGAGGGTGCTCGCAGATGGAGCTTGAACGAAACCTCGGAGGCTTGCTGCTCGACCGGTCAGGGCACCAAAACTCTAAGTTGGAATGAGCCACGGGAAGTAACTTACATGCCACGCGGACCGTCGTTGCTGTACATCTTCAAAGTCGTCACCATATATTGAGCGAAGAGCCTCGACCTCCTGCTGGTGTATTTCTTGGTAATTCGTGGGGGTTACTACGGGCAATGGAGCCGGAGTGGTATCCAAGAGAATCTGTTTCTTCTCCGCCCGGGGAGAGGCGTTCTTGAATGCATTTGCAGTCTTCTTGTGGTGGTGAGGCATAGCGGGGCGCTTGGTGGTGAAGTATGAGCTCTGATAAACACCGATTGATTTGATGGTCTTTGTCACGAGTAGCAGCGACAAAGATGCAGCCGAAGCTGCAGCCCTCTATAGCTCGGGATAGTACATATCTAGGATAAAGTGACAGACAGAAGGAAAGGACAACTGGGCGAGAAAGCGTACTTTCAACACCAATTGGGCATTGACAGAGAGGGGAAAGAAACTTGGTACAAGATGAAAGAGCGGTGATCAATCTGCCACGATGACTGCCAATCACTACGTACAGTCCAAGGCAGCCCCGCCCGCCCCGTCGTTGTTCCGCCACCGCCCGGCAGTATTCCGCCAGCAGACAGTGCTTTGTTTATACTCCGACCCTATCATCCCTCCACGTCAACGGTCTCCGCTTTATCATCGGGGTGGCTCCATTATGCGCTAGATGTCGCCCTTTTACTTGCTGTTTACATAATTCTAGTCTGTGCAGACACAATGCTCGGCTGGATGGGTGGTCAAACTGAACGCGGTGCAGGTGCGTGTTTCTTTTGCTCCCCGGAAGCGCCGCGCCTACCGCGCCCGCTCTGAGACTCTGCGCGCTGACTGATTCTTTGCTACCATCTAGCAGACGATTCTAAAGTCTTGGAGCCTCCAGAAACCCCTGCGCCCGTGTTCGCGCTACGCGCATTCCAAAGCGCGTTGTTTGGAACGCCCAAGGCCGACGATGAAGACAATACCAATGCTCATCTAAAATCCAAGGAGCAAGCCCACAACCGACACCCAGTCAGAGACAGCACCGTGCTCAAGCCGACTGGGCGAACCGGAGATAATTCAAAGGACGCGACGGCGGATATCGATCTCGCTGTGAACACGATGGCATCCCCGACGAAAAGCATTCTCATGACGCCCGGTACCGTGTCAAACCGGAGGAAGACAGTCTCTTTTGGAGATGGTGTCGTGGACAATGAGCGCAGGCGCGACGATATTTCGAACAAGGTCGTGAAGACCCCAATACCCACTACAGGAAATATCAGCAGCCAGTGGGCATCGGGCTCGTCAGAAGGAAAACGAAGCAAACTCACCCAAGCACTGATGGACTCGCGCGAAAAACCTTCCAGGGCCTCTGAGAGGCCTTCTCAAAAGCCTGAGGAGACTCGCTCGGCTAAGGTTAGCTCCAACCCCCAGGCAGCGCCCGTCCAAGGTGACGACAATGAAGATACAATCAACATGAACGAACCACGATCGCGGTCCGGGAAATACTGGAAGGCGGAGTTTGACAGCTACCGGTCCAAAACAGCCCTGGAGATAAGGAGACTAATTCAGTATCGTTCAGCCGCCAAAACATATGCCAAGAAGAAGGATGAGGAGGCCTACCGCTTAGCTGCAAAGCTGAAGGAGGAAGAGCTCAGGGTCGAGGAGATGGAACGCCATGTAACGCAACTTGCCTCCACGATGGTCGCAGATAATACGCGCGCAGATAAAGAACAACTCGTCCAAGATCTCACGAAACAGACGGCTTTGGCGTTGCAATACAAACACAAGGTCAGTGTACTACGCAAGGCCTTGGAACAGCACGGTGTTGTTGGCACCGAAATCGGCAATATTGGAGGTCAACCGGAACCCAGCACTGCTCCCAAGGAGACCTCGGAATCTTTGCGAAAGTCCCAGCAGGAGCTGGCCCAAGCGAACGCCAAAATTGAGGACATGAAACAACAGCAGTCGGACTTTGAGAAACTCAGAGGACTCGCCCTCAGTTCCGAGCAGAAGGCCTCAGATTTGGCGAAGGAAAACGCGTCACTCAAGCATACACTTGCGCGTTTCAAACAGGAAGCATCGAAATATGAAGGTCGTCGCAAGGAAAGGGAAGCGAAGCTGAAATCTCGAGAGTCCAAACTAGAAATGCGGATCCAAGAGTATCGCGACCGATTGAAGTCAACGTCCCAGCAGCACCGAGAACAAGAAGAAGAGCTGAAAGTATCATTCGACCAAGAGCGCCGCCAGATGCAGGAACAGATCGATGTACTAAAGACCAAGTTACGGGCTTTCGAAAGTGTAACAGAACTCAGGGTGCGACCTCGCCCTGAAAGCCGCAGAGATTTTCATGGAATTCAGGCATACGACCTGGGCACTGCCAGTCCTCACAAGGATGCCCTAGACGAGACCGGCGAAACAGATCAACCACCCAGTCCAAGTCCACGCGGCAAGGATCGCCGTGCGTACAAGTTAGGGACTGACCTTACAGACTCGGATCTGAGACGGGCAATGAAGGAAATGGGCATTGAAGATATCGACGAGAAGTTCAACAATTTGGGAATAGCCCCTCTAAAGTCGTTCAAGCCTCCTCGATATCGAGATGACACTGATGTCCTCCCGCCGTCTTCGCCGCCCGAAGTCGCGACGTGGTCCGGTTCAGCCCAACGCCATAATTTAGAGAAGCGTCACTCACACCAGCTCTATGTGCCTCGTCGGTCTCTAGACGATAGCCAGCAAATCCAGCCTAATCGTCTCCAGTCCCGACGGCCAGCTACAAAATACGCTCTTGACCAACCGTCTTCGGCCCCAGATGCAAGTCATATGGACCGCGCCAGGAGACGGCAAACCATTGCTACTGGCGCTACTTCGCAACGTGATCCATTGTCACTCGATCGGAAAATGGCTGCTCAAGCACGCCTTAAGCGGAGGGACGAGTCCCGCAAGCTTACGCGAGATGATGGCAAAGAGAACATGCGGACGACTGTGAGAGCTTAAGATCTATCCTTCTTTCAGCAATTTAATGTTTCTTTCTGGTCTTGTTTGGGGTGGGGTTGCGAGTATTGGCGCTGGATTGTTGTGTTGGTGTGAGATTGGCTATTTTTACTCTTTGGTCGGCGTGGTTGGTGTCATGTTTTACGTCTTGAAAGTGACAAATTGAGATACCAGCTTTTTCCTTGGTCTTTATATGACAACCATTCTTTATCAATCTCATAAGTATGTCATTATCTCACCATCTAGCCATCTGTCTATACATTATCGCCAAATCATGGTCATGAGTAGGGCGTACAAAAAGCCCTAAGCGCAAGCAGATCTATCTATGCTCTCACCCATTCGCATCTGCCATGAAACCCTGCACCTAAGCTACCGTTTATCCTATGCCAATTGCATGTTTCTCAAGAAGAAAACTCAAACCTTTCCATCACAGAAAGAGATGACAGCCCATTTGCCGCTCCACGCCCATTCGCGGCCCCCAGTTCCTGAGCCTTCGTAGGCCTTGCTCAATTCCTCGTCCTTGCCGGCCGGCAGGCCAACAACGCAATCGGCCTTGCAGGTGCGGAAGGACATGACGCGGATACCGGAGTGCGGTCCTAGTGGGCCAATGGCGGTTGTGAAGGGGGTTGTTGGGTCCCAGTCGGCCTGGGTGACGGTTAGCCTCTTGCAAATAAACTGGAATTTTGAGGTAGGGCAATGTACATCATTAACTAGCTTTCTGTAGTTAAGGTCACCCTTGAACAAGACGAGCTCAGCCTCTTTCAGGTCCTCGAAGAGATCCGGCGCAACGTGCGGCATGCGCCAGTAGGAGCCGCCTGCCGTCCAGAAGGGGTGAGGGCGGATGATCAGCTTCCCCTCCGCGTGGAAGTGGCTCCACTGGTCGAAGAGGAACTTGACCTCGTCGACCTCCTTATCCGAGAGCGGGGGTTGTTTGTTTCCGGACTCGTCAGGCGCGGTATAGAAGCCCTGGGGGTTGGCGATGGCTTGGATGAGGTCTGCAAAGTCGCGGGGGATAACGTCCGACACGAACCAGGGGATCAGCTTGGGGCGGAGCACCACGCTTGTTGCGAGGCCCGCGGACAGGAGGTATCCGGCGAGAACGAGGTCGACGAAGAGCTCGAAACCGGCGTTGTCCAGAACAATGTCGACGCGGCGCTCGGGCTTGTTTTCTTCACGGGCTTGTCGGAGGACGTCGAATGCGGCGTTGAGGTCGTTGACGAGGATGTTGTCCTCTGCTGCCTTGCGGGCTTGCGAGCCCTGCAGTTTCTGGATATCCTCGTATGTAAGGTTCGTTAGGAGTGAAAGGTCTGTAGCGTTACCCCACAGACAGATCTCGCACATCTCTGAGAAGAGGAGGCGATCGGATTCCTCGGTGTTCTTGCCCTCCTTCGCCTCGTTGGCAAGCTCCTTGTATCTGGCGGCTAATTCGAGCACGGCGGGCCGAGAGGACTTGAAGGTGGACATCTTCTGGCGGGCGAATACATCGTAGCTCTTCCAGTGCGTCGACCGGGCGAAGAGGGTAGCCATGCGCCTATCTAGTCCATCATTGTCAGCGCCTATTGCTGAAAACAGTCCACAAAGCCAATGAACTCACAGAGATAGCACTCCGAGAAGAGCCACGACACATTGTGCCACTTTGGGTTTCCTCGCTGCTCGATTTCCTCATTGTACTCCTCAATATCTGGCTCGCCGTCGTCCTCGAGGGGACTTTCATGTAATGATAATCAGTACCGTCGTCAATGGGCATCAATGCAGCCCCAGCATGGAATATCAACCCACGTCAACTGTCTATCATGCTGAAGCTCGTATTTCAGCTTCGCCAGCTCCTCAATGATGGTCTTTCCCTCCTTGCGCTTCTCCTCATCGGTCACGTCGGCGACAGTCCGATGCAAGTCGTCAATGGCACCGGTCTAGGTTGGCTCAATTGTCAGAAGCTACATATATACTCGGCTAGAACTGTACTTACCAGAATGACAGGCCATCGGTCGTTGACGGACTTGTAGCCGAAGCTCTTTGGATCGGAGGTGAGGAATGGAGCTGGTTGAGCGGGGTTAGCCCGGTTGTTTGTAGAACAAGGAACAACACTTACGGGTTTTGGGGTCGAACTCCATTTTGACAGGCTCAATGGGGGTATGTGAGAGAGTGTAATGGGAAGAAGAACAAAAGAGGTCAGTTAATGGGAGTCGTTCAGGACCGCGATAAAACCTATGTCATTGTGGAGTTGACCGATGACTACATTTGACAACGATCGTGGGGTCGGCGGGGTCCTTTTCCTCCTGCGGATCCTCTTGAGTATACTGGCAGATCCTATACTCTTTATACCACAGGTACAGAGTACTTAGCAAGGCTACTAGATACGGAGCGATTGGGATATTCAGTCTTAAAGATGCCTCATTGTCCAATGCTAACCTCACTCTATCCTTGTAATAGACATAGACACCATGACATGAATGAAATCAAAGAAAATACTCCCTGGTAGATTGTTCCGCTATGCAAAATCTGCAAAATCGTAAGCTCCGTATCGAGTACATTCGTATACCGAGACATCCACCCAAAATGGGACAGCAATATGGATCTCGTCCGTGGACTACGCCCCGACTTGCGAGGCCATGATCGTCCTGTTCTGCTCCGACTGGAACGGTAGCTATGTGTCTGTCTGCCAACACTTGAGATTTGAAAGATCGTGTTCACCTCACATCATAGACATCAGCGAGCTTTGGGCATAAGCCTAGAATATAATCAGTACCTTATTCACGATAGAATGGATCAAGGACAAGGGGAACTCACCATCGGCTTGATGTCTGGGTGAGGAACAGCATCAAAGACCTGGTACTCAAGCTTGAGCTCGGGTCCAATCTTAATGAAAGCACCCTTGTTCTCTGTCGTATCGCAGTACTTGGGAGCAGAGAACACCGTGATGCATCGTCCATCGTGCTCAACCTCGTATCCATTCATGCGCACCTCGTGCGAACGGATGATGGCTTCCAGTCCGTTGTTCTCGCAGAAGCGCTTGGTAACATCAGGGCCGAACTGCAGACCGACACCGCGCTTGCTGGGTCCGCGACCAGGCTCTGTCTGGGGATCCGTCCAGAGCATCTCCATCATCAACCCTTGCTGACCGGGCTGTTTCTGGTTGTGACGGTTGAGCTTTCGGATATCATCCAGTGTCGTCTTGTCGTTGGAGAAGAGACCACCATGGAGGACAAGGTACTTGCTGCCGATCAGGGTCGCCAGGGGCAGCGCTGAGAAGGACTCGGAGAAGACCTTGAACATTGTCTCGTTGTACTTGGCCCGACATTCACCTTCGAAGCCGTACACCTTGTTCATGTCGTCCGTTTCGTGGTTTCCGCGGTTCAGGAAGATGCCGTTTGGTCGCAGCCACTTGTAGGCATATAAGAGAAGGGCAATCTCAGTAGACCATGAGCCACGGTCCACAAAGTCACCGTTGAACAGGTATGCATGGGTGTCGGACGGGAATCCATTCAGGCGGAAGATCTCCAACAGGTCGAAGAATTGTCCTACAATCGTCGTCAGCCTCATTCAAAACCCGTGACAGCCGAGAAAAAAAAAAAAAAAAAAAAACCCACCATGTGTATCACCACAAACAGTCAACCTCTTGCCCTCATCCACCCCAATCTCGACCATCGTCGGCTCAGCGTAGACAATGTCCTTGACAGCCTTGACAATCTGGAACGCATACTTCCGGTGAATCTTCTTCCCATCCTTGAAGCGCTCAATCATATCATCGATAAACTCCTGCGTCATCTCCGACCCCAGCTTCACACCGTCATACCCATCATCCACGGCCATAGCATCGATGTCCAAGCTCTCAAATGCCGACGGCGGATCCGCAACCTCAATCGCCTTCTCAAACTCCAGCCGCCGCACCAGCTTCTCGCATTCTGCCAGTTTTAACTTCGCGTCGCGGTTACCGGGTTCGCGCTTCACAACGGCTTTGAAATCCTTCATCGCTTCCCGGTAGTTCAGGATTGCGCTGTTCGCCAGGGCGCGTCGCCAGTAGGCCTTGATGTAGTTTGGGTCGAGATCCAGCGCCTTCGTGGCGTCTGCGACTGCGAACCCATATGCTTCGAGCTTGATGTGGCACTAGACGTAAAAACAACATGCATCAGTATTGTTCGCCTCACTCCGACGGACCTCCGGCGAACTGGAAATACTCCGACCTACCTGAGCTCGGTTGCTGAAGAATGATGGCTCCTTGTCATACTTCTCGATCGCCTGGGTGTAGAAACTAACGGCGGTAGGCCACTCATGCTGAGTGAAAGCCTTGTTGCCCTGCACCTTCAGCGCAGTGGCTGCCTCGACGTCCTGGGAGGCCATCGCAGAATAGTACTCGACCGAGTCGTGAGCGGGGCGCTGGAGGGGTTTTCGGTAGGAGAGCACGAGGGCGAGGGAGACAGAGAAGGGAGGAGAGGAGAGGAAGCGCTGATGGACGACAGGAGCCCAGAGGCAAATTAGGTAGAGAGGAGAGTGAGAGGAGAGAAAAGTAAAATCTATACCCGGTTCCTGAAAAATAATAACCCAATAATGCCGCCGGCTCAAGGAACGCCTCTTGGTTGTCGATAGTCTAAATCTCGGACCCGTTTGAAGGGCGATTACTCCGGTCTTGGCGTTTGCCGCTGCGGTTCGAGAAACATCGGCCGGCCGATTGAGACAATGAACGAGACAGCAGCTTGATTTTCAGCCTCACGGCTTCAGAACCTCATCTTATCTTGCCTACATCCTCACGTTCGGAATAGCAACCTGCCTATAAACTCGATCTCCTGAACCTTCGCTCTATACACCACAAACTTTGCGCCCTCATGACCTTCTACGTCGCGCCCAGCCAGCAGCGCACTCTCCGCGCCTGCATGGTCTGCTCGCTCGTCCAGCTACATAGCGTAAGCTTCGAGCTGACTTTTAACTACTAGTTTCATCTTAGGAGATATCTAACCGGGGCTTTTCAATCCAGAAATTCATGCGCGAAGGGTGCCCGAACTGCGACAACGTCCTCGGCCTCCGCGGTAACAACGACAACATCCAAGAATGCACCTCGCAGGTCTTCGAGGGCCTGGTCACTGTGAATGACCCGGGAACAAGCTGGGTTGCTCGCTGGCAACGACTGGACAGTTATGTGCCTGGGACGTATGCAGTCAAGGTTACGGGGTCGCTTCCTACAGAAGTTATTGGGCATTTAGAGGACGCTGGGATAAAGTACATTCCGAGGGATGGAAGTACGGTTGAGGAAGAGGGCTGAGCGCGGGGCTGTTGTGCTGTTTCATGCGGAAAAGCGAGGCATACACGGCTATGGGTTAGATTTTGTTGCTGCGGGATCAGAGAACGCAAGCGATACCCTTTACTCTCTGTCTCTGCTTTTTGCACAAATTGGAGTTTATGGGTTTTCTTTGAGGGACTGGCTTTGTTTTTCGCAGGAGTTTTTATATCTATTGTTTCGTATATAATACGAGCTCTATCAAGCTGGCCTGTTTATTTCGACCTCGAACCACAATGGTTTGGATAACTATCATAAAAATGTCGGATTTCAAACAATAAAATCATATATAACCGTCATATATGCAGAATTCAGACAGCCTGCTCCCAGTTTACCACTATAACGCCGCTAAAAACAAAAGGAATCAAGCAATCATTAGCGTAGGTCTGCCCTACAGTTGCTTGATGATCTTCTCAATGCTCTCAAGAAGGATATCAGCTGCGACAAGTTAGCCGGGTCGATCTTCAGATAACAAGGTGAAGAACTTACCATGGTGCTTCTGGAAGATCAGCATGGGTCGCAGTCGGACAGCGCTCTGTCCGCTACCACCAATGTTGATACCAACGCCCTTGCCCTTGACAAGGAACTCGTCACGCTTGGGGGTATCCCAGGCAATGAAGGTACCCTGACCCTTACCACGCAGGTTCTGCAGGTGCTCAGGGTACTGCTTCGCAAGGCGCTCAAGGCCAGAGAAAAGGTAGTCACCAGTGGCAGCAGTGTTCTCAACGAGCGAAAGGCGCTCGATTTCCTCAATAATGCCACGGAAGATGAGAGCGCGGGAGGGATCACCCATCCAGGTGTTGAACTGGCGGTAAGGCTTGTTGGGGCGCAGAGCAGGGTTACCGTAGTAGTAACCGGCAGTCTGGGCCTTCTTGGAAAAAGTGACCATGTCAGGAGGAGCCTGAAGGTTCCAGTGGTCGTGAGCCCAGAACTTTCCGGTGGCACCAACACCAGTCTGGACCTCGTCGACGATGAAGAGGACGTTGTTGCGCTTGGTGATCTCGCGGAGACCCTGGAAGAAAGCCGGAGAGGCGTGGTTGTCACCACCTTCAGACTGGATGGGTTCGACGACGACGGCAGCGACGGGGTGGTGCCATTCCTTGATCAGGCGCTCGGTTTCCTGCAGGCAGCGCTGCTCCTCCTCGGCGTTCTCCTTGGCGTGTTCCTCAAGGGGGTACTTTAGAGAAGGGAAGGGAGCCTGGGGCCAGTCAAAGGAGGGGATATCGAGCTTGTGGATGGGCTTGCTGCGAGTGGTGGACAGACTGCCGAAGAGACGACCGTGGAAACCGGCCTTGAAAGACATGATAGACAACTGAGGAGACCCAGGAGCCTGGTTCACCATACTAGACTGAAGCTCCTCCTCAGTGAACTCCTTCTCGGGACCTCCACGCTGTTGCTGGCGGTAGTACATGAAAGCGGCCTTGTAAGCAGTCTCGTTGGCGTCAGAGCCCGCCATGGCGGTGAAAACCTGGTCCAAGCCCTTGGGGGCAACCTTCAGGATACCGGTCTTCAGAATGTGAGACCAGTCATGGGAGGGAAAGTTACCCAGAGCTGGTCTGTTGATCAGAGAAGTGGCCATCTCCGATGAAGCGGCCACCTTGAGGAGGTTGGGGTTGTTGTAACCGACGGGGATGGATGCAATCTGCGCATAGCTGCAGTCGGGTTAGATTCAGCAAATTGTAAATAATCAAGTATAGGATGCGATTGACCACGTACACATCGAGGAGCATATTCCCATCGAGATCGGCGATGCTGGTTCGCTGTTAGTCCTGTTGAACAACCGCGCGGGGTAGATAGAGGATAACTTGACGTACTAGTTGCCAACGGACTTCGTGTAGTCGGCGAGCATGTTCAAGCTGCGCACATCGAAGACCTCGTTGAGCTCTTCCGCAGCGGCCTTGTTCTTCGGGCCAGGAATGGCCGTGGCTAGCTTGGGAGCTGCTGGCTCATTGGGGAAGTAAGGCTTCTCCGCAGCTCGAAGGCGGGGAGTAGTTGTGATGGTGCGAACGGCGGGGAGACGAGCTGAAGCTCGGAGCTTCAAGCTGGAGCGGAATACGGATGCCATTGTGCGAATGGAAGGAGAGAATTAGGATTGAGAGGAGAGAGAAGACGTGGTGGGCCCTTGATCGCGATCTCCGATAAGGGCGGAGATAAGAGCTGCACTACCAAGCTTTAGAGCTATCGCTTGGCTGGTATGGAGGGCTAGGGAGTAAACAGATGAAGGTGAGGTAGAGTAGTGTAAATTGAGTCTGGACCAAAATCTGCAAAGGGACTGCGATCACGCGGCCTTATATACCACTGCCAGTCTGATGGACCGCTGAGATCACAACTGCCTTGCGGAGAGCTCTCTGACTGCTTCGGCGATTCTGGCCAATCATGTGTCAGAGCTTTACCGAACATTATCCAGACTCCAAGAATCAAAGGAGCAATTGATAACAGCTTCGAATCTTCTTTCCCTCCCTGGTGTGGCGGTTCCACCCCCGGCGCGAGTGGTCGCTGAATTTCCTTTCTTGTGTCCGATGCGTCGACACATGGCGCCGAGAGTCGTCGCGGGGTTACTCACTGTTATTTGTCTGAAGTAGTCCGCTATCATCAAGTTGGGTGCGGGATCGGAAACAGATGCCTAAAGGGAACAGTGCTCTCCCAGTTGCAGTTAGCATGACACTTGACCAATCGCGCAGTATTGAACAGAGTATACAATAGTGAGTGAGTTGCTAAATGTCCCTATTGTCTGCCAGTCAACTGTATATCGGGTTTCGGGCCATACATATTTTGATGTATATATCGTGCTAGTGCGGAAGTAAATCCGGGGTGCGCGCAATGACCAGCTGTTGATCATAACCCTAACCCATTTCATTTATTCCTCATTCCCCATGCTTCTCGCCATTATCTCTCACCAACATATATAATGATCGAGTTGAGCTACCGAAGAGTTTGGTTCTTTTCGAATAGTGATATATTCATAGATTCTCGTTATCCTATCAAGATATAGCATATCCGCTCAATAAATCTCATAAATCATAGTGTATAAAAGTAATTAAAGATAGTCTGGAAGTGTCCGAAAGGAAGTATTTGAAAGAGTGTGAAGTCCGAAGAATGAAGGGTCGCTATCACGACGATTCCCGGACATGGCGACTAGGAGGAATGCTCCTTACGTCGCTTCGAATAGAGGTTGTCGGCGGCGAGACTGACCTCTCGCTTAACGTGGAGTGTTTTAGGGCTTCACTACTGTTGGTGAGGCGGACCACGTCCTCTTCTAGTAGGGACTGAGGTCGACTGGTGATATCACAAGCGGTCCCAGTCGGATTATGAGACGTGCGAGTTTCGCTATGCGTCTCCATTTCCACTGTTCGGAAAACTGTCAGGTGGTCGTTGGGCATTTTCGTCTCGACGTTGTAGTAGTTCGAGTCTCTAGATGGTTTTGATGAAATCCCGCTCCAAGACTTTAGCTTCCATGACTGCCTCGAGTACTTGGACTCTTTGGAGTGATATTCGCGGTCCGAATTATGAAGGTAAGCGGTGCCGAGAAGACGGGGCATGAAGAAATTGACCAGCGGTCGTAGTGCAGGGGCAGAGGCGCAGATCTATGAGGGTTAGCCTGGGCTTGCGGAACACGAGAGAAAATACACACCAAGCCGAGATTGATTTCCACTGTAGCTGCGAGCAGAACAGGCCAACCTTCCCAGGTGGTGTCGTAGGAGGCAATCATACTCCTCCAGACATAGTATGTTCGTATGGCACCGGCGACATCAACAATGATTCCCAGACCAAAGATACCCATCACAGCAAGGCGCTGCCGAGTGGGTAGTTTCAGCTTCCAAATCAATGGCATAGGTAGGATAGTGGTCACGACATCGGTAAAGATGTTGATGGTACTAGCGGAGAAAACTATGGCGCCGTCATCGAGGCAGGTGTGCGGGTATTGGGGTTCTAGATCCCAGTAGGCCTTGATTGGGCTGTGCAAATTAGACATTGTTCAGGTTTGAGGGAGCGATAGAGACCTACCGGCATTGAAATATGCTGAAGAGGACAAAAAGGGCGCTGGAAATGGCCACAACCACCATACCCACTATCATGGCGATGTTATACATCGAATAGATGCCCTTGCTTCCCACAATAAGTAGGCGCTTGCAGAACCATAACAATGAAAGCTTCGTCAAGGAGCAGGACAGGGAAAAAAGAATTTGGAAGATGAGGTTCAGCTTGGAGACCATCGGTATCCATTCCAGCGGCACGTCCCAAATATGTCTGACCCAGCCCCAGTTTTCAGTAGCTATGCATAGAATGACGGACATGCCGATTCCGAAGCCCTTGACTCAGTCAGCAAATTAACATTAATAATACTATTGTAAATTAACTTACCAAGCCCAAGACAGCCATTATATCATCGAGACCAGCGGTGCGCGTAATTCTTAGCCGGACGTATATTCGAAGGACGGTTGTTATGGTAGACAGAATCAGGAAAACGATGCTCGTGATGAGCACGGCATGACTGCGAGTGGGAGGATCAATGTAGTTAGGCGTGGGCCAGCTAAGGATAACTTCGAGAGGAGGAAGCTGCATTCTCGGGGTCGACAGTAGACTGCAATGATAGGACGCTGTAGTTTTGATGGTTCGAATATGGCCGGGGTACACAATGATTAACTCCTAGGCCCTGTACGTTGCTGCTGATTGGGTTTGATGTATCAGGGCACGGGGTGCACTGAGACCACGATCATCTCAGCTCCTGTTGGAAGGATAAGGAATGGACGAAAGTATGCTGGGAGAAGCAACTTTAGCAGACGAACAGAATGAAGAGGACAGAGGTCCTTATAATTATACCATTTTTTCACCTCAGCGTGCCTGGCACCTGCATAGGGTGGGGGTTCAAAACTTCGAGGCCAGGGCTGGAAATATTGGAGGAAGTTCGATAGTGTATCGAGGATCCACGGATGCCTTCCAGTGCCATAATGCCAGTCGATGAACAGCTGCGCTTATACATTTCCGGAGCTCTGATGGGGTGTGCTGGACAGGTTCTGGACGTATATGTTCATATGAGATCCGACGATTCGGCGATATCTCGTCCAATAAGTGTATTCTCTCTAACTCCGCCGATGATGTACCACGACAGCAGTTACTACTTGTAGTAACTACGGGGGCTATCACTGCTGTTCCACCAGGTGTTGTTGCGAATCTATGATAGGTAGATCGAGAGCCCCATAGTTCTCGGAAATCCCTCGTGGAGGAGAGCATATCCTGGGAGAAAGAGGCATTATTGAAATACCGGTTGATCGACTCTGATAGTTATCGTCCGTATCCTTGGTTGCTTCGAGCATGGTCTGAAAGCTCATCCTGAGGCGAAAATATTTGGCCATGGTCTGGTCCAGGATGGGCTTTATTCGATCATGAACCAAAGGGAAGCGATATCCACCCGATGGTCGCATGTCGTGAGCTCTGACGTTCATATGGATCAGGACCATGGAGCTTGAAACTGGCCACTGGGCCAATCAGACGGGCAATCAACCTGAGCAGGAGGATTGATTTGGAATGATGACCATTTACGGTGACGAACGTCTACCGCTGTGGTGTTCATGGTTCCGCTTAGTTCTGTCTTCTCGAGACATCTGTCCCTGATGATTCAGGTTGAAACGAAGAAATCGACATGCATTGTCGACTTGATAGAGATCGGGATTCGGGACTCGCTTAGTGTGCTGTGTAGCCTGTGTGCGGGAGCGGGAGCTTGGGGGAGGGGCGGCTAAGCAATTCTGACTTTGTTAGCCCCGAATTACGCCCGGCAAGGACTCCGGACTCGGGACTCCGGACTGGAGGGATGCGCGCTGTCAGATGTCGCCAATCATCGTGCTGCAAGCCATTCTATAGAGCATGAAATACAAGGTGAACATTAATGCCGATGTTCGTCCGCGCACCAGTCCCTTGTGATGAAATGATCCTCATCTTGATTTTGAGCCGTCGACGGCTGTGGAAGTCTCACACATGGCTGACCCTGATCGCCCTGACGTGAGCATGGAGCGTTAAGGTCAACCAAAATATTCGACCATGGCCTTATACTTTCGGAAGATTCAGCCCGAGACTACACCACACGCGTGCGCCGTTTGGCCTTTCAGGCAAGGAATGGCACCTATCGCGGTTCAATGATCAAGAAATGCCGCGTGGTGGAATGCATTTTCAACGTTTATCTACCCCCCACCTCAACCTGTTCCGCTGTCCCGGCACCTACTATACTACTGATTTCCACGATGGCATGAATTCGCCCAACTCGCCAAAATTCTGGCCCAGAGCTTGGCGGCGATCTTGTCAGGCTCATTCCAGGGTTCTTCTCTCTTCCTCGGCACATTCCACGTGCAGCAATGCCATCATGAGTTCTTTGATTATTGGGCAGTACGGACTCTAGGGAATCTTCCCCGTCCATGGCCCTCGAGTCCTTGACCCATTCCATTAGTTTGCACGAGCCGTACCCTTCCGGTAGATCACTTTAGGCAGATTCGAATTCAAGCTAACCCCTCAGGATCCCTTACTTGTATGGGATACTCATGGCTCATTCCTTGTTTATTACTCAAGCGGGTTTGCTTTCAGGGCCCATTTCTGTTTTCGGAATGTCATCGGCCTGAGGCAGATGGGATTCGGCTTTCAGGCCTTTCGGGCGACTCACGAAGAGCTCTGGCGGACCACGGTCCTAGGCTTTACATTGGCAATACCGATTACGCGCACGCGAGTGTCCCTGGACCCTGGGCCGCAAATGGTTGCCCGGTCATTCATTTTTATGAATGAATTCAGTGTGAGCTCAAAAATGTGGCAAAAGGAGGCTCCTCGCAGAATAGCGAAAACACTGAATCATGTGCCTGCCTATCAAGGTCAATCGACGTCGGTAGCTGCGGCGATGCTCCTGGTCGCCTCTAGATCCCGCTGCAATTGCCCGATCTTGTCCTCCAAGGCAACCACACAGTCTGTCCCCAGCGGCAAACGAAGATAATCATACCCCAACATAACAACGTCCACAATTGCCCTCGCGGCTTTGTCAGGGTCACCTTTGAAACCATCCGGGATGGACTTCTTCATACCCCGGTGGGCAGTCACCATCTGGTCGAGCACAGTACCTTGATATCCCTCACTAAAGCCATGCTCAAGATGAGCGGGATTACGAACTCGGCTCGCAAATGGCGTACGAAACGCTCCGGGTTCGACTATGAGAACTTTGATACCGAGAGATCTGACCTCGTAGGAGAGCGACTCGTGGATTGCCTCGATGGCGAACTTACTAGCGGAATAGCTGCTTCTTCCCGGAAGGGCTCGGAAGCTGGTTGTTGAGCAATTGTCGTTAGTACCTGTTGGAAAATGAAGAGAAGAAATATCAAGCGAGAAGAGAAAGGGATGGACTTACCCAGCACCACTGCTGACGAGGACGATATGACCAGAGCCCCTCGCGCGCATCACCGGCAAACATGCCCGGACGGCGCGCAGAGGTCCATAGAAATTTACCTCCATTTGACCTCGAATGTCAGTCTCACTGCAAAGATCACCATGTAAGTAAAACCCGAGACACCTCGACGTAGCGAGGCAGCTACACTGACCTGGTATCCTCAACACCGCCGATGAAAGCATACCCAGCGCTATTGATCAAGACGTCCACATTATACTTTTGAGAGCATTTGGTGAACTGATCATAGGCATCGTCCTGGGCGGGATCTAGCTTGATCCAGATGCCGCCATTGGATGAGAACCCAGGGCAGGATTTCTCAGCTCTGCCAACGTCGCGAGTGGTCCCGACCACTCTGTAGCCGGCTTCGAGGGCTGCTAGGGCAATCGATTTACCCAAGCCCGAAGAGGCGCCAGTGATTAGCCAGGTGGTGTTTATTGTTGCCATGTTGTTTGCTGTGGTCATTTTAGTGGTTGAGAACTTCCATGGAGTAGAGCATTTATGTACCCGTAACTTACGATGTCGTATAAGAGCGGACTATATAGGGCTCAGAGGACTCCGCGGGTATAAGCGCTTATCTCCTAGGTATACATCTAAGTTTCGCATCGCTTTAGGGTAAGCAGTAAGCAGACTCCGTCGGGTAAGCACATGTAAGCAATAGGTTTCGATTCCAATCGCCGAGTAGACTAATGCTTATACTGTAGCTCCGCGAAGAATGGTCTTTGTGACCGATAGCCATGGTTCATGATGCATCTTGCCCAGGTGGCCTGCCGCCTACCTGAGCGAACCATGAAATGCGGGGTGTTCAATCCTTTTGTGATTTCTTCAAGACTAAACCTGGGGTTCAGAAGATCACCCTTCAGGTCCCATCATGTCGAGGAAGGCTTGTTCTAGCTACGGCTGCGGCTCCATTGACCACCTAAGTGCACTCACCTATGCCAGGAGTACTGTCTGTTGACCAGAAAATGTGAGTGTGTTTTGCAACATGACGCTCCGATCGACATCATTGCTATTGTATTTCTTGCGCTCTTGCGACTGAACGGGGGGTGTACTGCCCAAAGCTACTCGTTTTGGCATGGCGAGGACTGAGCAGTGGACGATTGCACGATAATAATACCTGGACGCCTGTTTTCACACCATTAAACAGCACATCTCTCGTGCTGTGCGGTTTTACTTTTTGTAAAAATTGGGCCGGGTCGAATCAGGTGTGCCGAGATAATCGATTTTATGCAGCATATCCCTAGTTTTTCTGCGTGTCATTAGAGAAGCCTGCGTCATTGAAGGTCGGGAACTTCCTATAATGACTCAAGCCATCAATACCAGAACTGGCCTGGACTTGACTAGCCCATGAAGGTCAAGGGGGAAAAAACTTGAAAAAGCGTCTGCAGGTGCTAGGTACGCCGGCTGACCATGATGTAGCGACCGTCGCTCTCGGGACCCTTGTATAGCCTCAAGTTTGACGTCAGGAATGAGTACCGGTGCTTCTCTTGACTTGCCAGTCAGAATCTGGCAGAGGCGCCGAATGTGCGCTGTTCCAGTGGAAGTGCTTGAGAAGTCGGAGCACTATCGACAAATAATCTGGCTGCATAGATTCTCCAACAACCCCTCAGAGAAGAGTTATTGCCGCAACAGAACGCGATTTTTGACTCGTCTTGAGTCTCTTGACTTTTGACCCTTGAGTTGAGTGAGCAATGCCGCAGCCGGGCACTCGTCTGGCCACTGGCGTTGAGTTCCTGCGCCGTGCCCCTGAAGGCCAAGAGATGCTCTGTCGTGGACCAACCATCCTTCAAGCCCTGCGCGGTGAAACAGCCAAACGTCCGCCGTGCCAATTTCCCGTCTCGCCGGCTGGCGTCTGGGGGTTTCTCAGAACACCGCCAATAGCAGGGTTTTGTTTCAGTGCCCTCGACCCCTCAGACGGCAGTTCGCACAGGATGCAGGTTCAACGTCGCACGGCAGTTTGCACTGTACAGTCACTGGTCAAAAAGCAACGAATCAATGATATGGGCTGTGTTTCCAATAATAAACCAGGGTTCGTACTATTGAGCCGATCGGGCCTGGAAGAGGATCAACTTGAGTCATGGGCGATGAATTCTTCAGGAAGTCAGTCTTCCGTGGTGCGTTGTCGACGTCGTGTTTCGCGTTTCAGCGCACAGCCATCAAAGGTCTGGCCCTGGTGCTGGCCAATGGAGCGACCCTGCGAAATGAGCGGATCCTGCCGTTGCTTTTCGTGGCGTCTGCCCGCTACGTAAAAGTGAAACCAGGGGATTTGCCAGGCACACTACTCAGCTACCTGCGGGCTCGACCGTGGCTGTCCCAAGGTTCCTCTGCTGTCAAAGACACAGCGACTCTCTTTGTACCCCGTATCCAATGCTGTAAAAAGAACCATGATTCCGGCCAGCAGGACGCGTCGCTTCTTTGCCTCTTTGTCCGGCGACGTAACCGAGTGGCGCTTGCATCGTAGAATCTAAAATTGTCTCATAATCCCCGATCCCAACCGGGGACCTCACCAGTCACTAGATACTTACTGCTTGGCTGTGCGCAGCAGCAGCGTGCACTCCACATCCTGATCAGCTCGTAGATCTCTTCGCCCTTCTGCTCCAACTTCTCTTCGCCCCCAGATTTCTTTCTTCTCCAACGCTCTTTCCCTTGTTCATTATAATCTATTGACCCGATACTTTCGCTTTTGTCTCTTACTAACTATACCTCGTTTCATATCCTGCCCGGACGCTCTCTGGTAGACTGTCCTACTACATTCGTTCTACTCTTGACTATCGATTGCCCGCGATACAAACATGATTGACGGGGGCGTCGCGCACTCAGCACCTCCAGCTGACTCAGGCCATGCTGCTGCTCCCGCTGAAGGACCTGCTCCAGTGCAAGCAGAGGTGCGCCATGGCAACGCTCCAGGGCACCACAACGGCCCTCCGAGCGAGAAAAGCTCAAGCCCAGGACGGATGACACCGCGGCCCACCTTCTTGGAGAACCTTGCCGACTCTCGAGAGTCTCAGTTTATGTTCAGCCGCCGCGACTCTGATGACCTGGATCGTTACTTTGTGAGTTTGTACCTCGCCAGAGAGGGGACATTATACTAATGGATTCTCCTTCGCTAGCACGGCCCAAGAGACCTGGACAAGCACTCAAAATGGCCTATCATGCTCCGAATGCACGGCAGCATCATGCCGAAACTGATCCTTCCCATTGCCTTCGTCGCCGGTTGGTCGACCTGTATAACCTGCATTTGCCGTTTCGTTTATGACAGTGAGTCTCTGGGCAAAAGAAAGCTCTAGTTCCTGGCTCACCGATGGACAGTTTCTGTTGATAATATCCTCCTCACCGTGCTGGGTTTCGTCGTTGGTCTGTCTCTTTCATTCCGAAGCTCCACTGCCTATGAAAGGTACGTACCCGTTCTATGTGGCATGTTTCCGAAGACACGACTGATCTCCATCTAGATGGGCGGACGGCCGGAAGTATTGGTCGTTGCTTGTTCAGACGTCTCGCAACTTGTCTCGCACCATCTGGATCAACACAACCGAACGGGAAGGTGAACTAGGAAAGGAGGACTTGCTGAGGAAGCTGTAGGTTCTCTGCGTATACAGTGAAAGCAGTATGCTAAACAACTCTAGCACGGCTATCAATCTTATCTTGGCCTTTGCAGTGGCTCTGAAGCACAAGCTGCGTTTCGAACCCGATGTTGCATACGAAGATCTAGCTGGTCTCGTCGGATATCTCGACACCTTCGCCAAGGATGCTCACGATCGCCAGGTTATCCAGCCGCGGAGAAGGACGATCTGGAAGGCAGCTGGCGAGTACCTCGGCGTGTCATTCGCGGAGTCGAACCCTAGGAAGCTCATCAAGCGATCCAAAAAACCCCTTGGGCACCTCCCTCTAGAGATTCTGAACCACATCTCAGCCTACATCGACTCGGTCATCAGGAACGAAACCCTCAACATCAGTCTCCACCAGTCTCAAGCTAGTACGTGCCAGGCCATTTTTATGATATGATCTTTTATCACTAATCTCCCGTCCACAGTCGCCTGCCTTGCTCAGCTAAACGAGGTTGTCACCGGCACCGAACGTGTCCTTGACACCCCCCTCCCAGTCGCATACAGCATCGCCATCGCGCAAATCGCCTGGATCTACGTCCTTGTCCTCCCATTCCAGCTCTATGACTCTCTCGGCTGGGTCACCATTCCTGGCTCCATCGTCGCCGCGTACATCATTCTCGGCCTCGCAACCATCGGCAGCGAAATTGAGAACCCGTTCGGCCACGACGTTAATGATCTCCCCCTCGACACCTACTGCAGACAGATTGCCCTTGAGCTGGACATTGTCACTGCCATTCCGCCGCCAAGCGTTGACGACTTTACCTCCCGCGAAGACAACTATGTCCTGTACCCGCTTAGCACGTCCGGTCAGCCTGATTGGAAGGAACGCAGTGTTGAGGATATTCGCGCTGCGCTGCGTGCGAAGGTCGTTGCTAACACTTCTTCTGCGGCGTCGAATGCCTCGACGGTGCTGGAGGAGGTGAACACGAAGCTGAGCAAGCAGCCGTCGTCGGTATAACACTCCACCTTCGTGGAACAAATTCAAACAAAATACAGAATGGAAAAAATGCATGGGAATTTGAACGTTCTTGCGTTGCAAGCATGGGTTACGGGCGTCTTCATTGCGTGAGCATGTCTATCTATATATTTTATCTCTGTTCTATCTTGGGCTCGGTGTTAAGACTGGAAATTGTTCATACGGTTCGAGGTTTGAGCTCGGTCGACATTCGTTTACTTATTTGCGAGGCCTTTTTTGCCCGCTGTGAATACTACCAAGCCTGTCTTTACATACACACAAAATTGTGACTCTGGGATCATTCCGTACAATGAAATATAGAACTGTGGTTTTAGCATATATCGTTAACGGGTCGTTCTTTCCGCTGTATAGGGTGTACATCTTGCATCCGAGCGAAGCGGCAATGGCTGTTCTGGTTGACGCAGACTCACTCCTTCCTTTAGCGCCCCTTAATCGTTGATACGCCGTCCAAGCGATATTAAGTCATAGGGTTCCTTGCTTGTATTCTCCCCGAACGGACATATTTTCATGGCAGGAACATGATGTACGCACAATCACGGCATTCCAAGCCCCATGGCCGGCAGCGCCAGCGCAGCCCGCAATTCATCGCATCGCGTCAAAAAAAACTTTGGTCTTGAACAGTGACCGAATCTCCACCCTACACCTTGAACAAATCCGCCCCGTCGCCTCTCACTAGCGGACTCAAAAAGTTACCCTTCGCGCAGATTCTCAACGCGACACTCCCGCCAGCATCCTCTTCCGCCGTGCCCCCGATCCAAGAACTCAGGGCTGCGACAACGGCAGGCGCATCCTGCCTCGGTACGCGGACCCAGATGAATTTCTCGAGGGGCCGCGGTTGCGGTTGCGATTGCGTTGAGTCTGGGTCGGGGGATACGGAGAGGATGTCGATGGGGATTGAGGTGCCGGAGAGACCGAGGAATTGGGAGAGCGCGGAGGAGAGGTGGCTGCGGGCTGTGAGGGGGTCGAGGGGGGCGGATTTCGTGGCGTCGGAGGTGTTTGGTTGGTGAATTCTGAAGAACATCAGTCAGTTAGTTCAGAGAAATTGACTTTGACATTTTGGCGAGGTGTGGGCGTACAGTTGGAGCTTGAGGTAGGTCCAGGGAGGATTGCGCGCGGTGAAGCTGATGGTTTTGGTGTCGGAGCTGGAGTCTTCGGCGACTTTTCGTTTCGCGGAGGCCATTTCCCTTGAATTGGAGAAGTCTGGTAGCTTAAATAGCTTCTCTCTAAGATTTCGGTGTATCCTGGGATATTTGCGCGGTGGTCAATTGATTAAATCGTCGAAGAAAAAAGTGTCCGTGATGTCAGTGGAGGATCTCGGGAGCGTTCCGCGATAAACGTTAGACACGGTCTCATTTCCTGATCACGGCGTCTTGTAGTTTTTGGCCAGCTCTCTGTAGGAACTCCTCTTCGCTCTCCGCTCCAATGTTTAGGTCAAAGATGCAGAGAACCTTGTCGCGTGATGTGAGTCCGTGGGTGACCTCGACGTCGGATTTCGCGACCCCAAACACCTGCATCCGCATCAGTCGATCTGATTGAGGAACATCGTTAAATCCAACGCTAGACGCGTTCAATGATGGAATTGAGAAGATCAGTATGATTTGGCAGTACCTTTGCAAAGACACGAGACACAGCTGCGTTTGCCTCTCCTTTTTTGGGGACCGCAGATACACAAACGTCCACCTTCTCCGTTCCCACCGCAGTGACGCCCTCTCGATCACCAGACGCGTTGGGCTTTACTCTGCACGATATTTGTAGGCTGTATCGCTTCATGAGCTTCTGGCTTTTGTTCCGGTGGATCACGGTAGCTGTTTGGATGAGTCGGAGCATAGAGCAGGGTGGCATGTTGCGTTGATGGAGGAGGGAAGTTTTGCTGCGGCCTGGCCTTTGGTTTCGTTCCCTACGCGACAGGCGACTTTCTGGGCAATGCTGAATACTGGCGTCAGCTCGGCCGTGGACGAAAATGAGTTGCGCGGGCTCAACGTCTCAAACGGCAAGGTCTGCCGGCGTATTGTGCGTTTTCTTCGAGAGACCTGGGACTGGATGGCGTCAGCTCGGCCGTGGACGAAAATGAGAGGATTCCTACCTGGAAGCATTGGAAGGGAAGCTACCTTCCACTCAAACATCTTGAACTCTAGTTAATGAAGAACCCTCTGTGAGTCTAGTTTCATTGAGCCTTCTCTCTTTGTATACTTGACTAACTGATACTAATAAGCAAAGGGCCTATGATGTATGGTACAGCACACCTCTGATACAAGCTAGTCAGAACAACACGATGATGTGTGATTGCATAGTGAGTGCCTGGTCATCAGGTACTCATGACCCGCTTGGCCTCCATGAGTACCTGATACCCCGTCATTCACCTTTTATTGAGAAGATTGCAGGCCACCATCTGCATAAATATGACCTTCGCCCCCGGCCTTGCTGGTGTTTGGCTCCTACTTCTTCAATAGGTGAACCTCCTGTGTGGATAGACTTCACTTCACACACTGCACCCTGCCTACTCTTTGATGAGAATAGTACCTCATACTCTGACATACTTGGATCAGAGAACTAACACAGGTGTTTCCTCTCTTCAGATCGTTACTCGCAAGTGCCCAGAGACCACCTCGAAGCATTTTATTTACAAGTTGAGCTACTTGCTACAACTGCTCGACGTCAAAACTGCCTGACCTTCGCATCACTTAATCTCGCCAGTACCGCACGCCAGGATCAAAAATGGTAAGCCGTTTTGCGGTTAGAACGCTGTTCAGTGCTGACGCTGCTTGTCAGTCCTCAAACGTCAATCCTTACCAGTCAATTGATCCGCAGTTGGTCCTGGAGCCTATTGTACAACATCTATCCAGTCAGCCCGATGTGTTCGGTGTTGTGTATAGACGACCAGGGACAGCGGACTACACGCTATCAGACATGTTCTACCTACCTGAGCAAGCGACCTGGAGCATCTACAAGTTGCCCGGTATTCTCCTTGACATACGTCCTCCCGAGGAACATCGCATTCAAATGACACTGCCGGTTTTAAAGTCTTCTTACAAGATATACGGGAAACATGTCAACGACTTTGAGGCGATCCTGCCGCGACAAATATCTTCCAATGTGGAAGGCTGGCGCCTTGAAGCGTGGTTTCGTCTCGATCCTCGTATCACTAGCGGGGACATCATTGACCGAGTCCATCCTCACTATCGAGGGCGCATCTCTGACCTTCAAATTCGTTACCGTCGCAAGGAATTCCGGCAGGAGTTTAACTTACCCTGCTGGGAAGCAGGTCCGGAGAGCCATGACAACGACAGCATAACCGAACTTCTCGAAGAATACGGCTCTGAATTCCATTCTCATGACCAAAAGGACGGCGCTGATCTGGTTCCCGTCAGTCCGCAGGGGGGCATTGCGCTGCAGGAGACTCATGCCGCTGGGTTCGACTCGTCCGATTCTGTGGCTTACTGGGTCTATGAGGCGTTCCCGTGGGACAACGTGTTCTGGTTCTCTGTAGGACCGGTTCGGTTTATAATTGACGTGAATGGAAAGGTGGTGTCCTCTCATGCTTCTTACGAGTCCGTGACTTCTCGTGGGCTTTACAATGGAATCATCCATCCAATTCATAATTCAAACACCTCGATTACTTCCCAGCCAGCTGAGCCTGATCAACTTCCTGAAGACGCCCCTCGCCTAGCTAATAAACTATTTTTACCTCAAAATAGTGTTGCGACAGCTCAACCGGCAGTTTATCACCTTGCTTCAGCCGCCGTTGAGCCTCAACCCCGTGAGCTAGCTGTGCCACACCCACGGAAACGAGCAGCTACTGGTGCTGCCGAGAGGTCTGTTGTTTCTTGCTTCCATACCAACTACTACAATACTGATGCGTATAACTAGTACTCCGAAGAGAATCAGCATCGCAGATATCATCGAAACCAATGGCCTACCCACCCCGACTTGTTCTGTCGAGACAACTTATCACGATGAGCGTGGCGTGGCGTCTTTCCCAAGAATTGCCTTTGAAGAAAACATGCCGGCGCAAGGCTTTTTCAACCCCTTTCCTCCTTCCCCTGGTCATGGTCAGATCTTCACTCACCAGAGCAACAATTACCAGGGCTGGGAGGCACCCACTGGATGGGAAAACACTGGCTACACATACTACGACCCGTTCTGGTTTCCCAGAGCCACATAGGAATTGACGGATATCTTCCTTCTCTCCAGATCATTCAAACCGGTGTTTGGACCATGTACAGCTTTCACTTCATTTCTCAGTTTCTATGTTTGTCTAGTCTATCATGGTCTCTTTGTTGCTTAATGTTCGTACAAACGGGGATTTGATTTTAATGTCACTTTCAAGTATAATAACTTGCATTCACTTGGGTACAGACAACAAAAACAAAGATAATTACAACTACAGATCATAGAGGCATCTAGTGCCCCGCAATCCAAGGCTTGTCTGGTGTAAGCTTTGGCCATGGGTGGCAGGCCCATGAGAGGGAAACAAAATTTTCTTGGCCGGTCCCGGCCACAAGTGTATCCTCCAGAGGAAAGAAGGCAATGCCCCTCTCAAGTGACTTTTCATGACCGAAAGGTCGGCGCCGAGCTGAGACAAGACGCCAGTCATGGCTGTCTCTTATCGGAAACAATGCCATCACACTTCACACTTTGGCACACAATATCCCAATTGGGAACACTCAATGACGATTGTCAGGTCCAGCCATCTTATTGTCAGGTTACATTGAATAGTGCTATCTCTTGATGTCAGAATGAATGACTACTGGCCTCAGATAGCGTATCTCTCCCTGAATGCCTATAGGCAGACCACCAAGGCCATGTCTTAGAGTTGGTAGCTACGCCACCTGATAGAGACACCGCGTGCAGCTGAGTGTCGCCATGGGATTGGCTGTTCATGGCCACGGGGCCGGTCAAATTTGCTGAGAGTTGATGTTGGTCAAGCGTTGAAGTGATCTGAGGAAGGCTTCGAGAACAACGCCATATTGCGATGCCATAGAAGACACCAGTATAGCTGATATTAGGCTTTATACACAGCCAGGAGTAGCTTCTATCTGGCCCAGGTTATTGCACAGTGATAGCTCAGGCCTTGCAAGTGCTAGATCGTTCAGAAAATGGGGGGCTCCTCAGCGATCTTTGCTCCTCGTCCTCTTCCCCGGACCCGTTGCGAAGATTTCCCTCACTGAAGCTCCAGTCCCCCACCATCGTCTTCCACCAATTCAGAGCCTCTTGCCAACCACCCCAATTGTTCGTCTTCCAAAAAGGGAACAATAGCGCTCGAAGCTGGCAAGATGGCTTTCTTCATTCTGTCTTCGTTTCCTCCTTGGAGTCTTCGTCTTTCTCAGTCCATTCCCCTCCCTTCACTGCGTTTCATTCACTCCAGTTCCTGCTTCTGCCCTTTTCAGTACAGCATCAGTTTGTGGAAACTAGTACTACTCAGATCTCTTGTATCAGAATCAGAAAAGTGAATGTACGCTTCGGATCTTGCCCTGCTGGCTCACAGGCAAAATGGCTAACGTCGGTTTTCAGTGAAGCCATCATGACCAGAGCAAGCTACAGAGTCGCTAAGTCGACTTCGAAATCTTCAGCTAAGAAGTCTAAAGGGCTTCTTGGAAGTAAGGTCCCTTTGTTCCTGCTTGAACAGAATACTGATGCTCTACAGACAAAGTTCCTCCGAGGCAGGACAGCCCCAGCGCAAACGACCCCCTCAATTGCACCTCCCAGCATCCTGACCAAACTCACTGGTCATGGGAGAACCTCCCTGACATCTTGTACCAGCTGAATCCTGACAAGGAGGAGAAACCAAAGAGTGATCCCGGGCTCATGAGGAACTCCATCTTTGGGAAGCGTCTTCGCAACCTCCCGGTCCTTCCTGACCAAATTTCCTCCACCGTGGAAGAATTCCGCGTCGAAGCATGGCAACGACTGGATCCCCGCATCTCTCTTGAGGACATCACAGATCGCATGCATCCGTTTTTCCGCATCAAGAACAACGCGCTCCAGCAGCGCGGAGTACGTTTTCGCCAAGCGTTCAACATCAAGGCGTGGCGCTCGGGAAACAAGCGCAGCGCACTACTCGAGGCGGGCCTCTTCAAGAGGATGGGGGACATTGGTTTGGATATCAACTCCAACTCTACCCGCGGCATAACCCCAGGCCTCATCGACCCTCAGTTAGGTGAGGCAGGTGGTCGTGTGCCCCTTCCTAAAGGCTGGCATATTAGGAAATTGGGCGCAGCAAACAGTCTCAAGAAACAAACCGAAGCCACCTTCAGGGAGCTGGAGACTCTGTCTGAGAATGGTGAATCATTCGTTTCGAGTGACTTCGGAACAACTCGGTCTGGTGAAACTGAGGTCATGTCTGAGGACCCAGAAGTCCTTCCCGAGGCAACGGAGGTCATCAAAGATGAAGCTCCATCAACAATCGAGTACTTCTACCAAAAGGTCAACTATGACGAGGAGCAAACCCACTTCGGCAGCTCTCTCCCGGTTATCTGTGGCATGATTCCAGACAATCAACTCCCAGATACTGTCAGTCTTCCTGATCTCGATCTGTACGTCCTTCTCACCTCAATTTGCCCCTCCCTTGTTATTCTATTCAAGATCTCTAGCTAACATGTCAAGGCGGCTTGGCCACAGACCACCAACTCCACAGATTAAAGCGGAGAATGACTCTCTTCCTCTCATTTACAATGAAGATAGAGTCGACTGGCGCTCGCCTTTCTGGATGCCGGGTTCAGTCGTTAGCAAGCACATCTTCTGTCAATCACCTTGCTTCGATGACCTCCTCATGCAAGAAGACGAGTACCTCAACTATAACCCACCACTTTTCATCGAAGGTCCGAGCAAGCTCGCGACACCTACCACAGGTATCTTTCCTGTCATTACCCCCATTGAACTCAACACGCTCCCCGAGCAGCAACGGTGGAACATTTTCGACCACATGCTGGCGGAATACAACAAAGGTGAACGTTATGTCCCTGAGATGCCTTATTAAGATCGTTTTTCTGCAAAGCCTTATGACTGTTGTCACTGCGCTATGATATCCCCGGATGTCCTTTTATTCATCTCCATTGCTACAAGCGAGCCTTGTCCTGTACACTGATTTCTGTCTTCACATTTGCACATCATGTCCTGTAAAACATTGTCAACTATACCCCATGGACATACCTGATCTTCTTGCGGCGTTTTGACTTACTTGCGCTGTACAATATCTCCTCTACTCGAAGCATCTATCCAGCGAATGGCGATGGTTGGCGTCACGATACCACAGGTTGCGTTGTCCTTGCTTCTCTTTCTCCTTTTCTTTTCTTTCCTCGTCTTCTCTACTTGATCTAATATGGATCTGCGAAGGAACTTTCTCCATTGGCGTTTCGTGGTTCATGCTTCATTTTGTTACTCGGTCTAACCCTCGTGGTGGCGCCTCGATTGCCTCACTAGCTTGTTGTACCAACAGTGTACTGTAGATTGCGACTCATGCAATCAGGAAAGCGGGCTCTAGACCTCATGAGACATTTTCGATTTCTGTTATTTGAATCCAGTTTTCATTCATTGCTGTATCTGTCGCGGTACTCTCTGCTCCGTAGCCTCAGAACTCTTGCGAAGCATACCTAGCCCTAACTCGTACAGCATCTTGGCGTCGACTCCGTACCTACTGTAAGAGAATCTAGCGATCGGGAGAAGGAAACAATATCTCTAATTCGAAATGAATCTATTTCAAGGCATCAAAACTATATACTACGCAATATAATGCAAGAAAAACAATTTCTAGTACAAAACGATGCTATCTAGGCTCGAGAATCCGGTCGCAACACCACCTTCATTCACGCCCTCGGCCTTCGTCCGCATCAGCCATCCACCCTGCTCATTGTGAAGAATATTTCCATCCTTCTGGTCCCACAGAATAGTGCCATAAACACCTAGTTCCCCGATGACGCCGCCAGCGAGGACCTCGCCGTCGCTGCGGAGAGCGACGTTCTTGGCTGCCGCGGGAGGGTGGATCAGCTCCATGAGGATCCAGCGCTTCCACTCATTTTCAGGGATGGATTTGAGGAAGTCCGGGATTGCGGTTTTATAAATGTTGTTGCCGCCGCCTTCGCGCTGGGGCTTGAGGACGTGGTTTGATGCCGTTGAGGGGTTGAGGGCGAGTTCTCGGCCCTTCCCGGAGAGGGAGAGGTCGTATTGCGGGGCGAAAGTTGAGCGAAGTCTTGAGATGACGGCTTCGTCAGTACCGGCGAGGAAGGCTGCGAGGTGATCGGGTCCCGTTGGTGCTGCAAGGACCTGCTGGACGATTTTGGATCCGGAGAGTTGGTTGAGAACTGTTGGGCATTTGATTGCCGCGGAGCGCTCGAGGTGGGTTCGGGCTTCCCAGTCACGGTCGGATTTGTAGTCGGTTGGTGTGTAGAAGGATCGGAGGTAGACTGTTGTCACTTCAAAGTGCGTCTCTGCGGCGTGCGGCGGGCGGTAGATGAGAGGGCGCAAGGGATTAGAGCCGGGGATGAAGGTGTGGTCTAGAATCTCAGAGCTTAGTAAACGAAAGACCGGTATCTTGTGGACATTGGAGAGTTGTCTTGAAAGCGCCAGCTGGTCGAATATGTTTCTTTCGTTTTCTTGCACCACAAACAAGACACAAGTAGGCAGCTGCGGTTGCGATTTGGATGGCCCGTACGCGACGTGTGCCGTTGCCAGACCTGCAGATAGTGTCTCCACTGCAGTATTATCTGGCACTGCATTTGATTGCAGCAGCGGGTGTGGCGGGTACGCCATAGGGCTGCCGAGGGGAGAATCTAACAGCTCGGAGTGCAAGGATGCCACAAGCGACGATAAACCGCCAAAGGACGAGGATATGGTGTTGAACTCGACCTGTTTCAACTCGGGCGTCGTCGAGGTTGACGGAGTGTGTGCCATATAATCAGAACGGAAAAGGCCCAGAGAAAGGGTCTGGACATATCCTTCTCTCTGAACCGCAACGTGCACTTTCCAGAGGTTCGAGATGAAGTCGTCGACGTCAATGAGACTACAGTTAAGGCCATGCTTAGTCCAGGTTTTGTGAGTCTGACAAAGCAAGTCTTCGAAAAACGATAGACTGCAAAGCAATAAAACTGTGTATCCGGAGCCAGGCCTTACTCTTCCATTATTTTGCCAATCCATTCCTCGTTGCAGGTTATCGCGGCATAGAGCTTATTGTACACGGTCTGCAGCGCCTTGGCTTCTTCGAAGCAGGTCTTCGGGAAAGGGCTAGGGAACAAAGTCACCGGCGCATTCGTTGCGAGTATCCCGTGAGGATCAGATTCCTTTGAGACGAACGTAGGCGCAGGTCTGACCATCAGGCCATTCTGTGTCGCCCAGTCCTTCACTGTCCTCACCAGGAACTCCTTCTGTGCGGGGTTCAAGGCGGGAGGGTAATTTGCGTAAATCGAATCTGCCATGGTAGATGGGCGTCAATGCGTAAGTTTCGAGGGATATATCGTGCTCTAAGAGTTCATATCGATATTGCGAGCGTCAACTTCAGCAAAGAAGCGTTTCTACGGAGTAGGCTTCCATAATGGACTTTCTCTGATATTCCCCGCGGAGGGGTCTTTTTGATTAGTAATCAAACAATCGATTGTTATCGCTATCAGTACCGCCTAGTGGACCGCTCCTCTAAAGTAATGCCGGCAGAAGAATGCTTTAGTGGGGCTCTCAGTCGCGACTCGACACAGCGCGTTCTATCATTGCATCTCGAGTCCACTGCTATCGGCCTGCCATGCAATTGGCATGGTGACTTTGTCTATCTGTTTTCGTCTTCTGCTTTCTCTTGCCTCTCTCGTGAATTTACTGCTCAGTCCTTTTCTCGAGCATAGCTCATCTCTCTATGTTTTGCTTTTTGGTCCCATCCCTCTGATCTCATCTAGCGCCTTTCTGCACCCACGCGATTCAAGTTTCCTTGCAGCCATTCTCTGACCCTAACCCCATACTGCCTATCTTCAAACCCATGAGTCGCTCAAAGGCTATCTCCTTCTGCTTGCTACCTGTCTCTACTTGCGCCTACCCATGGACATGATGCAATCCAACAGCAGGGACCCGCTCGATTGGACGGTCGATGAGGTGGTGAACTTCTTATGCCATAATCCCGACACACCATGGTCCATGTCAAACTCGACTGCACCGCGTCCGCCTGCTTCCTTCGAGGCTTCACTGAGAGATAACTTCATAACGGGCGAAGTGCTCTTGCAAGATGTGGAAAAGGAAGCGTTGCGCGATGACCTCGGACTGAAAGCTCTCGGGCATCGAAGCTCTATAATGATGGCAATCCGATATCTTCAGAGATTCTCACCCAAGTTTCAAGCTTCAAGATCCGATCGACCTGCTGCAATTCCTCCGCCGTCCCCAATGCCTCCTCCAACTCCACTACAACCTGCCGCCGAGTACCTATCGACTGTCCAGCAAGCGACTCCAACCCACACTAAAGCTGTCAACGTCGATGTTGCCCGCCAGAATAGCTCTAGCCCCGCTGTCCCTGCTCAAGGGTTGTCCGGGGGTCTGTATCAAAAGTCTGTGGATCTGGGTCAAGAGGCAATCGAGAACGTGAAGCGCATTCGCCCCCGCTCCCACGAGCAACTTGTGGTTGACAACCACGGCAATAAAAAACGCAGGCTCAATTTGACTTCCACTGCGAAACCTACAAGCGACAATGCAGCTTCTGTGCGGCCTAGTGATAGTGAGCTGGAAAGCTGGTATATGGGTCCAAACGGCCTCACGGTGGAGCAAATCTTCTATGCCTCCGATCCCGAAGGTGATGACCAGACGTTCGCGTTCTTATCCTCCAAACTCCCCACCGCCCAACGCACGTTTGTGAACAACCGACTCAAGTATTATTTTCAGCAGTCGCCTATTGAACTAAGTTCAAACGAGAGCTCTTCCGAACAAGCTCTTATTCCATACAAGCCCTCAATGTTGAAGTCCAGCAAGAACAAGTCCTTCACATTATACAACACGAAGCAGGGCAAGACGGAGGTAACTAAGGAAAGCATGAGTGATTGGCCACAGTTGATGCGCGTGTTGAGGATCGAGAATGATTCCGAGTCTCGGAGTAAATCCCTAGGACCTTCTGATCCATTTTCCTATCTGTTGCAAAAGTATCCAGCCGAGGAAGGCCCAGAGCATGCATTACCCATTTACGGAGACTCAGGTTCTGAAGGCGAATTTGACGCGGAGACATGGCAAGAAATGGAGGAGGAACAGGATGAGCCCATGCTTCCGCGGCACAGAAGACTTGGTCCGGCTGAGATTGATTCTATCATCAAGGATTGTATCACTCAGTTTGAAACCAAGTGGCGTGACAGCCATCAGGCAAAGGAGGAGTACAAAGCACGAAAACTCTGGCTAGCTACCAGAAGGAGCAATCGTGTTAACCAAGAGGTCAAATCATTAACAAAGGACATTGCATTACTGGAGCTCCGCTTGAACAAGCTGCAAGATGAGATTGGCAGAAACGAATATAGTATAGAGGCAGAACTGCGGGCTCAGTGCCAGTGCTTGGAGCAAACTATATTCAACATTCAGAAGCAAAAATGGCGTACTTCGGTACTGGAACAAGAAGAGTGCCCGAAAAAGGTCCCTGCTCCCCCCAAGCGCCGATATTCGCCAAAAGCCAAATCTGGAGACGAGGAATCATTGCATTCAGAATCCGATTTCAGTGAGAACGACTCTCTTGATGATTTTGTGATGGTTGACACTGGCCCATTTGAATCAATACAAGATCCAGATGAAAATTCTCCTGCGAGCCCCTTGTCCTCTGAAGGCGACGATGATATCATCAGTGTCTCTGGCACGAGGCGCCGAACAAGAGGTTTAGCGCCCAAAGTTTTCGCGTCAAGCAGCCCTTCTCCTTCTCTTTCCACTCCTCGCCCTCGCTCATTTGGCGGAAAGCCAGAGGTGATTGATCTTACAGAGGAGACGCCCGAACCAGACGAGTTTATGATAAAGACGCCTCCTCTTAATCCAGCCGGGGCCACCACGTCCAATTTTCCTGACACTGGTATGTCAGACTCATCAATGTCTCCCCCACCAAGCCTTGGCTCAGTGGAGGGCAGTGTCCAGGTGAAGACAGAAAGCGGTTCACGTCCTTCACTCCCTGACATAACTGACATGGACAGCATTATGTCAATGGACTGGAGGCTGCTTGAAGAGCGTAAAGATCGTCTGAGATTACTTGCGAAGCTGATTGGTGGTCTCAGTGACGAGGAAAGAAAGACGATGGCGGAACAAATCCCAGAGTATGCATTTACGAAGCTCAAATCAAAGGTGCAGAAAGCCCTGAAAGCTCTAATCAAGAGCAAGAAGGAAGTGGAGGGGATGGCCATTTCTGAGGGTACTCTAATGTTGCGAACATCGTCCTTTTTTATAGCATGGCTTGACTGCGCACGGTGTGATGTTGAGGGCATCAAAAGAAAGCGTGTCGAGGCAGCCCTGGAAGACTTAAAGTTGAAAAAAGGTGGATTTGATACCTACTATGAGGAGCTCATCAGACGACTGGAGTGCTGCCGCACGTGGCGGTATGACACAGAAGTCGGCACAGACCAGGAGCTCGAGACTGAGAACACGCCTCATAAGAAGCGAAAAAGAGTCGTGCAGGAGAGTCAACAGGCCAAAGCAAACCAGGCAAGTGCGAAGTCCCGTATGAAAAAACAAGAACAGCAGAAAAAGAGGCTCGAGAAGGAGTTCCAGAGCAAGGGTATCAGAAACGATAACCCTGACCATCAGGCCGTCAGCTTCAAGGAGCCACCCATATACCTGCATTCCCATATTGGTGAATCTGTAAAACCTCATCAGTTGGGAGGCATTCAATTTATGTGGCGGGAGCTGGTTGAAAACAAGAAACAAGAGGGTTGTCTGTTGGCCCACACAATGGGGTTGGGGAAAACAATGCAGGTGTAAGTTCCTATCCACGAACCCCAAAGATCTAAATCCTGTCTGTTGCTGATTATACCGACAGCATTTCCCTACTCGTAACCATAACAGCGGCCGCCATGTCCCCTGATCCCAAAGTACGACAACAGGTCCCTAAAGAATTTCGCCCTACAGAAGATCTTCCTCAGGCCCGAACTCTGATCATTTGCCCGTCGTCCTTGATCGAGAATTGGCAAGATGAATTCGATCTATGGATGCCTAGGGATATCGCTCTCACGGTGAGACGGATCTCCGCAGAAAACGGAATGCATGAGCGCGTGCGAGAAGTATCCACATGGTACACGGACGGCGGAGTTCTTCTCATATCTTACGATATATTCCGGATATTGGTCTTGAACTCGGGGACAGCCAAGAGAGGCCCGCCGCTGTCAGAGCCCGTCCACCAAAAAGTCAGGAACTGGCTTTTGGAAGGACCTAGTATCATAATCGCTGACGAGGCCCATAAAATCAAGAATCGAAACTCCAAAGCGTCTCAGGCTGCATTGCAGCTCCGTTCCAAGAGTCGCATTGCATTGACAGGATCTCCGCTGGCGAATCATCTTGGCGAGTATTATACTATGGTCAACTGGATTGCTGAAGGTTACCTTGGGGAAGCAAACGAGTTCAAGGCGAACTACATCGAGCCTATCAGAGAAGGGCTGTATGCCGATAGTACCTATGGTGAAAAGCGAAAGTCTCTAATGAAGCTCCAAGTCCTCAAGAAGATCCTGGAGCCCAAGATCAACCGGGCGGACATCACAGTTCTTGAGGGGGATTTGCCACCGAAAGTCGAATTTGTCCTGACTGTCCCTCTTACCAGAATACAGGAGGAAGCGTATAATGCGTATGCCGCATTTCTTTTGCAAGGACGAATGGAAGAGGTTGCGCAGACCACGCTATGGTCATGGCTCGCTTTTCTGAGCATGTGCTGTAACCACCCCGCGTGTTTTCGGGAGAAGCTCAATCGGGCACAGGCTGCCAGCGAAAACGCAAAGTCCCCCTCAAGAACCCATGATGTCGACCAGGAAAGGTTTTCAGAAGAGCTCGATGAAGAGCTCCTCGAAGTGGCTAAAATCCCGAATCTAGCGGAGCATGTATCAGAACAGCGTCGCCGTTTTGATCAGATCCATGACTTGATGGCTGTGGATCTATCGGTCCGCGCAGAAATTACGAAAAGGATCATCGACGAGTCTATTAGAACAGGTGATAAGGTTCTTGTCTTTTCGCACAGTGTACCGACCCTGAATTACCTTGAATACCTCATGAGAATCAGCGATCACCGGTACTCGCGCTTAGACGGTCAGACGCCTGTTGCTCAAAGGCAAGCAGCCATAAAGGAGTTCAATCGTGGCGACAAGCAGGTATACCTTATTTCGACAAAAGCAGGTGGACTTGGCCTGAATATCACAGGTGCGAATCGCGTTATCATTTTCGACTTCCTCTTCAATCCAATCTGGGAAGAGCAGGCAGTTGGACGTGCATATCGCTTAGGACAAACAAAACCTGTATTTGTATACAGATTTGTTGCCGGCGGGACATATCAGGAGATCGTCCATGACAAGACTACCTTCAAGACAGAGCTCTCCGCCCGCGTTGTGGATTCAAAGAATGTAATCCGATCTTCGATGAAGAAGCCTGGCGATTATTTTTTCCCAGCGAAACCCGTTGCCCAACGGGATATCTCGGAGTACATCGGCAAAGACAAGGAGGTCTTGGACAAGATCCTTCACGAGGATGAGAAGAAAAGCGCGGAACAGAAATTGATCCGTGACATCAAACTTACCCAGACATTCTTCATCGAGGACAACGACAAGCTCACGGAAGAGGAAAAGAAGAGCGTTCGGGAGGCACTTGATGATGAAATTCTCCGCCGCGACGACCCCAATGCGTATTATAAGAAAATTCAGGAGAGACAATTACGGGTGATACAACAACAACATCAAGCTCTTCCCCCTTATCCTCATCCATTCCCACTCTCAATCGGTCAAAATCTTCACCAACCACAGATTCCATCAAATGCGCCCAGCGACGTCCCTCCAGCTACTACCATACATCATGCAGTTCAACAAGGTTTGCAGCCAGCAGTGCCACCAGTCGCTCATAACACTGGTCCGCCTGCTCTTGCGCCTGATACTATCTCAGTGTCGGATAGTCAGGGGCCAAACGATAAAGCTCAACTGGATCTTCCTCCTGGTGCGGCAATCCCGCAACCGAAAGCACCGCCAGGGGCAAAAGTTTCAGCCATCGCAAACGTCCGGGAAGCGCTTCGCAATGCAACTCGTCCGCAAATTCCTACAAGTAGGGATGGGTCAGAGCCATTGAGGCAAATCTCTCCTGCCGTCAATGCCCCCAGGCCAGATACCGGGAACCAGCAAGGAACTTCACCCAAAGGTCAATCCGTACCGCTTCACCTCAAGGAGTCCGCGCCCGAAGCCTCTGTACCTTCTGAGCAAGGAGCGTCGAGTGCGGAGTAAAGCCCCGGCATAATGGGTTGGGCGGAGAGCCTTTCTCGGCAGTGATCCCAAGCCGGAGTTAGACCTGTCTTTTCTATTCTTCTCTTTCTCCTTTGTTTCCCTTCATGAACATCTTTTACCCCTGCAAATATTCTACATTTGTATTTTTTTAGTTTAAGGCTGGACCACTGCATCTTGTTTCTCAACATTTGTCTATCTTGTTCTAGCGGGAAATCGGTGTAGATTTCTTTTCTACTAGCATTGCGCTGGCGTTCTCCCAGGTGGCACAAGATACCCGATATGATATGGATGGATGAATTCATGCTTGCATGCCTAATGATACGATTTAGTACCTATACGTGGCTATCAATATCATCAAATTTGATTGACATTCACCCACTCTAATTTGACCCGAAATAGATAGCAGTAGAAGATATTTGTAGTCCGTGGCTGTTCAAAGTGACTTCATGCAGGCCAGAGGGTGTAGAATGGCACGAATATTGGTCTTACACAGTAAGAAGAAACATGGCCACATAAGAAACGTAGGAATAACAAGAAGAGAGTAAATAAAGAAACGGGGAGTTTCACCTCACGTCAACAGCTTCTCCAGATCTGCCACACGCGTCGCCCGGTCATCAACCTTCTTGCTTGCCTTCTCCCGGAATGCAGCGAGCATCAACTTCCTCTTCTGCTCCTGAACAGCCAGCACGCGATCCTCAATACTATCCTCCATAACGAGCCGCCAAACAGTTGTTTCGCGTGTTTGGCCAAGCCGATAAACCCGGTCAACAGCCTGGTCCTCAATCGCCGGGGCCCACCAGCTATCCGCAAGAATAGCCTGGTTAGCGGCAACGAGGTTCAGACCAACGCTGCAGACATTCAAGCTCGCAAGGAGTACGGTGCACTTGGGATCCGTGGAGAAGCGGTGGGTCGAGTTATCGCGGGCCAGCGAGGTCATTTTGCCGTCGATGCGGGCGAACCCGATGCCCGCCTTTTGGAGGTGCGGTTCAACGAGGTTCAGGAAGGACGTCCACTGGCTGAAGACGACGGTCTTTGTGCCCTCGGCTTGACCCTGCGCTGTGAGGATCTTGATCAGGGCCTCGATTTTGCTGCTGGGGTTGTCTGGGTCCGCGGAAACGTCGTCTGTGTTCTCGCCCATGTCTGCGGCCGGCGCGACGAGGGTAGAAGTGTTTTCGATTTCAGCGCGGCACATGGGACACTTCTGCTGGCGGTCTATGACCTGTTCAATGCAGTCGCGGTCGAAGGCGTGCGCGCAGGCGGTTATGACGGGTGTTTCGAGGACGTCTAGGCAGATGGGGCAGGTTTCTTGGCTTTCGATGCGGATCTGGAGCATGTCTTGGAGGGCTTTGATATTTTCGGGGGTGAGAGGCACGACTTGCTGTTTATCTAGAATGGAGGCGAGCTTGTCGAGGCGGTTCTTGGTCAGGGCCCAGTGGTTGCAAACCTGGCGGAGGCGGAGGATGACTTCGAGGAGGTGGGAGTAGGTGGTGCTGGTTTTGTCTTTGGATTTGAAATCTAGAAGCATGCCTTGGGCTTCGGATCTGCTTAGGTGTTAGTGTTTATATACTGCATGGTTGGGGAGAACCCACTGAAACATCTCGTATTTCTCTTGCTCGTGCGGGTGGAACTTGACGCGCAGGACTCGAGATGTGAGAGGTGGTAGACGCAAGTTCACGAAGCTCATGTCCTTCCTACGGCGGAGACAGACGGTACTCATGAGGGCCTGGAGCAGTAGATGAGAGTCCGGCTCACCGGACATGAGCGGTCGAATCAGGACGCTGTTGAAGACACCAAGATCTTCGAGACCTCCAGTGAGTCCTAAGAAGCGAATCTGGGAGTAGAGGTCTTTCAGGCTGTTTACGATTGGCGTTCCTGTTAATGTCCAGCGGGAGTCAGCCCACAAAGCACTGGCCGCGGAGGAACCTTTCGATCGTGGATTGCGGATTGTATGGCCTTCGTCGAGCACAACACGGCGCCATTTGAGTGAGAATAGGCCTTTTGCAGGAGTGGCTTTGCTCTCTGGCTTGTATTCCATCGCAAGTGCACCGTAACTAGTGACCACCACATCATACTGGTCTAAGTTTGCGCCTTCCTTTTTCCCAGGGCCATGGTAGATCAGCACTCGCGGTGCTTGTTCTGGATCAGTGTGCTCTTGAATTTGGTTCCTCCAGTTGCTCATAACGCCGACAGGGGAGATGATCAACGTAGCCTTGGACGATTCTTTTGTCTTCGGCTCCGAATTTGAGAGAATCAAAGAGATAATTTGAATCGTCTTGCCCAGACCCATATCATCAGCTAGGATGCCGCCGCTAGCAAGAGGTGGCGGAGTGGTCGTAGAGAAATTCGTGGCGATATTAGTGAACTTGTTGCCTTGTTTCTTCCAGAGCTGTACCACATCATTGGCGCCGGTTGGCAACTGCGGGTTCTCCTTGCTAATCATCCACGCTAGGCCTTGACGCTGGTATGGGAGGAGAGTGGTTGTGAGAGACGGGGGATTGTCGGCCATGGGCATGTTCTCAAGATCTGCCTCCTTCAAGCCAAAGCTTTCAGCCACTTGACCTATCTCACGGGGGTTGAATGTACTGCTTTGGTTGATAAGCTCATCCAGGCTTTCTTCAGTAATGATCCCCTCCCCGAGTGGCTGAGCAAGATTGGTATAGCCCAGATTATTTGCAGCTTCCAGCAGCTGTCCCTTGCGTGCTTTCTTGGAAGCCTCTTTCATAGCCTTTTCCCGTTCCTTCCGCGCTTTAATCTCATCACGCTCGGCTTGTTTGAGATGATTGAGTGGCAGCTTGTCCTGCATCATTTTCTGTTTCAAAGCTTCTCTTCTCTCAGGATCGCTTGGGCCGTACAGCTTTAACACAATTGGGCAATCGTAAGCCCCAATTACCCCAGTCAGTATACCTTCGACGACCAATAGTCTGTTATCCTAAGGCAAGTCAGCGGAAGTCGTTCGGTCTGAATACCTTTCTGAATTTACCAGGTAACTCGCGAGCTTTGCGGCCATGGTCCGAGGGATGTGGCCAACTTGAGCCCCCATGACATTATCGACCCGGATTGCATTTCGATCATATTGATTACGCGGCTCTCTCTTCAGAACAACGTGTTCTCCAATGGTGGCCTGTCCTCTATAGTAGCGGACGCCAACAATCTTGGTGTTCAGATCCCCATAATGCAGCTGCGTGGTATCTGCGGAGTCATCGACAACTTGGGTCCCCTGGACCAGATCTGCAGCTGCGGCATCGTCCTCGTCTTCATCTAGCGAGACCTGTGCTGCCTGGCTGAGAGGAACAAACGTTGTCTCCTGGCCAAAACGCTGTCCAGAGACCCGCGGGTACTTTGGCGGGGGCGTTGGAGCGACTTCGTGAACTTCATCCAGGGTGAGATCGACCTGACGGATCGGTCTCTTAGCTGGAGGGGCACCCATGGTCTCTGATGGATGAAGTGTAAGTGCAGACGCGTGGTGACGCGCTCCGAAACATACGATAAGCTCTTATCGATAAGATACCTACGTCTAAGGAAATGCTTATCTATGGACTTGTTCAACAGGTACCGAGTAGTATTCGACGGATTCTCCCCTGAATGGCGGAGTAATTTATATCTGAATCTTACGCTGTCCGTGCTATATGAAGACTCTGTTTCTCTAGTATCTGTTTTCTTCTGATATTTGCTGCGGCTTTCATATTGTCTGGGCTCAATTTCATTGGAGCGTTGTAGGTTGTAGGTTGACATGTGTATTCATATATATCTTTGGCTCAGGAACTGCTTGTATGCAAGAACATGTACTAATTTTGGCATAGACATTAATCAGGACAGTGAATCGACCCAGTCATTGCAATGAATCGAAATCAGTATTTCCCACACTGACAATTGGAAGTGGGTTTTCTCAGGTCCGTCCGATGGACTGAGAACAGCAACGCTGCTGTGGCGGGATTATGAAGCATCATCTTTTCTTTTTTCTTCCCCCCCTCCTCACTAGTATTTATCATCGGTTGCGTCAAGGGAGTTTTCTGGGAGCGTGTGTGCTTACTACACTCGAGGCCTTTGACTTGTTTTTACTTGATCGTATCTATTATTTTGAGTTGGTTATCCTTCATCCTTTACTTTGCGCTCTCCATGGTGGATCTCACTTCCGCTTTCATTCGTTACGAGCGCATCGTCCTCGATACAAATAAGCGATATGAATCACTTTTGCAAGAAGGAGACGCGAAGCCCTTGCTACTATGGCATGCGATTACTCCAATGGCACTGCCTATCTGTGCACTTCTGATTTCCAGCCGCAGAGGGGGCCGGATAGTACGGCAGATCCTCTACGCGATCTCCCTTAGCATAAGCGTGGAGATCATACGACACCGGCGCGTGCTATTGGGGGGGAATGGGTATATGGTTGGCCTAATCATGGCATGGCTGCTTGTTTGGAGCTCAACACTTCTTTTCTTCAACAATGTCGAGCGTGATGTTCGACGGATTGAAAGAGCACGGTCTTCCAAAGACACAGGCGCGAATGGCCAACAGAACAGGCACGCGAGCACCGAGGAGCGCAAGACGGACGGAGCTCATAGAGATGATAATCAGCTTGTATGGCAGCTGTACCCTCAATCATTCAAGCACCGACTTGGTTGGGTATTCGCCTTGATGCTGAACCTCAGAGGCCCGGATTTCAGCTTCAGGATCTCCTCCATGGATCCGCTGCCTTCTCAGCTCGACCTCAAGCATAGCTCGGCAAACGAGGAAAGCACGCCGCCTCAAGCAAGAAACCGTATACGAACCGCCTTTATCCGCTTCTTCGTTGCCTATCTAGCTCTGGACGTTCTCAAGCTGATAGTGATTTGGGACCCGTACTTTCTGGGCACTCTCTCTGCACCACCTCCATTCCCGCTCGACTATCTCTCGATTGTTCCTGGGCTGACCCAAGCATACCGTTCACTGCTTACTGGCGTTGCCGTATACTTCGCTCTCTCATTCGTGACGGCTTTGAACCCAATCTGCTTTCTCGGCCTAGCTGCGGCCTTCCCCAATGCATCTCGCGCACTAACCGCAACGCCGCTGGACGCCCCATGGCTCTACGCCGATTCATTCGGCCCTATCACGGCGATTCTGGATGACGGGCTCGCAGGTGCGTGGGGTAAATGGTGGCACCAACTGTTCCGCTTCGGCTTTGTGTCGACTGCAAAATGGATAATCTCGCTTCTTCCCGCATCCATATCCTCGCAGCGCACCATAAGACGCATTATCACAACTATTGTCGCTTTCGGCATCAGCGGCCTTCTCCACGGCTTCGGAAGCTACACGCAGCTCGGCGAGGATACCCGGCCAGTCTCGGGTCCGTTTCTCTTCTTCATCCTGCAAGCCGTGGGTGTTTTTATCCAAGAGATCTGGTCCCGTGTCGTAGTGGCGCAATTCATTCGGTACGGTCTTGCACCGCCGCGCTGGTTGCGCCGACTTGGTAATGTGGTTTTCGTGCTTGGCTGGCTTCATTTCTCGGGGGCCGGGATCGCGGATGATTTTGCGAGGGGTGGGTTGTGGTTGACCGAACCGCTGCCTTTCAGTTTCCTGAGGGGCTTGTTGGGTCAAGGTTGGCTTTGTTGGCGGACACCCTGGTTTGTGTACCATGATGATGGGACGTTTTGGGGGAGAGGTGTGCGCATTGTATAGGGCTGCTGGATTTTGAGTTTTGGATTTTTCGGCCTCCTTTGTTTGTGATATAGATTGGGATCCAGAACTAGTATTAGAGTAGAATAGATAGAACATTTAGACTAGATACCATCCTGCAATTGGATACACTTCATTGTTGGATCCGAGAATATAAAACAGGATTTACTGCCCGTTGGCTCTTTGAATGTGCAGTGGATACATGGGACACATCCAGAATCGTGTAATTCATGCTCGACAAATCGCAACAGGCTTGCATCTGTATTATGCCTGTGCACTTGTCGATACTCTAGCACCTATACATGACAAATCCGCTACATCAAGCCCCAGAACCTACTCCTCGTCTTCGTCATCCGTGTCAGGCTCGATATTCAGAGTCGGCATCTCCTCATCGCTATCTTCATCTCCCGGCGCCGTTGCGGCTTCGACTTGAGGAACTGATGATGACTGCTCCACCATAACAGACGTCGTGCTAGTCGTGACGCCATTGCCCACCGTTGAGGTCTCCTCCGTGACTGAGCTAGTCTGGATGGAAGCAGGCGCAGCGGCGGTAGCCCTTGAGAAAATAGAGGGCTGTTCTAGGGTCGTAGCTGGCGTCGTTGACGCATTGCTATCAAACCTCGCCTTCTTGGGCTGAAGACTGTCTGCCTTCGCCAGTGAACCGGCAGAAGTGGGTGTGCTATGGGACGATTCCTCTGCGTAGGTACGTTTATTTACCGACGAAGGAAAACCCTGGGGCGTGCTGGAATCCACAAGGTCTTGAAGACTTGGGGTGACGGCTGGTTTCAGGAACCCGGAATTCTCGGCGGGCATGGACTCGGGTGCGCCAGCATGTTCCATATCTTCGTCCTCGTCTTCATCAATGTTGGCGTAGTGGCCAATGCTGTTTGAGTTCGTCAAGATGGGCATCCGAGGTCGGATCAGGGCCTCTACGTCCATTTCTGATGTGTAGCTCCTGGCTAAGAAAGGCATGATGCTGACATTTACTCCGCGGCCCTTCACCGCTGGGTGGGGGTTGAGAACGCTGGCGTACATGGCGCTCTTGTCAGAGGTCATGATGATGGTGCGGTCAATTTCGGCGCGGATCGGAGCTGCGAGATACTCCAGCGCGAGGTGCGTGAGGACCGATTGAAGTAGGTTTGAGGCAGCTCGCGAAAGTCTGGAAGATTTGGTTGACGCATTTGTTTGGCGGCTTTGCTTGAGGTTGGGGTTCAAGAAAAAGTCCGCGTTCACGGTAGCTGAGTTCGTTTTGGACCTGCCCTTTGTATCCGAAGAGGTGTCTTTAGAGCCATTCTCGCCCATCGTAGGCAAAATATCGGAGCAACAGATTCGGATCATCTCAGTCAAAGAGGATACGCTCTTCTTATTCATAGATGGGCCCATATGCTTGAGCAATGCATCGAGTAAGCCGTACACTGATGTTCTGACCTTCTTGCTGGACTTTTCCGCGCGGAAGACCCAAAGAGTCTGCTCTAAGATTGTCTGAGCGACTGAAAGCGCAGCAGTTTCTAGTGTGCCAATCAAGGCACGAAGGACTTTAATGCAAGCAATGTGAATCTGGGGTAGTTCCGTAAAGAGAGTCTCCCGTTCAGTCCGACTCACTTGAGGATTGGCTTGGACATCGCTGGCTTCTGTTGGGACTACTACAGACATCAATCGCGCAGTCAAATCAAGCACGGAGCCGATAGGGATTGATACGGTAGAGGCCGTTGCGGTGGTTAAAAAGGTGGAGAGCATTCGCAACAGCTCGAGCAATCTCTTAACCCCCGCATCCAGCCCTTGCCAGCCAGCCAGTCCCAGAGCGTCAGGTCCGTGGCTACCGACCTCGAGGGCGTAATCGATAGGGTGGCTCAGTTGCTGTCGCAATGAAGGATCAATAGACTCCCACTGCTCAACAATGGCCCGAAAAACATGGTTCGCTGTTGCATGTGTTGAATTGATCGTCATCCGGCAGGCCCCCTTCCACTCTTCTCCTCCAGTATTTTTCGGTGCGCAATGGTGAAGAGCAACAAATAACTGTTCCGTAACGTTCAAAACAGGCTGTGAATACAAGCTCGCAGTGGAGCCAACGATGGCCTGGAGGAGACTGTGAATCTGCGCCGTGAAAGGCCGGAAGATTGTGGGGTGTCTAGCAATGAGCTCTGCGTAGGCGCGAAGAACAACCTCCAGTAACGGTGTAGTTGGTTTCAGTTTCCGAGTAGGCTCAGACGGCGGCTTGACGGAGATGAGGTTCAAAGTGGTTGTAATGAATCCAGGGAGCGACGGCGTCGTGATTTCGCGAACCAGGGTGGGATACTGGTATGTAAGGTGGAAGATACGAGTCAAAGTAATGACGGCCATTGTCTTTGTAGAGGCAGGGTCGGATTTCTGTTCGAGGCTGACTATCAGCAATTGAATCGAAACGAAGTCTGTCATCCAGTATCCTCACACTCAGTATGCTCATAAGCCCTCGAACAAAGGGCTCACTGCCGCGGAGGATCTCCCACTGGCCGGCCTCCACCAGCGCCTTGACGAAGACAACCGCAGCCCACCGGCCCTCAAATGACCTATCCTGCAAAAGACTAGAAAGCCGGGTCACTAGCTTGTGGACCTGAACTGCATGATCCGAATCCGACTTGCCAGCCCTCTGAGACTGAGGCGCAGAGAGCAACTCCCCGCATTCTGTGATGGAGGCCGCGAGCGAAGCCGCAATAGAAGGCAGCTTCTGGACTGGCAGGTTGGTCAATCGGTGATTGACAGCGCGCAAAGTCATTGATATGTGCGCCATTTTGAGATCTGAGGTCTAGAGACCTGCTAGGTGCCACCAGTTGCAATTCGAAAGCTTGCGATAGCTCTGGCCTGCTACACAAAAATCTCGCCAAAAAATAAAATTGATAGCGCGATAACAAAAGCTCGGACCACCTCATGAAGCCTCGGGATGGTAGGTAACAATACGTAACCGCAATACAAATGATACAACAGTGGATCTCCCCTGGCCGAATAATAGTGATCTTCATGGTTCCTGGGGGCCTGTTGTCCTCGTCGTCCTCGTTGTACTTGTGCAAGGATCTCTCTCCCAAATATCCCTGCTGCCCAGCAAACTTCGAGCCACGGGGACGGCGCTCGTGATGGACAGCGGTTGCTCAACTGCTTCCCCCCAGATCCCGCTGCTGTGCATCTTCCGCTCTAATCTCTCTCACAATGAGTGTATGTGATGTACCTCTCACTCGGGCTTTCCCCTGTGCTCTTCGCAACCCCGCTACGTCACCGGTTCAATCTTCACTCTCGCTAACAGATGTTGTTCAAGGCGCGAGAATCTGAAAAGGGCCATCGCTACATCGTTGCCCTCGATAATGCTCGAAGTCAGAACAAATGGGACGAGGTTCCTGAACTGATTCGGAAGGTCAACAAACATGCTCCTCACAAGACCTGTAAATGCCATTGTCCCCTTCTTAACAGACTCGCTATCTAACGCTGTTGCGGATAGGCTTTCTAGATGTTGCGAGAGCAGAGTACCAGGTCGTGACCCATTTCCAGAACACTTCCTCCACCGCCAGCCCTCCGCCGTCCTCTTCTTCCTCCGAATTATCAGGATTAATACCATCACTCCTTTCCACGATTGACAAGGCAGACGGCTCAAATCAGGAGATATTCCAGGCACAGGTATGCCTAGGATGGGTTCATTACACTCTTAATGAACCGGGATTGGCCGCAGCTCGTCTGCCCAAGGACTTCAAACAAGAGTTGGACAACCTGACAGCCACCGGGGATGAATTGTCGCCATGGACCAGCGTTTGTTTGGTGAAGGGCTGCTATATAAAAGGCGCTGCACAACATCAGGTTTCGGGTCCTCAAGATGCGTTGCAAATATTCAATTCTCTCGCCCCCTGGCTGAACAGCACGAACCTAGGGTCGTCGTCCAACCAGTTCCTGTACTGGTCGGAAAAAATTCTAGCGGATGGTGCGCTGCTTGCGGGAGACAACGTGTGCAAGGATATTGTCTCAGCAGATGGCGAAATGGTGAGGGCTGCCCTAAAGATCTTCCGGGCATGGTCCTCTCATCCGTCCGTCAAGCCAGGGGATGGCGCTCCTGGCATGCAAACTGAGAGCTTCCCAGATCCTGCCCCGAAATCTTCCATCTCGAAATCCTATTATGATGTTCTTTCCGCCATCCTGATACATGGCTTGCCATATACTGCACCGGCGCAAGGTCATGAGCGCTCGCAGCTTGCTACCGAGTTACGTCGCGTTGAGGCAATTTGCGAGGCCAACATTCTCAGCGACGTGAAATTTCCCACGGCTGATGCCAGCAATAATGGTGTTGAGGCTTGGGTGGAGCAAGTCATCCAGAACTGGGAAAGGCTATGTGGCCCCCAATGGCACGACGAGGAACTCGGTGAAGGTGGCCAGCATGGCTGGGGGAAGAATGTTCTTGAGGTACGTGCTGCATTTGGCAGGCTACAGCACTCATATACTAATTGTCTGGGTTAGATTCTTTACCGTGCTGCAACCCGAACGTACCATTCCTTCCTGATCTTGAGGCGTCTTTTCCATGTGCATGCAGCACTGGCCGAGTTTGATCTGGCATTCAAGGCGCTCGATTCTTACATAGAGATTGTCACAGGCGCCAAAGACAGAGCAGAGAAATCGGTGCCTAACGAAGAATTGGAAGACGATGGCGTTTTCATGCGAACACTTTCCGAAGGTGTCACCATCTTATGCTCCTACGGCTCTGACAAGGAGGCGGAAAAAGCTAGAGATCTCACCACTACCTTGAAGGAATTTATCAGCAAGCACGTCACGGACAGCGAGAATGAGGAGGAGCGGAGAATGATTGTTGACTCGAGCAACGTTTCTCCCCTTGATATTAGTGCGACCTACCGTGCTATTGGTATCGGGCTTGCGAACTGGGCAAGTTGGACGCCACTTAACGAAAGTCGTGATGACATTCGAACTGAGGCCATTGAGTGCCTCGAACGAAGTATTGCCCCTGAGCTAGGGGACCAGTTCAACTATTCGTCCCTTTACACTTTAGCTCTGCTGTTGGCGGAGAATCGTGACCTTGATGCTGCGATTGAATACGTTAGGTCAGCGTTGTCATCAAACAAGGATCCAGAAGCTACGTCGGCTTTTAGTCGCGAGCGGGATTTAATACCATTGTGGCATCTTCTGGCATTACTCCTAAGTGCAAAACAAGAGTTTGATATCGCAGAGCGGTCCTGCGAGGCTGCATTTGAACAGTTTCCCGCCGCAGTTACTTCGCTTGCCCACAGTGACCGGAGGCCACCAAAACATCAACCTAATGCGCAAGACCAAACGAAGCTGAAACGGGTGCTCATCGATCAAATGCGGAATCGGGAAAAGGAGCGTATAATCGAGACTCGCATGACGCAACTCGCTTTCGTCGAGGTTTTGGAAGGTCCCGAGGCTGCACTCAACCATAGCGATCAGCTTCTCGGCCTCTTCGGCACCCTTTTCCGAACGTTAGACCTTGAGCCTGGAACCCAGGCAAACAACAAGTCAGATCAACTTGCCCGCCCGAAAAGCTCTTCCGGTACAGTAAGAAGCTTCCGCGGCAGCATCTTTGGACGGCACAAGGCCCCTCGCATTCCAGACCCGAAGACCATGCCCGCCAGCGAATCCAAAACTGACTCCCCAACTCATTCTTTGCCTCAGGCCCACTCTCTAAACATTGATGGTGCACCCTCTATCCAGGTGACAGACGAAAATGACCCAAATGTTGGCGATAGTCATGCTTCTCTGGCAAGGTCCGAGTCGCGGAAGCTCCGTAAGCGCAGCAGCACTCTCAAGAAAGCGGAATCGACAAATGATTCAGGACCTCTCAATGGTGATAGCGTTAGCCATCAGGGATCTGAACTCGGCGAAATCAACGGACAACACCGTGAGCAAGAGGTGCCCCCCAGCCCGGAAACGGTGCGTAGTGCGGTTTCGCAGGCTGCCAATCAACCACAGAGCGCAAAGCACACTCTGGCTCCAATCGCACATAATTTCAAACACACGCAACTAGATGCTCCTGCTGGTCATGAGAACCAGCCGCCGGAGCAGGATATACGGCTGCCCACGTCCTACGGTTTTGAATCGCCAACAGGAGCTTTGACTAAGTTTCCCCATACTCAAGCCCAAAAGCATGCTCTATGTATCCTTGTTAAAGTATGGCTGCTTATCGCAGGACTTTATCGGCGGGCTTCGTCCTTTGAAGATGCAGCCGAGGCGTGCGAGGAGGCTTCAAAACACTTGAAGCGGATAGAAACTCTTACAGCATCGCAGGATCCCTCAGCCCGGTCATTTCGCGAGCGTGGATGGGCCACTCCTAAAAGCTCCGACGAACTTTGGGCTGATATTTACGCTGAGCGTGGCTTATTGTTGAACGCCCAGTCGCGTCCCCATGAGGCAATAGAGCATTTCGAGGAGGCTTTACTATACAACGCTGACCATCCAAAGGCCACCGTCAGCTTAGCGAACCTGCTTCTTGACATTTGGGACCAGAAACTTCCTCTTCAGCCTCCAGAGCCGGGTGTGGAAACTGGTCTGCCAGCGGTGACTCCGCCACCAGCCAGAAAGTCAGCCGAGAGCAGGCGTCTCGGCAAATCTGGAGTTTCTGATTTAGTCAAGCCCAAGACTGAGGCCTCGGCTCCTATCACCGAAGATGAAGAACCCAAACTTATCAACCGTATCGCCGCCCGGGAACGGGCTTCTGGATTGCTGTCGGCCTTAACCAAACGCGGAACCTCGTGGGATAATTCCGAAGCGTGGTTCGCCCTTTCCAGAGCATACGAGGCTGTTGGTCAAACGCAAAAGCTAAAAGAGGTCTTGTGGTGGTGCATTGAGCTGGAGGATCGACGACCTATACGTCACTGGTCCAACCTCGGCTCTGGTGCATATGTTCTATGATTGAACATCGAATCCATCTCATCATTTTGGTTGCAATAATTCCTGTTGGAGTGCTTCTTGGTCCATGTGCTCTCATAACCTTGCATTTTTCGCCATTTGTTGCAGTGTCGATATGATACCTTAGTAGGATTGTCTTATTACTGTACAGGTAATGACCATAGATTTTGTAAATATCTCTTTATCGATTGAAAACGGAATAGGAACACCTTTATTTACACATAGCTCACGAATGCACCGGCAGTTCGCGGCTTGAGAGAACCAGATAACGTAATAACCTTGACCTGATTACCGGGAAGCAGCAACGGGGGTCCAAGCGGTGTACTTGGGCTTGGTACTAGAAGGGTAACGCGGTTAGCCATATACTTCACCGGCGGTTTCCGGGAAAGCTCCAATGCTGCACTCACGTCGAGTAGGTTTTGAAAGCAGCACGGCTCAGAGTCAGAGTCGGTCTGTGCTCTCGCAACTCCCAGGTACGAGCACCGGTTTGCATGAGCTTGTCTTGAGTGGGAGGAGCGTCGACCATGTACGAGATCCAGGCGTGCCTGCTACGAGTCAACACGAGAATTTCATCGAGATTGAATCCACGAGATCCTCACCAGCCAGGCTCAATCTGCGAAGGGTCGTATTCCTGCTGCTTGTAATCAACCCAGCGAGTCCGAACTTGCTTGCAGTCAGCACCACGGCCTAATACAGCTCTAGGTCCAGCTTGACTCACGGGGAAGCTCCTCCTCCATGTTCTCGTAAAACTTGTTACCGTAGCGGTCGACACCGATCAGGGTACCAGCTTTGGTATCACCTGCAAGTGGTTTGCGTCAGTCAATTGCACCTCCAGTTGGTCCGGCTCGGGGCTGAGGGGTAATGATGGGAGGACATACCCATATACTATATGATCATCGCCGGGCATCAGTATCACAACACCGGAGATATTCACCCACGGTTCATCATCGCGACGCCGGGAGCTCCATACCTGCATTTGGTGGCCATATTCCTATTTGTAGAAAGGGCATCGTTAGCAATCGTGCGGTGCACTTTGGCGCAGCAGCTTCGGCCGCAGAAAAGCCCACCTTGAGGCCAATCCTTCTCAGGTTCCGCAGAGTACGAATAATAGTCGACATCTTGGACGAGGTGCGCTCGCGGAGCTTGTATCACTAGACCAAGAGGTTCAATGTCGTCGTCCTTCTGTGTCGTCGGTCTTTCCGCTCGGAAGTTGTATCGTCCCAATCCAGCCTAGCGTCGCATCTCTGTTTGCACCGTTTGCACAGTCTACATTATTGAAATGCGGAGGACAAGAAAGTGTCCAGCACTCAAGTATCGTCACATGTTCTCTGGTTACTGTCAATTTGCGGTGTATACTTCACAGTGCACGCGTGTAGAATGTTTGGACGTGTTGGCGGCCACACGCTTCGGTGCGCTGCGCGCAGCCCCGTGGTACGACGGAAATTCTGGGAGCGCAGCTTTTCATCGCATGTACCATCCCCGACGAGTACATCTGCTCCGTCAAGTGCGTCACCGCTAGGAAGCATTACGACGGAGCTGGATCGGATATCGCCGTGCTTCGAAATTTCGGCATCCCGGATAGCGATTCTGGACTCACCCGCGAATTTTTACACAACCCTCAAGGTGCGAACCGGATCCGGCGTTGACCGCGGAAGTGAGCGCTAACCCGGGGATATTATGGCGGTGCTTAGAACAAAATCCGCAAGGCCCGAAAACGCATCTACCTCTCTACTCTTTATATCGGCAAGACGGAACATGAATTGATCGAAACCGTGAATCAAGCTCTTCGCGACAACCCCGAACTGCGAGTCTCGATTCTTACCGATGCTTTGCGAGGGACCCGAGAGACACCGAACCCATCGTGCGCCTCTCTTCTGGCATCACTGGTCGCAGAACATGGACAGGAGAGAGTGGATATTCGGATGTTTCATACGCCTAATCTGACCGGGTTGCGGAAGAAATGGATTCCTCGGCGGATAAATGAGGGTTGGGGGTTACAGCATATGAAGCTCTATGGGATTGACGATGAGATTATACTGTCGGGGTATTTATTCGTCGTCCAAACGTACCTCGATACAGCGACTAATGATTCCGCAGGGCAAACCTCTCAGATAACTATTTCACAGACCGCGTAGATAGGTATCATGTCTACAGCTCCACGGAGCTAGCTGATTACTATGCGCGCATCCACAACGCAGTCTGCAGCCTCAGTTTCAAAGTACTTCCCGATCCTCATAATAAGGCCGGGTATCTTCTGGATTGGCCTACTGCCAATGGCGCTTGTTCACCTCTTGATGACCCAGAAAGCTTCATTTCATATGCTTCTACGGTGTTGAAGCCAATTATTCAACCATCAACCAATAAACATACACTCGGGCCGAAGTCCCCTAATGGGACATTCGTCTACCCAGTCGCTCAATTTACACCTTTGCTCAAGCCGGACACATCTACTGAATTTCCCGCCGTCACAACAATTCTCCGCCTCCTCTCCATCTCACCAGCCTTCTCCGGCGCCCGCTGGCTTTTTACAGCAGGCTACTTCAACATCCATCCCACTCTCTCCTCCCTCCTAATAGCCAGCACATGCCCCCCAGATTCTCAAACACCCTCAACAACCCGCGGCACTGTCCTTACCGCCTCCCCCTGGGCAAATGGCTTCTACGGCTCACCAGGCATCTCTGGCATGCTCCCGGCAGCATACACCCATCTTTCAGCCCGATTCCTCGACCGAGTCGCCGCGGCACAGGCAACAAACTCCATCGAGCTCAAAGAGTGGCGCCGCGGCACAGTTGGAGAACCAGGTGGCTGGACGTATCACGCCAAGGGTCTCTGGGTTACGCTTCCCAAAGAAGAGAACCCCAGTCTGACGTTCGTCGGCAGCAGCAACTACACCAAGCGCAGCTATGGTCTAGATTTAGAGGTTGGGGCGCTGGTTGTTACTGGGGATGAGGAGCTGAAGAGGAGGTTGAAGGCTGAGACGAAGTGGTTGCAGGCGGACGCAAGTCCGATCTCAAGAGAGGATTTGAGGAGAACAGAGAGAAGGGTTAGGTGGAATGTTAGACTTGCCATGTGGATTGTTGAGAAAGTTGGAGGAGCATTATAATCTTGTTAGGGCTTGTGCTTTACCCTAGGTGAAGCCTGTATATATAGATTGATTGATTATAGATGATGTATTTTTTACCATGTAATGCCATCTCTGAGTTGAAATCATCATTTTTCTGATGAGACGATTTGTGCGATAGCTTAGCCGGGTATGAAAGGAAAGCATACTCTTAATGGCTGTTGCACATTGTAGCATCATAATAATCCATTCATTCTCAGAGTATAATCAACAAGTGTAGTATGAAGACTTTTAAATACCAGTCCCGGTCTATGAGGAAATGAGGATCCTGCCAAACGCCTAAACCCATGCCTAACCATCACGAGCATTAAAAAAGGGGAATATCATAGTAGTCGTCAATCAAACGCTCTCACGAAGAGATTTCAAGCTCTGCCAGAAACCCGACCCGGCACCTTCGCAGGACCAAGTCCTTGACGAACCTCATCCAACATCCGGATACCAATCGCCTCGTTGCCGTTCTTGCCACGCTTGTTCTTCGCGCCCTTCCGTTTGGCCTGTGCACTGGTGTTGTTGTCCCATCCACCTAGGAAATCGTCCATGATGTTGTTGAAGTCGTGGCGGGGTGCGACAGCGTTGCCATTCGCATCAATGAGACTGGGCGCCACTGAGGAGGCGGTCGACATGTCGGTCATCCCGGTCATGCCGCTGACCATGGACATGGAGTCGTCAAATTCTTCCTCCTCATCAAGGGCGTAGAGAGCTTCAAGGCGTTCGAATCGGTCGTCGAGGAGTCGGTGGCCTTCTGTTCGGGCTAAGGAGGAAGATGTCATGGAGTAGGCGGAGGGGTTGGTGAGAGCGCCCTTGCGCTTCTTGCGCCGGATCGGTGTTCCTCCAACTGTAAAGACTGTGGAGGCAAGAGTGCTGCGCTGTTCGGATGGGACGACGCTGGCGGGTGCGGCAGGCGCAGCCTGGGGCTTTCCGGATTTCTTGAACTTGGCGAATTCGCGCATCCAGTCTTGGTCACCTGGGTGCGCATCAGGTGCGGGGGCGTCATGCTCGGGGAGTTCTCCGGGCGCTACGTCGAATTTCGGTTTCAAAGAGGAAGTACTTGGTTGAACAGGAGCCTTCTCTGTCGCATCGGACTCCCATCCATCGTCCTCTTCGTCATGATCGAACAAGGTATCCTCCCAGTCACCGGGGTCTACCTCCTGCCCGTCGGCAGTCAGCTCACCGAAGAAATCATCGTCCTCCTTCTCATCCACGTATTCCTCATCCTCCAGCGCCTCGAGCACCTCCCGGAGTCGGGGATCCATGTCCGGCTGGAAACCCGCAATGGCATCCGGCACATTTTGCTGGTCCTGGTAGGTCGGTTTCCGGGAGTAAGTAGAAGCAGTAGAGTACGCCCCATATGCAGAGCTCATTGTACTACGACCGTCCCAGTTGCTCCTTGTGTCATCGTCCTCAAGTGAGGTCTGAGCAAGCGCATCTTCCAGCCTCAAGGATTTGCCCTTGCCCTTGTCGCTGTTAGTCGCTTCGACAAAGTATGCGCCGCCGCCTCCGGTACCAAGTTCTCGCATGTGTTGCATGTAGTCATACTTCGAGTCATCGTAGTAGATGCCATAGTTGGCAGCTTCACCCTCGTTTTTGCGGACGGCATCGCCTCGGAACTCGCTAGCGAGGTCACTTAAGTGCTTCGCGCGATCTGCACTGGAAGCGCTCGGCGCATCGGCGGGAGGCCCATAGACGGGGTGGAGGACACGGTCTTGGGCCTCGGGGTCGTGGATAAGAGGATCATTCTGAGAACGGTGAAAAAGTTGATAGGTTGTGGCGTTCTTCTTATCTCTGGAAACATGTCAGTCACAGTAGGAGACAAACCAGTAGAAAGTTATGCATACATCCACTGTTTGCGGGGAGGCATTTTGAGCTGTAGCCCGGATAAAGTTGACAGGAGGAAAGATTGGGCGGAGACTCGGTGATAAAAGTGAAGCTATTCAAAAAATTGCGGGCGGTGGGTCACGTGCCGTAGACCCCTCTTTCTGATAAGAAACTGAGCAGCAATTACAGGAGTATTGTATTATACTGTGCGTTTATTGTAGGAGGGCTGGAATAATCTATAACTCAAATACCTAGAGTATATTCCCCATTTTTATTTTTTTGCACATAGCAGCTGTGTGGAGGAAGACGATAAGAATGTGCTGAGTCAGCCGTCCGTCCGCGGGGTTTTTTGCCATGCCAAAATTCTATTAGAAATCCAACTTTTTCCAACAACTTCACCTTCCGCATCCATCACTAATATTGCTCAAGATGGTGTTGGCAAAATCCAAAAACTCCGTGGGGCTCGGCCAGAGCCTCATGAATGATCGTTTTGGCAAAGGAAAGGCCTCTAACATGAAGAAGTCGTCGCATAATGCCGGAATTGCACGCAAAGATATGAATGGCGAAACTTACATCACGAACTCGGCCAAGGAGGCTTCGTGGGTCAAGATGCGCAGTATTACGGAGCAAGCGGCGTTGGACGAGTTCCTGACCACCGCCGAGCTTGCTGGTACCGATTTCACAGCCGAGAAAATGAACAATGTTCAGATTATCCACACCGACCAGAAGAACCCTTACTTGCTCTCGGCCGCGGAAGAGAAATCGGCGCTGCGCAAACACAAGAAGAATAAAGGCCGTCTTACGGTTCCGCGTCGTCCGGCGTGGAATGCGACGACTACTCGGAATGAGCTTGATGCCATGGAGCGTGAGAGTTTCATGGACTGGCGACGGGGACTGGCGGAACTGCAGGAGAACAACGACTTGCTAATGACGCCCTTCGAACGAAACCTTGAAGTTTGGCGTCAGCTGTGGCGAGTTATCGAACGGTCCGATATTGTTGTGCAGATTGTCGATGCCCGAAACCCATTACTCTTCCGCTCCGAGGACCTCGAAATCTATGTGAAGGAACTCGACCCGAAGAAACGGAACTTGCTGCTCGTCAACAAGGCCGATATGTTGACTGAGAAGCAGCGCGAGACATGGGCCGATTACTTTGAGCGCCAGCAGATTGAATACCGTTTCTTCTCCGCACAGATGGCCAAGGAAGCTAACGAGGCCCGTGAGAATGAAAGCGAGGAGGAGGATACCGAGTCGTTGGCTGAGGATACTGAAGGTCTGAATCTCGAGGATTCCGGGGAGAAAGAAGCGGATGGGGGCGTTGATATTTCCAGCAACCCAGCAACCCCATCCTCCAAGCGAACCAACATTCTGGATGTGGACGAGCTTGAAGAGCTTTTCCTGTCAAACGCGCCCGATGCCGCAGAAGACGACGAAGTCCAGGAGGACGGCACGCCCAAGCCTAAGAAGACAGTCATTGGTCTCGTCGGATACCCCAACGTCGGTAAATCCAGCACAATCAACGCGCTCCTCGGCGCCAAAAAGGTTTCCGTCTCCTCTACCCCCGGTAAAACCAAGCACTTCCAAACCCTTTATCTCTCCCCCGAGATCATGCTCTGCGATTGTCCCGGTCTCGTCTTTCCCAACTTCGCTTCCACGAAGGCCGAGCTCGTCGTCAACGGCGTTCTTCCCATCGACCAGCAACGTGAGTTCACGGGCCCCGCCGGTCTCGTAGCTCAGCGCATCCCTAAACACTTCCTCGAGGATGTTTACGGTGTAACGATCCGCACTCGCCCAATTGAGGAAGGCGGCACGGGTGAACCAACTGCTCACGATGTTCTCCGTGCGTACGCCCGCGCTCGCGGCTTCGCTACAACCGGACAAGGTAATCCCGATGAATCCCGCGCAGCCCGTTACGTTCTAAAGGACTACGTCAACGGCAAGCTCTTGTTCTGCCACCCCCCACCCGCCAACGAAGCTGAGGGCGAAGAATCCATCGACCCCGCCGAGTTCAACAAAGATCTCTATGACTGGGCACATCTCCCGCCCCGCCGCCAGGCAATGCTCGCAGCCGCCCAGATTTCCTCCAAAGCACCTGTGCAAGGCCACAAGTCCCAAACAGTTGACAAGGGCTTCTTTGGCCCCGGTTCATCATCCTCCGGCGGGCGCTTGACCATGCCCTTCAACGCCAAGTACACAGAGCAGGGCCAGCAGATCCGGAAGCCACTCACTGGGCGGAAGGAGAGGGTCATGGTTGCATTGGAGCGAGGCGTCGATGTCTCTGAGGTGCGGGGCTCGTCGAAGAAGCACTTCAAGATCAAGCACAAGAACCAGAAGAAGGGGATGAAGACGGCGGCGGATGATGACTACTGATTGATTGAGCTCGCTGGCGAGTGGTGATGACATAAAAGCATTTCACTCAATTCTTTTTTTCTTTTGGTTTCATTCACATGTTGGTTATGATGACGACGGGTTTAGATGGCGTCTGGTTATACCTGATTATCTCTTTGAACGGACTTCTCTGCTGTACCTCCCTATATATTACCTTACGATTGACTACACGTGGTTACTCAATGGTACATACGAATTGTGCATGATCAAACTGAATACTTATTGGTTTGTAGCGTATATGAACAAAAGGTCTGAAATTGGGGTTTTATCCAAAATGCCAAAACCTATAGCAGACTCTTCGTCTTCCCAAACCCGTTCGCAGTAAGAATCTTATCACTCTGCTCCTTTTGCCAAGCGACTCTCTTGACAACTTCCTCCCGCCTTGACTTATTCTCCCTCTTCCCAAGCTGCTGCAAATGCACCTCATCAGGTCCATCCGCAATCCTCAATGTCCTCACCAGCGCCCACATATAAGCCAGCGGCGTATCCTGACAGATACCCGCGGCCCCATAAGCCTGCACGGCACGATCGATGACCGTCAACGCAGCCTGCGGCACCAGCACCTTTGCCTGGGCAATCTCCTTGAGCGCGAACTTCGCATTGCCCTGGTCGATCTTGATTGCCGCATTCAGCACAATCAGGCGCGCGGCGTCGATCTCAATGCGGGACTTTGCAAGCCACTCGAGGATCACGCCGTGCGACGAGAGAGGCTGGCCGAAGGGCTTCTTGCGGTCGTCGTTTATGCGCGCAATAAGCCAGTCGATTGCGCGCTCTGCGGCGCCGATGGTTCGCATGGCGTGGTGAATGCGACCGGGGCCTAGGCGGCCCTGGATAATCTCGAAGCCACGGCCTTCACCGAGGACCATGGCAGATAGGGGGACGCGCACGTCCTTGAAGGTGATGTGACCGTGGCCGTGCGGCGCGTCGTCGTAGCCGTAGACGTTGAGCATGCGGTGGATGGTGATGCCCGGGGTGGACGCGGGGACTAGAAGGACGGACTGCTGCTTGTAGGTGTCTGGGTTGCGGGCGTCGGTCTTGCCCATTACGAGATAGATTTGGCAGCGGGGGTCGCCGGCGCCGGAGGACCACCATTTCTATATAGATAAACCGTCAGATCTGCTCCTGCTACTGCTCGTGAACAGATGGATATGGCTTACAGAGCCGTTGAGAATGTACTCATTTCCCTCCCGCCGGATATCAAGCTGGATATTCGTCGCATCGCTAGACGCGATATCTGGCTCTGTCATGAGGAATGCAGACCGGATCTTGCCCTCAAGCAGAGGCGTCAGCCAGCGAGCCTTCTGTTCCTCATTGCCATACTTGGCCAGGACCTCCATATTACCAGTATCCGGCGCGGCATTGTTCGTGGCCTATCATCAGGCACTTTAGCGCATGGAAGATCATTGAGAGTCTCCAGCAAATGCGGGGAAGCATGTCTCACCTCGCTCGCAACCTTACTTTTCCCCAAGTACTCTGCCATAAGCCCATACTCGAGGTTACTGAACCCTGCGCCCTGCGAGAAGTGGCTCTTGGGCAGGAACATGTTCCACAGGCCAATCTTCTGGGCCTTAATCTTGAGATCCTCCATGATGGCGGGGTTGGTCTTCCATCGTTGCTCGCCTACGCCGAGCTGCGCGGAGAACAGGGCTTCGGCGGGGATACATTCTTTCTCGACGAATTCTTCGACCTAAACTCGCAGTTAGACTTTTGGCTGTTCAAACTTCGGGGTGGAGGCCGGGGAAGTGGTGTGGGGGAGGTACCAGATCCAGGGTCTTCTTGGCCCGGTCGCTGACGAAGGGCTGGGCGATTGGGGGAATTCGAGTTGAGGCAGACATGGCAATAAGTTGAGTATTGATATGAGACAGTAAATTAAAGAGCGAGGAGTGGAGAGAGAGAAGGAACAAGACGATAAAAAGCAACGAAGCCGAGCTGGAGAAGCAAAGTATATTGCGGAGAAGCCGAGGTCCAAGTTCGGCTGCGTCAGCGAATCCCCCTTCGTGGTTGCTCTGCTCTACGCTGTACAAGCTGAGCCGATGAATAGATTGTGCCACAGAGTAGCCAATGATCATCGCTGATCAAGTCGCTTTCATTGAAAGCATCATCAGAAACATAACAGAGTATCGGCCAAAACCCCGATATCCAGTAGCGAGCCATTAGAATCCATAAAACCCAACCAAACCATCCAGATCTCAAATCTAGGAAGTAAAACAAAAGAACGATCCCAATTATCAATCCATCCGACCATCCCAGAAGTCGTAATATTACAAGACAAGACAAGAATGACCGAAAATCAACTCCTGCGACCTGCGCCAGCCAGACATGTAAACATCAAGAAGAGTAAAGCCAGGTTGAATTAAATTAAACACTCTTCTCGGTATTCTCAGCGGCGGCGGCAGATGATTGTTGTTCGAAGTTCTTCTTGCCCAGCTTGGCGAACAGTGATTGGGGTTTTCCGGCGCTGTAGAGTTGGCATGTTAGCACTTTGCCTGGAACTTGCGTAGAACGGAAGAAAAAGCGATAATATGAGTCGGAATGGTGACGCGTTGACATACTTCTTGAAGCGCTTCCCCTTAAGGTCGCTCAGTTTCTTCGAGCAGGGGCTCATGATGTCGTCGGATGGAGAGACGTAGCTTGCTTGCTGGCTGCGTCGAATTAGCATGCGATTCTCATCCAGAAAACCATATAACTTTCGCTTCTGCTAACCCGTAGAAAACATACCTATCTTGGTTCTCGATCTTTCCCTGGAGTTTCTGACGGTGCTGGTCCATCGGATCCATTGTTGATGCGGCCTTCAGGTCCTGCTCGTTGGAGACAGCGAGATGGGTGTTGGGCGAGCGGGCAGCCAGAGGAGTGGAGTTCATTTTACCAGACTGTGAGGGTTTTCTTGAGACGTAGAAAAGATAAATGGAGTATTGAGGTCAATGATAGAGAGAGTGGTGATGAAGAGGGATTGCACTGTCAAGAAAAACCGAGAAAAGCCCACATTGATTGTTGTCATGGCAACCGCACAACTGCACGAGCCCGACGCCAATGAATGCCAATGACGGGCACTGATGGTTTCATTATGACATTTACCGGCGATCTATGCATGTTTCAGGGTTTCAATCATTCCGTCATGGTCTCATTATACCTGGGCTGTAGGCCCAATTAATGTTACTAGGATTTGTACGTAGGCATTATACATTTCCCCAACGGGCCATCTTCCTCGGGTTCAGAATCAGAACATTCTGAGCCAGATTCCAAGCCCCCAGACTCTTCCTCGTCCCCTCCTTCATTCTCTCCGTTCAAGTCGGGTGGGCTGCTGTTCGATCTAAGCAACGGGGGTGCAGCATCTGGTGGGGACTGGTTTTGCTCCGGTGATGATGTAGTGTCTCGTTCATCTTGTCCGTGTCTCGAGTCGTCTGAAGTTGGGGTTGGGGGCGCATACATCGTTGGACTGAGCGACCCGTCCTGCGAATCTTGTGATCTCTGTCGTCGATGGCCGGGGGTGGTTCGGTAGGATGATGTCGGTCGCGTTGAACGTGGGCTTCCTGGTGGTGACCCGAAACCAAACATGGGAGAGGAAGGTCGTAGACTGTACGAGCGCGAGACCATGTTCTGTACGCTGGGGAAATCGATGTAGCCGCCAGCCGCGCCGCGGGTGAAGAGCACGAGGCCAAAGCAGAGAAGCACAACGATACTCTGAATCACCGCTACTCGCTTCTGAAACACTATCTCGTCTGCGAGGACACCCAGCTGAGCACTCAGGGAGTGTATTTCCTGGTGGTATTGTATTCTTTGGTGCTCGAACTCCAACGCCACACTTCTCCACGCCTGATCGTACTGCTCACGGAATTGCTTCAGTTCATTAACCACCGTGCCATTCAGGTTCTCCAGGAACGTGGATGTCTTCGATAGTTGTCGCTTTTCGACTTTGTTGAACGCGTCTCGTAGGATTCGTGACTGCTCTTCGATATACTGTAGAGACAAACTTGAATTTGTCTCAAGCATTTGTAGGCGTTTGTTGACCGACTTGAAAAAAGACTCTTGTGTGGTTGGGTTAGCCGTCGGCGGTTGCGTTGCAGTCGCTCGAATCGACTCAGCACTCTGCTCCTCCTTTGAAAGACCACTAGGCCGGGTGTCCTGGCTAGTAGTGACATCCTGAGGGGTTGTTTCCAGCGAATCTATTGCAGGGGCAGTACCTGCACCAGAAGGAGTGTTTGTCCCTTGGAGGCTAGAAATTTTGTTCTCTCCAGCCCCGGGCGAAGCGGCGTTGGCGACGTCGCCGGATGACGAAGAAATTGGCCCTGGCGAGGCCTGACCAAGTGATGGGTCAATATTCCCATCAGATGTGGGAGACTCTTTCGGGGCATCCTGAATTCCGCATTCTTGGAGTTCCGTGGAACCCAGTAATATCTGCTCTACTGTCGTGACTAAATTCGGGCAGGTTTCGGATGGGCGTATCTCAGCGTTGCCAATGTGAAAAGTAGGCGCCTCTCGCAGCGGCACCTCAGTCTTGGTGGCATCTTCTGCGGCAGTTGCTGCCCCTGGAGCTGGTTCAGCTACTTCACCAGCTACTTCTTCCTCGGCCCTACTCGCCTCTCCGTCATGCTTATATTCTTCCAACATTGTCGTCCCGTGAACACGAATCAGACTCAGCGGACAGTAATACTCGTGTCCATAATGCGTCAAAAACTCGATCCGTAAGTATCGAGCCCAGATGAGCGGGTTCTCAACCGCAAAGGCCTGAATCTCGCGGGTATTCCTCGCTTCGTAGATACCAAGCTCCTTCCACTGATCTGGCTTTGCGGGATAACGGTCCGCGACACTGACTCGGAATGTGTGGAAAATCGAGCTGAAGAACTCGTAGTTGGCAAGAACAACAGTGTCCACGAGAATATCATCACACAATTCAAGAATCAAGAACTTATTCTGAGCCCGGCACTCATTCAGCATGTAGCTGTCTTTGTTCTCAATCAAGACAGACGATGATCCCTTCGCCTGGGGGTTTGTCTTGAGTACTGTTGCGGCACAGTCAAAGGATGCATAATTGAACCGCTCCTTACAAGTTGTGCCAGCGTCTTTTGAGCGCTCACCACCCGCATGAGGGACACTCTGTCCAGAAGCCTCGACGACAACATCACTGTCCGCACCTGGGACTATCTGCGCCGCGTCTCCCCCACTGAAATGGACCTGAGCGCCCCATGCAGTCGCGGTTTTGGGAGCCTCCGGCGCATCAGTTCCAAAGCCGCCAAAGTCAAGCTCGATCTCCGCATCATCCCCTAGAGAGTCGAGCGCATTGTTTATCCCCGTAGGCCGTCGGCGGTCCTTCTCTGAGGCCCCGGCCCGCCGGTTGCCGCCAATATTCTCCGCCGATTGCCCTGCCTTGGCAAGATTCTGTTTCTTCCAATCTTCAAACGAGAGAAAGTTCGCGTTGTCGAGCGGCGAATCTGTGTCAAGTTCTTGTTCCGCTGACGATGACGCTGAAGCTGCTTCTACCGCTACCGAAATCGAAACGGAGCTCGTCTCGCTGATGACCTTTTGCGTACTTTGAGATGAAGGCGTCGGCGTCAATTCAGCATTTGGTCTTGTATCCCATCGGGTTTCGACACAGGTGGGCCATTCCAGAAGGGCTTCGGCTTCCTTCCAGTCCCTCGCGAGGCATACTTGATGTTTCTGTGAATCACCACCGGTTTCTTGGATCCAGGTCAACACACAGATGGCGGTTGTGATCCACCGGGGTGCCAGCATTATTAGGACAAAACTCGGTTCAAGCAGAAAACATCGTGCAAGCGTCCTCAGTGGAAATGAGGAAGTAGACTATCCTTTCCCGGCAGAATAGAGAAGTGGGACTGGGTGGCAGGCTCTTATCAGCTTCTGTGGGGTTGGGACTTGACCACCTTTGTTCGTAACTGTCAAGTCTCGGCCGGGGTCTTTGCCAGGTGTCGTCTGGCAAGTTGAGGTCTTATGGAATGAGTTCGAAGGAGATAATTCAGGAATGTCTAGGGAGTAGCTGATAATATACAGGAATAGCAATATAATACAGCAAAGAGAGTGATCGATGATATTTGAAAGCAGCAACTGGCGGACTTTTGGAGGAGCGCTTCGATTGCGACAACTCCAGAGGCTTCACCGCTTGGCGCTCGGGCGAGAGCAAGGCATGCAAAGAGTACCTCGTAGGACAGATTTGTCCGACAAGTTACTCAGTACTTAAATGCCGGGCTCATGAACACAGCGCGGATAGACACACTCTGATAATTATATATAGATATTTAGTTATTTACAGGCTCCAAGACCTTGCTTTGTGAAGCGGGTGATACAGTCTGGCACAGGCCGCTACAACACTACGTAATACTAGGATGATAACGGACGATAAGGAACTTTACTTTAGAGACAGAATATACGAGAATCACTTTTGGATTATAAATATCCTCTGTGGCTACCCATCCACCTTTGTAGAACTAGAATACACTGAAACCAGTCCAATGCCAGACCAGGACTACATACATCCTGCTGGGTAGAATCAATAGCATCCGCTTTTCCCGTAGTTTTTCTTTCTGAGTTGAGTTAATGATTGCGCGACCCCGTCCCTGTCTGGAGTCATCTGCCAGCTCGTGATGCTGAAACCGCTTTGAAAAAGAACATGCGTGAAGTAAAATAGGCCAGGTTCGACAGCCTCGGGGAAGAAGAAAATGGTGTCAATCTCAAAAACTGCCGCCTCCCAATACCACTTTTGGATGTTTCGCGCCACGATATTATACAGGAGTGCAAGGCCAACAAGCGCTTAACTGTAGCACAAACGCATGGTCTATGAGAGAGAAAAGAAAAGAGACGTGAGATAAGAGGTGAAGAACACCAAGTTTCTATGCAAAGTCGATGGAATAAACATGGGTGTTATCGAATGTGAAAATAAAGTGAAGTTGATGTTCAAAGCACATGGAACAGTGACAGTATGACACGAGGCTGGAAACAGAAGAGACAAGGTAAGCGATGGATTGTCGCTTACAAATGGAGGTCGTGCCAACCTCCCACAAGATCGAGATCCTCGTCGATGCTGCCATGATAGTCGGGCTTAGTAATAGTGACAGGCTTCGGAGTCTCCAAGGAATCTCGGCGCCACTCTTTATTGAAGAATTGGCGACGTCTGCGATCTTGGGAAACAAGGCTTTCCTTCTTAGCCCAGGTGCCGTAATCGAATCCAGAAGAACCAAGGCCCCAATCTTTCCGCCAGGCCATGTTGTTCGGGAAACGTTTAGACTCGAAAGAAGGACGGGAGGGTTTGAAGTTTCGTCTCTTATCACCCAAAGCAGCCCACTTGTCCAGGCTGGACTTTTTTGGAGAAGACTTGGAAAACGATGAGATGGCCTTAGGGACAGCAGCGACAAGCTCGCTCTGCACCGGCTTGTCCAATGGATCGATATGCTTGGACGTGGTCGGAATCGGAAGCTGAGAGCTGGAAACAGGAATCGAAGTGGAATGGGTGTCTCGCAAACATGTCGTCTCGGAACTGTCCGTGTCGACTGAAGCGCTCTCATGGCTCCAGCTACGGGAGTTCTGTTCGCGCCGTTGGTTCAGAGCAGTATCTTCACCTTCAGATTCTTCCTCCTCCCAGAGGTCACTCCAGCTCTTAGAGATTTGCTCGGTGCTCTTGTTCTTCCGCCCAAACACCATCGACAGAGACGGTACAGGCTTGGCCGCCTGGCTAGGCAGAGACCCGGTAATAAGGACTGGGTCTGAAGGAGGGGGGTAACGAGGAGCGGATTTGGTAAGCATCGGCAAGGCGGTCGATCGATAGGAGTCCCCAAAAGCAGATTCCAGAACCGAAGCCATAGACGGCGTGTTATGAACCGAGAACCACGAAGTGCCCGCAGTTTCCGAGGGCGGGAACAGGTCTTCCGAATAGCTCTCGGTGTCGGGGATGGCAGAAAGCTGCCGAATAGCCTGTGGTGGGCTGAACTGAAGCGCTTTGGCCCAAGGGAACGAGTCGCCTTGGTTGATTTGAGGGCTTTGAATGGAGGGGGTGCGAAGGGGCTCCCTGTTGGCACTTGCAGGCACAACCTCACGCTCATCAGTGCAGAACTCGTCCAAGGCTTCATCATCCGTCGTGAAGGACACAGCTCGAATAATCGCATCCCGGAGACCGAGAAGAGACCGCTTCTCAGGGTCAAGAGCCATGCTGATCGTTAGGATCTCAAAGGTGTCCTGAGACATATTGGGGAAGATGTCGAAGAGGGATTGTCGATCCCTCACGTAATCGGCAAACAGGATGTCGGATTCGGTCGGCGTAGCAAATGGGTTCCGAGCGAAAAGAACATTTAGTAGGCAGATACCAATGGCCCATATGTCCGCTTTTGCGGGCGAGTATCCGTTATTGGCCGGATCGTATTGTTCAGGGGCCATGTAGCGGTCACTTCCAACACATGACTCATAACACCAAGCTTCCCGGGTTGCAAGACCCAAGTCGCCAAGCTTCATGGAACCATCTTGCGTGAGAAAGATGTTCTCTGGCTTGATGTCGCGGTGGTACAGGCCGTTGGCGTGCATGAATTCCACGGCGCTCACCAGTTGCAGCATGAAATCGCGAACATGTTCCGTTTCGAGTGGACCACGGTTGAGTCTAATGGCTTCGTAGAGATCACCATTCGCACAGTATTCCAGCACAAGATACAGATGCGTTGCTGTTTCGAAATGGTGGACGAGGTTGACGATGTTGGGATGGTATGCAAGGCGTTGGTGACAGTCGAGCTCTTCGAATCGGCCATCGGTGGAAGATGGGTTCCATAACTCATTCGGAGACGACTTCATCATGCATTTGATTGCAACATCGTTGCCGGTTTTGATGTCGGTTGCGAGGAAGACCATACCAAACGACCCATGGTTGAGAGGGGCCACTGTTCGAAAGCGGCCATTCAACAGCTGGCCTGGGATAAAACTGTTCTTCAGAGACTCCATGGCGGGCAATTAATCAGACAAGACGGTAATCTTCCAGAGATATAACTGTCGTAGTCCGAGAATGGGAAGAGGAATTCGACGGTGATGATAACAGGGCCCAGAAATGAGACAGAAGCTCTATAAGCGCGCTGGGATGAAGCCAAAAGAAAAAAGAAATGCAGGAGAGGATAACGAAAAGAAAACACCGGATTTGTGATATCAAAGTTTCATATATATAAGGGGTAAGAGTGAAGAATATTCAATGGACAAGAAAAGAAATCGAAGATGGCAGGGCAGCGCGAGGCGCGAGTTGAGGATACCCGAGTGGGTTAACGACGCAAGGAAATTGTAGAGACCGTTATAGTTTCATTTGTATATCGTCCAGTGTCGAAAGTGGAAGTCGATATAATGATAAAGAAGTCGAATGGACGAAGGAATGTCTGTCACGAAGGACGGCCGTGTTTAGAAGCACGGATTTGTTGAGATGAAACAAGAAACGCTGCGTAATATCGTAACCGCAATATGGGTTGTATAAAAAAAAAGGCAAAAACAAAAGACGTCTCGTTATAAATGGCCTTCGAACTCCGGGTTCAAGGTTGGGATTGATCGTGACTCAAAAGGAAGCAGCTGGATGCCAAACAGTCATAGGCCAGGGTCAAGAACAACTACCCACTATGTGGGTGAGTAGAATGCGCAAAGCGAGACCGCGGTCGACTGTAAAGGGTCTTCGAAGCCTAGTTCGGCGAGGTCAAAGACCAGCTGCCGGTCCGGGTCGCGGACAGGGTCGAATGGACAGCTCAGCAAACTCCTGAATAATCACAACAATCCCAACACTTGTCTGCAGGTTCACAAATGTATCACTGTCTTGGACGGATGTTGACAACAGATCGTGGGTCCCAGAGCACGTCCGAAATGGTGGACCTGAATGAGTCACGGAAGGCGTTCGAAGATTTGGGAAAACAAGACACGTTCCGGCGGCAATGGAAAGTTAGGTAGGAGGAGAGACCAGCGTAGACACGATTTGTAGAACAGAATCGAATCTGATCTAAATCTCGGCGTTGACAGTACTATGGCTCTGCGTCGATGTGGTGGTTTGAAGAGGGCGAGATAAGAAGTCGGGAGGTAGAAGGCGAGGCGAGGCGGAGGTGAGGAAGGAACAGGGCGGGTAGCAGACGGTAGAAGAGGAAAGAAGTCGGTGAAGGTAAAGATGATGAAAGAAGAGAAAGCGGGATGGAGGAGAGGATGGTGAGAGAGAACTGAGGAGGAAGCGTTCGGAAGTTGTAGGTTAGGTTAGGTTGCAGGGGAGATGAGGGCGATAGGGATACGGAGGTGACGGATGCCAGATGGATAAGGAGCTCCACGTACTCGGCTGGGGTGATAAGTGGATGAGCTGAGGGGGGCGAGGGACCGAAAGAAGCAGAAAAACGAAGAACAGCGGTACTGCAGTGATCACGTTGAGTTGGTGCAAGTACCGTTATTTACAGCCTCACTCTAAGCTGAGACGACGCCAGTCGTAAATACCGTAAGCCTATTACGTAGACTAAGCGGCTCCACCCATGCGCTTATTTTGACTGGCTGGAGATAGCGCGCTAACACTGCATTGGGCACAGCCCCACACCCCTGAGCCTTGAGATTTGGTTGTATGGAAGGCGGAAGAATGCACCATCATCATCAGGAAGACACGGTTGCTGGTTCATCGCATTTTCATGGCTCGTGGACCGTGGTCGACTTCAGACTGTGGTTCAGGAGGAGACAGCGCCGAATTGCCGCGTGCGGTGTACGTAGTTAGAAGGACGAGCAATTCCCAATCAGGCTGCAAGTATGTTTCAGAGCATTGCAGTTATGACGACTGTTTCTCCTGAATTTGTGATCGACCCATAAGGGCGATCCGAAAGGGACAGATGCGGAGAAGGTTGTCAATTGTGAACACTGAACACGACAGGGTCAGGCCCGGGCAGCGTTTGACTTTAATTGACAGACAGATAGGAGTAGTCTGCTGAGTAGTTCCTTGACGCGGTATGTCTGATACAAAGGCATAATGATAAAGAATATAAAGCAGTCCGCTACGCTACAGCAGCACCAGACAGGGATCTCAGCCCATGGGCTGTCCCCAGGATTCAACTAACGTCAAGCTGCTGCAGGTCCAAGAAGGCTCCATCAATCAAGGCCAAACACCTTGTCTCTCTTGATTTCGCGCCCGTCTCTAGGTCCTCCTACTTGCTTGACGAACTCCACCTGGTGAAACCGGAAATGGTCGATACCTCGATCTCGGTGCCTGAGAGGAGCAGGAATACGGCGAATGCCATCACCTCGGCCGATGGCGCATTAGCCGCTAAGCCTCTTTGGGCGTGCAGCACAGGCGCCATAGTGGGTCACGCACCTGGCCAATCAATGGCTGATGACGCCAGCGAGGGCCGTTCTAATTGCGTCCACGTCTCGAATCGTCTGGGGTGCTCTGGCTCTGGCTATCTCCAGGGTCACCGTCCATGGGGACTCTCTATTGCACAGATGGATGCTCAGCGGCAACAGCCACCAACTCTCGAGTTGCGGGTGATGATGCGATTGCTGACTCGTGTTGCCTCCATAGCGGAGATTTTGGGTCTGGACTCACGGTCCTCGAGCGGCAGGACTGTGGCTGGGCGGGTGTTTGAACCGCTGAACGGTGCAGACTGCATTCTCGGGCATACAGAAGTCTGCGATGGCGGTGAGACCGGATGCCACTGACCGCTGTGTTGTGTGCCCGTAAGGTTCATGCTTGCAGTCTTACAGCCAACTGCGTGTCTCATCTCTGCCGTCTTCCAAGAATGGGAATGTCCTTCTGGGACGAGTGCAGCTTGCAGAATTTTCCTCAGTCTAGTATCAAAGAGGGACTACATCGTGTGATGCCACCTGGCAAAGACACCACACCACTCTATTATTCACAGACCAACCTCCCGGGGCGCCATGCTCAGTGGCTGATTCGTTGTTGATCTTTGTCTTGATCGTCAGGACACGAGTCCTTTGAGTGTTGGGGAAGGGTCAGCTGACGGAGTGAGTGAACTGATAGAGTGCTGACTGGCCGTTTCGGAGAGTAAAAGCTCCATCCATTTGCGAACCGATCCCAGGGAGACAAGAGGACAGACTATCGAACGAACAGAGCACAGCATAACAGCGTGGTTATTACCCCGCACGATCATCGCAGGAAGGCTTGGTTGAGACGACGTTAAGATATTCCCCGGATTCCGGCCACGGCCACATGACGCCTTGTCACTTTGCCCAATTTTTGGGTTTTAGAATTGGGATTGGAAGTGGAAATTGGAACCTTTTTCCACTCCTGGCATTTGGAATCTGAGATGCTGAGATTCAGAAGTGGGTTCGAGGATTGAATTTGGTTCTTCCCCAGACATCCCAAACCCGACCAACCCAGGGAATGTAGGATGGCACTGGAATGGAATGCAGCGAGGAGCAGTGAACCATCAAGTCACATTATTGCGATCATCGAAAATCCCGCACGACTCATGCCCCTCGTCTTTCCTTCCTTATGGAACAGAGTATGGGGTGCAGCCGGCTCTGTGCTCTGTACTCCCAAATGCTGGAATCTCCTGACTGACTACGAGTATGGAGCATCGGAGGACAAGCTGCAATGCAAAGGCCCGTTGCCAGCCACACCGCGGTCGGTCCACCGTCCATGCAGTCAGCCCGCTCTTCTTCTAAGCGAGCGACAAGTGACAAGTCAGTCAATAATATTGTTGTGGACTGGGGAATTTGCCACCAGCCTCCTCACTGCTCAGGCAACGAGCTGCCAGGACGCCTTAGCAACTTGTCATATACCTGCATCGTATAGGAGTAATCAATATCCGCCTGTCTTGTTAGCCGGGTTTAGGACCATGCTCGAGAAGCTTGGTTATCAAAACAGGTGGGTCTTGATTGTATGCAGGCCAGAGGTGTGAATGTAGAATGTAGATCCTCCGCAAAGGCTTGTCAAGTCCTTGTTGACTTGACAACAGCAAGGGTCCTTATCGTTTGTTATCGCTATCAAACACTTGGACCCTCCGCTGAAATCACGATGAACGCATTTGCTATCCATTCGTCAGTCTGTCCTTCAATGATATCAATAGTCTGTTATCTAGAATGTCCAGACTCCAGCGCATGTAAATATCCACAAAGGGAAATCTTCAACATACCAAAGGCTTGCCGGCTTCCGAAGTCCCACGATTTGGCGCGAGCGCCTAGACTATACTACGTAAAGGCATCGACTGCGAACTCGCCACCTACTCCGTATAGAGAATGTACTAACAGCATCACAACAAACAAACATATGACCGGCGTATCGCCATTGCCGGCCCAGTCCTCCTCCGTACTTCCGCAACTAACCCGACAGCCGTGCACAAATGAGGTGACATGACACAACCCCCGCCCTGGTCGTCGTCAGCATCACACCATCCCTACTTACCCTCTTACCGTCTTACCCTATGAGTGGACAGTAGCCTACGGAAAAGTTTCTCCTGTATCTTTGCTGATTGGGGAGCTCGCTATTCTGCAGGGAAGACCTCTAAGCTGACGGTGCATGGAGTCCAGACCCGGAGTAATATTCATGTCCAGAGTGCATGCAGAGTCGCAGACGGAGTATCCGTAGGAGATAGGAGTAAATCGAGACTGGAATCCCCAAGTATGCGACAGATGACGTTTCAGCATCAGCGTCTACCGACTATTCTCTTCAGACTTGGTGTATCACGCATCCAGGGAGGAAGAACAGTGGACTCAGGTGGACGAATAGAGTTCAGAACGCAGAATACTCCGGGGCGTAGCACAAATCGAAATTCTATCGGTTTCGATTGACTTCCACCTGCAATTGAGTTCTGATTGGTGGTGTGTAAGAAATATCACTCCGTGGTTTATACATATTTAAGTACTCCGTAAGTATAATGCGGGAGGAAGAATGCCGGTAAGTATTCGTGCAGGTGAGCAAGCAAGGGGAGTATAGGTAGGGACGTTATATATCAGGACAGTATACACTTTGAGGTTTTGGATGTTCCGGCGTTGGAGGAGTCTTTGTAGCTAACTAGATAGACAGCAGATATAACAATTATAGAGCCCATTCGTCGACATTGTCGGATGCGGTTATGAATGGCTTATCGATTTGTTTGATGGCGTGGTCGCCGCAGAGAATACTACGTCCCAGCCAAGTTAGCCTACCAGTATAAAATTGATGGTAGAATGGTTAGTACTCACCAGGCTTCCGCTATCAGCCCATCTAGCTCCTTCACAACCTCCTCGCGCCGGGACGCGGTGAGAGCACCTTCGTTCAACTGGGACTGCAAATCCCGGATGTACTTCTTCTTACCACCCGCACCTTCGAGTACCTCACGCCCCAAGCAGTCGCTGTGGAACGCGTGCTGGCATGGGAAAACGAAAAACTGCCGGCTGAGCACGGGAAGCGAGCATATCCAGCACTTCTCGCCAGGCTCGACGATCGCGTACCGTGTGTCGAGGCCGGCGATTTCAGAGCGGATCTGGCGGGCCGTCTGGGCTGAATTGTCCATCTCTTGTCGTAGTGCATCAATGTGCCGAGAGTAATCCTCTAGGGCACTGCAAATTTCATCTTTGAAGTCATCAATGACCACAAAGTCTGGGAAGAATGGAATGAGATCTTCAATCCGGAGTAGCTCGCATCTACGAAGGAACTCAATGGCGTCTTTAATACCCGTGCCTGGCTGCCGAATTCTCTTCTCGGCGACCAGAAGCCATAGCTTTTTCCGTAGTTTATTGTTCCCTTCTGGGCGATCTGAGATGATGGCTGCTAACTCAATGTCATCATGCTGCAGGGCGAGCTCCACAGCCTGGAGGTACTGCCCCATGGCGCTGTAAATATGGATACATGACTGGAAACGCTGGTGCTGAATACAAAGACGAAGTGCAAAGTCGGCATCGTACGGAGGAGGAGATGACGGCTGAGACTGGAGATACGTGAGAAGTCCAGCCTCAGAGGAAGAGCGGCTTGAAGCGTGTATTGATATGAGCGTGTTATGCACTGCCGCCGTAGGCCTTGGGTGGTTGACAATGATGAAGTTGAGGTACCGCACCGCCTGGTTCTGATTCAAAGGCACGCTCACGGTGTTGTTGTAATTAAGCAATGCCGGTATGAGCTTCTCGGGCTCGAGATTAGTCTGCCGCATCAAAATATCAACTAGTCCAGTCGCCGCGTGGGTCATTAGGACGCTGCTGTGCTTGTAAAACACCTCGGGATCACTCTGCCTCTGCAGGACATTGAGCGCCTCAGACCAGTTTTCTCGCTGGATCCAGTATGACAAGACGTAGTTGTGATCGTTTATCACAGTAGCAAAGAAGAGCAATTCTTTTTCTCGTCCATGACTGCTAATGATATCGTAAACAGTCTTCTGATCCAGGTCAGATTTGTATTTTGTCGCGAACTCTTGAAACTCATTCCGAACCGTTCGAAGCTCACCCTCGATGTCTTCAGTGCTTGCTCCTTCAGCCAGTTCTGCCTTTGTGGTAATATTGTCGTCAAGAGTATTTAACTTGGTCATGAATACTTCTATTAGCCAACTTGCAACCATGATCCGTTGCATCGATGAGGACTTCTTGTACACCGAGAGCTGTGAAAGCAGGTACTTTCGTAAAGCATCGTGCTGGCCACGCTTAATGAACGCTAGGCACACATCTTCAAATGCCTTGCTGCTTTTGCCCCAGACTCCGGCTGCTTCCAAGTAGCGACCTCTGCTGGCAAGAAAATCGCCCGACGCAGTAGCAACAGCATCTTTTTGGGAACTGGTGTGCGCATATTGGAGAGCTTGGTCAAACATCTGCTTCTGCAGAAATATTCTCCAAACATCTCGGTCTTCATCCTGGACACATATTTCGAAAATATCTTGGCCGGTAAATAACCAGTAAGTGCCCTTCATCGTGTCGGTCACAAGACCTAGAGCAGCCTGGCCTGGCTCCAAAACTTCCTGATCAAACACGATTTCATCATTCATGCGATTGACAGCAACGACTCGGCCCTCGACGAGCACTACTATATGCCATTCCGATAGCGTCATGGCGGTTATCGGGTTCTGAATCAGCTTCTTGCCTCCTCGTGCGGATTCAGTTGCGGGGAAGGTGGACCGTTGAAGCATACTCGCGCTTTCGAAAGGCTGGTGCAACTTCTCTAAGGAGTATGGGAGCAGGCCATGATATACTCCCTCAGCACTAAGCCATGCAAACTCTTTGTCAGGATGACCTTCCACATGATGAGCATCGGATCCAAATGGCGAAATGGCCAAACTCGACGGCACGGAGCCAGACGGTCGTCCGATTTCATGGACGACAGGAGTCTCTCGCGAGAGAAGGTCAGCGTATATAGAGCCCCCGCCCTCTCTACCAGATCTCCCAGTTCGCCCTAAGAAAAACGACAACTTGCCATGGGTAGCCACCAGTACCCGTCTCTGCTCCGCTTTTGTAGGCACCGACTCCGCCCATAGGCCCGTCACCGGGGACCCTTCTGACGTTCTGTATATGGAGCTAGCGTATCTCTCCTCGCGGCGGTAGAACTCGGTAGATGGTTCGATATACGTTTCCCAGACTTGACCATCAGTCGTGCCCAATAGTATCTCTCGGGTGGATGCTGTCGGAAGGGAGGGGCTCCACGCGACACTTTCGATCAGAAGTCCTTTGAGTCGCGACAATGGCTTCGGCTGTCTTGACTGGGTGTGGAGGTAGTAGTTCTCGCCCAAGGTCGTGGTGATGATMAAGTGGGAGGCAGAAGGGTCTAGGAACATTCGCCGTATCACGCCTGTTTCTGACGATTTCCTCGGGAGGTCGACATCTATTCCCCTCGCAGTCAGTTGTAGTCCTCGAACCAGGTTCATGTTACTGAGGGGTCCACACCATCGATATGCTCAGGATTATTGAGGTCGATCCGCAAGATGCGCCCAGTTGACAATGCCAGAATGAGCACATTGTCAGCGACTTGCGCGGCTACAAAGTCAGCGGCGAGAGGGAACTGAAGCTGAACATGCTTGATATCGAACATAGGAAGCGAATCCGGTTCAATCAGGTTGCTGTGAGCGGCATACCCACTGGACGTCTCCAGCGCCATGTTGCGCCAGTTGTATTCAAGCGGCCTATATCATACCGGTATGCAAAAAAGGCCAGCTATCAGCATGAATCGCCGAGAGATGCAAAGCTCCGGTGTGATGATGTCAAAAGGTACCTTGAAGCTCCGCTGCGGAGGAGGCCGACTAGCTTTAACACCTGAGGCACCCACAAGCATATGGTAGGTGAGCTTCAATGCATCAAGTGGGGATAAAACTCAACTTTTTATATACTTGTTGGTTTTGGCATTAGGGCTATTCACTACTGAGTGTGTTCCATGCAAGTTTAAGGTGTGTAGACATGTCACACACCTAGGTCAATGGTATATGTACACATGCTTGTTAGGTTGATACATATCTGGAGGTGCGGGAACCGTTCTGGGTTACTATTCACTAATCTACTAATCTATCGTGAAAAGCAATGGTCATGAGGCACATAACCATTAGGTATCTCTATAATGCTACAAAAAGAAGCAAGTAACCCAATGACCCGGATATGCTCACATTACAAGACACTCGCGCTCGAGTCTGCGCCCTCTCCGTTCCCTAGACTTCTCTTTCCCCTTCTCTTTCTGCTTGTCAGAGAACCTCGACCGTCTAGGGCTCTTTCCTCTGATATCTACCTTATTAACATCAACAGTGAGACCCGGTGCGTCACTCTTGATCGTCTCATCGTAATCGTCATCGATGGCAAAGGAGTCACTGCCTAGCTTGTCCTTGCTCAGGCGGCCCGCAAAACGTGAAAACGTGGCACTGATCCTATTTTCACTGACCTGGCTTCCTGCGCGGCTTCCGGGGTTTGATCTTGTAGCTCTGGAGCCCCGTCTAGAGAATGAAAATGAACCCCGGTTTTCGTCCTCATCTTTTGGCACAAGTCTTGGCGACGTAGAAGGGACAGAGCGCAAGCCTAAGCCTGCAAAAGTGTCTCGATGATTGTCTGGAGATTCATCATTAGGCCCAGTCACGGCGTTCGCGGGATCTGCAATTGTGATCTCAAGGCTAGGGCGGTTGGACCTGTAGCCTGCACTGAGTCGGTTGGCCTGCAACCTGGGCGAGACATTGGCTGCCTCCGGATCCTGGTTCTCGATAGACCCCACGGAAGATGTGGATGTTCCGCTATTCGGAAAATTAGCTGCCTCTGCATCCTCATCAATTGGCAGAATTTGGTAGAAGAGTAGGTATGGCGATTCGCTCTTCAGGGCTTGCTCAATGTCCACTAGCGTCACTCTTTCCTTGGCCAGGTCGTCAAACCGCATCCAATACCTTGGAGTATCTGACGCGGACTGTTCCGAGCCATGAGAACTTGACGGAGGTGCTCCCGCACTGGTGCCTCGAACGATCGCTATGTAGTGCCCAGAATCGACGGAGTTTCCTCTGTGGCAGACTATGGCCTGCAGAGATAGCTTGAAGTTCACACGAATCGGGCCATCCTCCATGTTGTCATCCTGGATAAAGTGCGGTAGCCCGATTTCGGTCGGAATATCGACAAAGGTGTCGAGTCTGATGGCCTTCCCGTTTGGGAGCATGGAGTACCGTTTTAAACAGAGGCCTAAGATTGGTCGCTTTGATGAGAAATGGGCCGCGACCTGAGAGTCATTCATAGGAGAATTATCTGTATACCATGCTGTCGCTACATCAGCGCTCTTTCACTCAGCATAGTCACAGAGGGAAGGAAGGCTCACGGATTAAGCTAAAAAACTGCCAGGCAGGCATCATAACCTCTTTTCTATAAGAGCCATGACGGTGTTTGGTGATGTCATCGTCGTCCGAATCGGGGATATACTTCGGTTGGATGATGCTGCTCCGCCGATATCGAGTTCTATCTGGCAAAGGGTTCTCTGTTACCGTTGTGACCGGCGTCATCATGGGAGACAATGCTGTTGGTGAGGAAGAGGTGGGTGTGCTGATCTCTATTGCCTCAACGTGCGTGCTAGAGCCCTTGAGAAATGAATCCACCGATTTGGTCGACTTAACAGTGTTCTGGCGCTCAAGGTATCGTTTAACCTCAATTCTGTTATTGAAGTATGCCTCCAAGCATTCCTCCAGCGTCACTGTTTCCCCGTCGACAGGTTCTGGTATAGCGACCTCCAAAAGCCTCTCATTGACGAACCTATGGTCATCGTTCACATCTTCCTTTCCCGTGTGGTATATGTCCATCTTGAGTGTCAAGAGTGGCAACTCCAATTTCTCCGTAATGAACGTAAATGCCTCAGATGCATCTTGCTGGCGAAGATTAGCAGCATCTTCCCATCCACATTCAGCAAGTGCTTCCTGTAAATGTTTCGTCTTTGAAGAGTCCATGCAGTCAGCATTTCTCCTTCAATCAGGGTCCAGCATGCAGGTAATCTACATACAATATCCGTCGTTATAAGCTTTCCTGAACGTAGCATGTTGACCCAGAGTCTCAGGAGCACTGATAGTTTCCCACGAGGCTCATCGCTGAAGTTTTTGTACAGTATTCCTTCAAAGCAGTCAAGCCGAGCAAACATGGCGAAAAGTAGCGCATCCAGGTAGCAAGTAACGCCATTACGATTCTCGGCGCCAAGTAACTTCGTGCTTGGTGAATATCCTTTGATAATTCCTTCGATCGAGTCCTCGACTAATAGAAGGAGCTCAAAAGCTGCATCCACATCGCCCTGTGTATACTGCAGCGCATAAGTAAGATGTTGTTCGTTCAGTCCAGTGATGCCAAGGTGTGAAACTCGTCGTTCTAGGGTCTTGATCTGCTTCCTGTAAGCGAGAGTCCGTGCCGAGACTTGAGACCAGATGAACAAGCCGGGCGACTGGCTACTCAATAGTGCTCACCTTCTTCTGTTGATCGGCAGAATCGCTGATGCTAGTCTCCGATGTGAAGACACCGCGCAGGACAGGGCGGGGGACATCTGTCGACTTCAGAGAGGCGCATCATCAGTATGAGCGAAGCGCATTTCTCCAGTTGTAATGCTATCGTACCTCATTTTTCGCGTGCTTTGAATACCTGTTGTTCCGCTCACGCCTAGTCAAGAATCTGTGTATCCCGCTCATCTTCAAGGAGTTATGAGTTCGATGTTGAACGAGTTGAGGGATATGCGACTGAGAACGGACCGAGCCGACATGGAGAAAGTTGTATGCTGTAGACCTTGAACAGGCCACCAAATTCCGGTTGGATACGTAGCGGAGCTCCCATTCAGTAGTAAACGAATATATCAGGTGAGGGGTTCTTCTGGTAAATTGCGCCGGCGTTGGCAAAGAACTTCCGTATGGTAGGCACCAGCTGAGCTAGCCAAGTGACATCACAAGTTGACAATGAGATGAAGGAGGTAGAAGTCGATAGAAGAGGCAGGAGAAAGAAAAAAAGGGTCTATGGGTTGATGATGATAGACATAGATCTGATCGATCACGGCCCCACTGGAAAACAATCTGTTAAAAGGGATCTTGCAGGTTCGGAACCTGGCCAGAGGGTGTTCACTGCGCTAATAATGCTTTCCAACAATAACATGGCGGGGATGCGGAGCACAGCTCCGTACTGGGTGCCTGAGAGCAAGATATGAATGCCTAATTTTTTCAGGCAGCTATACCGCGACTGCACGTGACCATCTCCGAAATCATCTGGCCGAGAAACATTTTCGGGGCCTCTTACAGTCCCGAAGTTCGCAGCAACAACCATAACCCGTCTATTCCAATGGCTGCTAGTGAGCCGTCAAGATACCTGGCAAGGTCATTGCCCCGGGCTATTGTCCCTGCTGCCCGCTCCCAGGGCCTCTGCTGGCGGCGCCATGCTTCTGACCAAGCGGCCGCTAAACCGTCCGCCCTCAGCGATTTGGAGTCAGACGGTCTCCTGAAGGGTACAACTACGCCAGTTGAAGCCGCAAAATCATTTGACCCTGTTGCGCGGGCCAGAGCACGCAAAACCCAGCTCCCACGAAGTCGGTAAGTTACCCCGAGTGAACCGCAAACCACCCAGGCTCTTAAGACAACATCATGTCCTAATCACCCGCTCTAGGTATCAATTCCGATCGCCAAAATACGATCGCGGACCATTGCATCCTCACAGACCTCCTCCCCCCTCTGATCCCTCTTCTCGACTCTTCGTACCGGGCCCTTTCTCTCTTTCCAGAGTTGATCAGACCCACGAGTCAACCATCGCCTCCGATATCCTCACCCTCTGCTACGTTCACAACCCGCCAGGTTTCAAGCCTCCGCCAAAGGCGCCGCGTCTTCGCACATGGGACGATAGCTCCCCTTACCACAAGAATCGATCTCTTCGCGGTCCCCGTGGTGGTGACGTTCTCCGACTTCTCCGCAAGCCCATCACCTTCAACAACATCCCCAAGCTCGAGCGTATCACGATCCATAGTTACGTGAAGAACGCCGCGAAGGAGAACTCTGGGTGGCTCCATGTAGCCGGTATGGCGCTGCAGGCGATCTCCAACGTCAAGGTCACGACCTACCGGTCCAAAACCAGCGTTGCCAAATGGTACATCTCTCCCGGAAGAGATGCTGTGGCCGCCAAGGCCGAGCTCCATGGAGAAGATATGGAGCACTTCTTTGGAAAGCTGCTCGATATCGTGATGCCTCGCTTAAAGGATTGGCCCGGTGTCAAGGGTACTAGCGGTGACAGCAGCGGTAACATCACCTTTGGTCTGGAACCCGAGCAGGTTGCTCTGTTTCCCGAGATCGAGGTCAACTATGACATGTATGTCTCCTCAATCCCATTCCCTTCTTCCTAAATAAACCGAGTATTGACCGTGAACTTCGCGATTAGGTACCCGCCCCAGATGATCCCTGGTTGCCACATCACCCTCCACACTACCGCCAAAACCGACAAGGACGCCCGACTGCTCCTGAGTGCCATGGGAGTTCCATTCTACGGCAAGCTCGTTGACTAAATAATTGTTTATTGATCAAGACCGAGCGCATGCATTTAACATACATACCTACCACCAGCCATCATTTCACCCCTATATCTCTGGACCGACATGTAACGCATACTGCGACCATGGCTTCGAAGACCTGTATATTACTCTCTGTTTTAGTACTCTATCACACATGATTCTTTTTGTTTCTGGTAAGCACTTGGATTGCGGGTGGTGCACGAATACAATGTAAATCTCGAACAACCTTCTAGCATTATAAGAGGCCGAGTAGGCCATCTACAATGGAGTTTCGGTGCACAACATAGATAGCGGACAAAGCCCTGAGAACACAGCCAGCCTCTGGCGCGAACTCGATGGTTGCATAGTATATTAATGTCCAGGGGAGTGGTGGGTTATATATAACACCCAAATCTACCTAAATTAATGCCGGTAATTGAGTTTCAGTAACGGCTTCACATCGGTTCAGAAAAGAGAGGCAAAGAGTAAGACGACTATTAACCCAATCAATAAAGAGTACTCCAATTCTCCAAACTCAATGCTAGAAAATGCCCATTTGTTCATCCAATATCATAAAGAAGCTCAGCTCAGTGACGTAGCAAGGAAGGGCGACTTGAGTAACTCATCTGCGTTGGGTCGCTTCTCGTGGTCGAGCTGGAAAGTCATGTCCAAGAAAGCAACGGCATCCTTGCTGGCGTGTTCTGGGGCTGGAGGCCGAGCCTTGTTGCTCCCAATGGCAAAGATAGCCTGAAGCTGGCTACAGTCTGGGAAAGGGTGCGACCCAATGAACATCTCAATAACGAGACAACCCAAACTCCAGATATCAGCTTTTTTTGTATGGGCCGTCTGGCGGACTACCTCTGGCGCCATCCAATAAACGCTGCCTTGTAGCGAAGGTCGATGAATATGGCCCCCACCATTGCTTGCTCGAGATCCGAGCACAGTAGACGCTTCTACTCGTTTGGAGATACCGAAATCGGAAATTTTGATGCCACCTTTATTGTCAACGAGAACATTTGCGCCCTTGATGTCACGGTGAATGATATCCTTGCTGTGCAGGTAGGACAGACCCGCGAGTATTTGGCGCACAAAGTTCTTAATCAAAGGCTCTTGGAACGTGTTGTACTGCTTTAGCATTGTGGCAATAGAACCTCCTGGAACATACTCTAGGAAAATGTTCAGATACTGATCGTCGGCAGTAGTTCCCAGATATTGAACAATGTTTGGATGATGAAGACCTTGTAGTAGGTCAATCTCGTGCTTGAGCGCATCGACCATGCTGTTTTTACGCTTGTCGAATTCGGTACCCTTCGTTGCCGACGGGATTTCAACCTGCTTGACAGCCATAAGTTCGCCGGTTATCGAGTGTAGTGCCAGGAACACGCTGCCAAAAGAACCCTCGCCGATCAATGATCCCTTCATCCAGTTGACGAAATTGTTACCGGCTAAGAATTCAGCCAGCCCATCGTCATCTTCCTCCCCGTCTTCAGCCACAAGAACGCTTAGACGTTCATTGAAAGAGCCACCATCTGTTGCGGCAACACTTGCATTTTCATCCAGAAGGCTGTGACGCGAATTGTTGGGGTCATCGGACCCGCTATCGAAAGACACGTATGACTTGCGGTTCGGCTCAATGGGCGACTCCTCCTGGAGGGGGTGGAGGGAACTGGAAGCGATCGAATCCCTATACGATGTTGAAGGAAGACCAGGTCGTGTCGAAACAACAGAGAGTGGCCGTGCGGCTCGAGTGGGTGGGGCGCCGTTATTGAGCCAAGTGTCGGCGATGCTAGGGATAGGCGGTGCATCCCGCAAGCTGGAAGCATAACTGGTATTGCTGACGACGCTTAGCCGACTGGCCGCTCTGCTCAGCCGTTGAGATCTGCGGACAGACATGCGCATGGTCTTCTCAATATCCTCTCTCTGGTGGCCAGGGAAGTAAGATGAGATTTCATGAATAATCATCTCGCTAGGTGGTCGAGCACCGAAGAATGATCGCAGCTTGGAAACACGTTCGTTGACTTGAGGAGGCCGAATGTCGTGGTCACTTGGAGTCGTGTTATGACGCGAAGATACTGGTGACATTGGTTGCCTGATGTTATGCCATGATTCGCCCGTCAACTGCTGGATTTTCATTTGGTTCCGCATGTTTGAGCTGCTGAGGGCATTCATATGTGCCACCTGGCTTTCGTCCAGCGCGAGCTGGGATGCACGGTGAACCTCCTCAGCATCCGGTTCGCCAGCATGGATCTTACGGAGAATAAGCCGGCCTCGCTCCGACCTGTGAAAACCTTCGCATATCTCCATCAGCTCGTGGTCAGAGAGTCTCCGACAATTTGATGGATCGGCGTCCAGACCGTCAAGCACATAGAAACAATAATTGCGGTACTGATGCTCAGGAAGTTGCAATTTCTTCAGAACACAGAGGATAATCTCGTCCGGAGTTTTGCAATGCTTGATGTCCAGGACTTTCGTTTGACCACCGGTGTAAATCACTCTGATCACAGGAGAATTGCTCAGCAAAGAGCCCATTGTCATCCCGTCAAGGCTAGGATTTTGTCTCAGATGCATTGCAGTTCGCTCAGCTGGAGTGCTAGGGTTGCGTCCAGAACCTGAGCCACTGGAGAAATAGTCTTTCCGCCCGGAATCCATAGGGCTGGCAACATAACGATGTGGCCGTAACGGAGATCCTGGTCGTGAGGTAGGCCTGCCATAGCTATAATCGCCCGCCCTGGATGAACGTCCAGCACTAGATGTTTGCTGACGCGGGTTGTAAGAGCGGGAAGATTCAGACGAAGCTTGTTGATGAGCCGCTTCCAGAGCTGCTAATTGTCTCTGTAGGATATGAGTAAACGTGATCATTGGATATATAGGCACTGACGTACCAGATTCTTTTGCTTTCGGTTGACCACCGACTTGTTGCGGAGCTGCTTTATAGCCACAAAAATCCGTACCCGGTCACCGATCTTCTTAATACCCATTTCCTGTAGGATCTTCTGGTCGCATTCGATGAGATTATTGCCGTTAAAGTTATTTGCTGGGCACGGTTAGTCTCCATTAATCATGGTTTATATCAGTGACTGAAGGCCGCGTACCTTTGAATAACGGCTCATATTGCTGACAGTTGATACTATGGAGCCACCCAATGACTTGTTTCTCGTCCCAAGACCTAGAGGAATTAGCTAACCAAGATCTTGTCGACGCGCACCATCATGACTTTCGCACCTCACAGCATCCAGCCCGTCATCGACTTCCGAAAACTCCGACTTGGTTGGACTGGTGTACGCTGTCCCCGTTTGTGATTCCGAGAATGTTGCGGTCTTCTGCGGGGCCGTATGATAAGACGCAGTCGGCGTTTGCGACGATGGCAGCCCCATGGGCGGCACGTATGCTTTGGATGCTAGCATGGCGGATATATCATAAGGGTTTATAGCGCAATGTTCCTCAGATCACAACCAGAATAGCGACGATCGCAAATTATCCCTAGCGAAGGATATCGGTCCGAACTGGAAGAAAGAACGTGTTCGGTAGGCTTGAAGGGTCTCTAATGCATGACAAAGGGTATCTAGAGCCGCAGGAACAAGCTGTTAGCACTGTCGCAAAATAAAGACGGTTGGAATGACGAGAGTAAGCCGGAATCCCCCGCGTCAAAAACAACCAGGCAGCTTGAACCTGAGGAACGCGTACCAAAAAAAGAAGAGAATCAAAGTGGTTATAGGTAACGTGAACACAGAGACTCCGGATGGTTTGTCCAAGAGGTGTTGGTTCCCTTTGTCTTGCCTTGCGGTTGTCTAGTCTGAACTATGGGCCTGGGACTAGACTGACGATCGGCTCTATCGTTGAACAAACACGCCCATCGATCAGTGAGCTTCAGAAGGACGGAGAGAGGAACAAAGAACAACTCAAAGGAGAGAGAAGACGCTGAAGCGAAGAGGCAGCCGATCAACAGCTGAGAACGCCTTTGAGACTCTCAGCGGAGGGGGTTTTAGAGGAAAGGGAGGCCATGGTCTTATTTCTGGCTGTTCCTCTGTCTGTCTGTCCGCCCGATCTCCTCCACTGTTTCAGCTTTGGGCTAAGTGGGTCATGTGACTGTCTCAATCTGAGCGTTTTCGTTGGATCGGACTGGCAAAGATCTCGTCAGCAACTGGTCTCCATCAAGAGTGGCCCAAGCAACACAGGAGGGGCCTCCACGGAGTGTTTACTCTGTCAAAAGAAACCTGTCGCAACCGGCCCATACTGCCCAGCACGGGCGGGAAGTGATTTGTCAAGAGCCGAATCTGAAACAATAAGCTGTGGCGGCTGTCAGACTATCACCGCCTCTGCTATTCTTGGGTTGGGCCCCTTCTTGGAACCATGGACTGATAGCATATACATACGTTATGCCCCTTTCCAGCCAATATACTCTATACAGGCTGTCAACCGGCGCAGGTTTCACTGATTCCTGCTTCGATCCTCGTCGATTGCTGTATTGGCACCATTCGGTCGCGGCTGGTCTTCACGGAGCATCTTCTCATCGACGAGACAAAGAAGCCCGCACATCCAGTTTGATATGGAGAAATACGTTGGACATCACCGAGGTTTGATGGGTACTGGAGCAGTCAACACATTCCACTTCTCATAATCAGATATGCATGGTCAGGCGTAACAACCAAGCACTACGCGTCCTCGGGTTGTATTGCAGGGGAACTGCGGGCGGTATTAGTATCCCGCAGGCCCCATCAGCTCTTGATCAGATGAGATCATGGAGATTATATAACAGCATTGCGAACTACAGGATTACTGCCCCTGGTTGACTCCGCCTATCGTTCATAGTTGATGAAGGAGTCAAGCGCATATACTCCGTTCATATGGGAACAAATCGAGGCCGTCTTCGTCTTACCAGCCATAGCATGCGATTGTTACTTCGTTGAGCCTGAGGGTAAGGAGATGGCGTCAACAGTCGGCACTTGGCAATTCAACCCGATTCAGCAGTCTAAATTGGTCCGCGGTTGCGAGTCGCGAGCGGGATTAATGCTGTTATGGGCCTGGGGTGTAAGAGACATGGGGCTCATTTCGTTGTCCGCGAAATGTGGTCGAACCGAAGGACGAGTCAGGACTCAGTAGTGCATAGATTGAGTCAAAAGCTAACCAGGAAATATCAAGCACAAGACCAAAGCGCCGCAAGAAAGGGGGGTTTGTCGGAGAGAAAGAGAGCGCGGTAGGCGAAGTTCTCTCAATGCTTCTGTTCTTCTTCCTTTGAGAGCCGGTTTTGCTTCCCATACATGCATTTGGTTCTGCATACACAAGGCATGTATCTAACACCCTCGGGCCTGCATCTAATCAAGGTCCCCCTGTCTTGTTAGCCACGCTAAGCACCGTGGTCAAGGCTACTCGTTATCGGTACATGCGGGCCTCGGTTATATGCAGGCCAGAGACTATGAGCAATTCGTGGTGCGCAGAGGGTCTGATCATGATTCAAGGTAAGCAGCATCTCCGCACCAGTGGGTGCTGTACTCCAGCTGTATGCCGGTCAACACGAGAATAACTGGAGTCAGCGATCCAGGCTCTTATTTCTGTCCCCTCTTTGAAGACTTGAAATCAACCCTTCAGAGCCTTTTGGTATCTTCCAGATACGCCTAGCGAAAAGTCATATTTCATCATCCAATGGACAGTCGATTATCATTGCTTTCAACTCGATGCGATAGTAAGAATATTGGTGCCTCAGGCTCCTATGCATCTGTTTTCGGCGCTTACGTGACGCCCCCTCACCCCCCACAGCATTTTCCTTCCCCCGCGCCTGTCCACCGAAGACATACTCCAAAACCCCAAGGCTGTTCGCTATGGACGATGAGAGATCAAATTCGGGGAAAGTGAGGAAGAAGTCAACTACCGTCCATCGGAAATCGCTCTCCTGCGAATACTGTAACCGGTCCTTTGCCCGCCTCGAGCACCTTCAGCGCCACCTCCGCACCCGTTGAGTAACCCTGATTCTGCTCAGAAGAGCACTTTTCATTTGGCATATGTCCCGGCTAACTTGTCGGCCCAGATACAAAGGAGAAACCATTTTCATGCGACATATGCTCAAAGTCTTTCGCAAGGAGGTAAGTCCCCAGGTACACTGCACTTCAGCCCGCTCGCACTAATTATTCATCTTTTCTTCCTGAAAAGCGATCTACTTGTACGACATGAGCGCCTAGTCCATCCAGCCGAGGCAGCAGCGAATCGAGAAAACCGAAACCATACCAACCATGATGTCTCGCAAGCTTCAGCTTCAATAGTCCAACCTTCTCACCATGAGTCTCGAATGCTCGAGCTAGCCGATGCTATTCCGCTTCAGACCCAACCGGTTCCTGCTCCTCCCGAAGTCCAGGTGCAGCCCCCTCCTATCGTGGAGACCACCCATTTCAACCCATCATGGGGATATGATTTGAACCTTCTATCTCATGCTGCGAGTCACGTCGCTCTCGAGGGACAACAGGAAAGTCTAGAGAATTTTCGGAAGCCTTCGCAACCAATTGCGCCGCCCCCTCCACCGCCGCTCTCCCATGTACCAGAACGAGGAATTACTGATAATTATGGCGTTGAGCCTTCTATCCTGGATCTTACAGATCTAGGAGATCCGGTTCAGGACTTTACAGTGTTCTTGGAGAGCGTCGGTCTTTCTTCGGATTGGGACTCCGGTATCTTCTCTAGCGTAGAAGAGCCCTTGTTACCGACTAGCCTCCCAATGGATTCGAAGCCCGCAGTGCGTGAGAGCTCCAGGCTAGGGACGGACTTGATGAGTGACCCCAGGACTGCTGCGGATGAAGCCCCGTCGTTCTCTAATTTTGGATCTCGGCTGCCATCCCTGCAGCCGGAAGCCCACGATGTGGATGATCGTCTGGGTTTTGGCGATGAAGGTCCGCGGCCAGCTTGGGATATATCTAATGCGGATCGTCAGGTATTCGTCTCCAAATTGGAGGAGTTCGCCTACGTCCTCCCAAAGGGATTCGTGCCGCCGTCAAGACATGCTCTGTCCCGCTTCTTCGCTGGCTATATAAATGGGTTGAATGAGCACCTCCCTTTCATTCATGTTCCGACACTATCAATTGCGAAGTGTTCGCCGGAGCTTACTCTCGCATTGGCGGCCGCCGGCTCCCACTATCGTTTTGAGAATAATAGAGGGTTTGACCTCTTCCACGCTGCTAAAGCGATTCTTCTAGAGCGCTTGCAGAGGAGAGACAGTAAGCAGGTGCAGTTTCCTACTTGGAACTTCTTATCCCCTTCCTCTGGCTTTCACAACTCGCGTGGATCGTCCGCCACCTCAAACAGCCCATATCAATCCCACCAACATCAGCCATACGTCCTATATCCGGTTGATACTGCAAGTTTACCTCCTGAAGATTCATATGCACACATGGAGGTAATCAAGACTTTCTTGCTGCTTACAGTATTTGCTTCATGGGAGCGGCATCCTGAGCTGTTACGAGAGATTCTGTCTCTTCAAAGCACCTTGGCCAGACTTGTTCGGGAACATGGTCTCACCGAGTCAAGCATTGGCGTGGACCCAAACAACTGGGAAGAATGGGTTCGGCGAGAATGCAACAGGCGCACGAAGCTTATCGTTTACTGCTTCTTCAATCTCCACTCTATAATGTACAACATACCCCCCTTGATATTGAACGCCGAGCTCAAATTAAACATGCCCTGCTCGCACGATATCTGGAAAGCAAGCAACGCTGCTCAGTGGCGTCGTCTCCTTCGCACCCGGCATGGCTCGGAGGTTTCCTTCCAAGACGCTTTTACAAAATTGTTCTTCAAGTCGAACATCACAAACACCGCCCCTATCTCGCCTCTCGGGAATTATATTCTGATACATGCGCTCATCCAACAAATCTTCTTTGCTCGTCAACTTTGCCTCTCTGCTCCAAGTCTTCATGGTACGAGTCTTAGGCCAGACGATCTGAATGTCCTAGATAGTTCACTGGGCTCTTGGAAAGCGCTGTGGAAACGCACCCCTGAGTCGAGTATTGATCCGCAAAACCCGGCTGGTCCGATCGCGTTTACGTCCACCGCTCTTTTGGGACTTGCATACATTAGATTGCATGTCGACCTCGGCCCGTGCCGTCGCCTCGTGACTCAAGATCCGGTCCAGATTGCAAGGGCACTCAATGAATCACCACCTATCGCGCGAAGTCCGCGTCTTATCATGGCCCTTCTGCATTCTGCACATGCCCTTTCGATCCCTGTGCGCCTTGGCATCGATTTTGTTGCAAGGACTCACTCGTTCTTCTGGAGCATCCAGCACTCTCTATGCAGCCTGGAATGTGCCTTCCTTCTAAGTCGATGGCTGCTGTCTATACCAGCAACCCAAGCTGAGCAAAGGCTCTCGGAGCATGAGAGAAAACTGCTCTTATGGATCAAGAGTATGATGGACGAGACAGACATGGCTGTCGATCCGGCGGGAGCGCCTGAATATGATTTCATTGCCAACCCTTACAAAGCCAAGCAACTGAGTGTCGCCATTGTCCGGGTATGGGCGAGGACATTTAAGGGAAATACAAGCTGGGCCATAGTGGACCTGGTTGGGCAAAGCCTGGATGCCTATGCTGATCTATTGGATTCGCAGATCTAGTGGCTATACTGAAGCTCACTGGGAACATTATTGATGAACTTTGTGAGATTCCAAGCCTCTACTCATGGGTTATAAAAGGTAGTTGCATACTTTTAATCGGCAATGCTTGGTCTTGCCCGAGGGGTATAACCTATCACGACAATGTTTCAAGCATAAGAAAAGTTGCGTCACACATGGCATCTTATAAACAACTTGACTAATACCCTCATCTATTCGCCTTTTTATTCCTTCGTGTATATAGTTAGGTCTCTTTTCGCGCGGCGCGGGTCGGTGGTTATGACGGCTAGTTATGAGTTTCTCTTGCTATTTTCTCTTTTCTGATATAAGATTGATGAGGGATGACTTTCCTGTGTCACATTATTATTCCCTTTATCACGAGTCCTCGAATATATCCTTCTACTATATAACTTCAACATGATCTGCATTCTGTCGCAGCATTGATATCACTAAGCACCGAATGGCCTATGTGATTGATAAAATATAGGGTTACTTGTTACTTCGGTGCGTGTCAGGGCAACTCACGGCGTTCGCCCTTTCGCCCGCCTTGCTGCATTCGTTACACTAACAGGGACAAACCGCAGCGCAGACATGGACTTTTCGAGCTCCGTTACCTCCACGTCCATCTCGTCTGATTCAGGGGGTTGGTGTCCAGCGCCCGAGTTAGGTTTGAAATTGGAGTTAGGGCTAGACTGAGAAATGGACGTCTGGCGGTGTCGTAACCGGCCTTCTTTCGGTGATGAGGGCGTACTTGACAGACGACGTCGGTGGGATTGCATGGACCGGAGCATCGAAGTCTGCTTGTCGATGCCATCGTTGACGATGTAGAAGTTGTAGGTCTGGGGAGCTTTAATACATGTCTGCGATTCTGGAAAGGGCGTGATTTGTGAACCTAGGATGGGACGAAGTACCTTTGGGAACATATGCTTATCTATAAGGTGCATTCTGCGTTTCTGGGGCGTGGAGCATTTCCGCTCGCAGTCTTCGACGAAACATCCGTACTATGTTGTTGTCAATATATATTTAGGACTGGAGAGGGATGCTTGCATACTGTTTTCTCCCCGCGATCTCTCCTCGCAGCAACTAAAGAATCATGGTTCTCCTCTATGTGCAAGTTCAGGAATAGATTCGTGGGGAAATTTTTCCCACATTGGGTGCATCTGTTGACGTGGGCTTGATGGTAGTGGACTTCGTAGTCTTCGTAGGAAGCGAAAGAGAGGGTTTCTCTGTGCGGTGGGAGAGAGCAGCGCATCACTTCTTCAGTAGTGAGATTTGTTGAGGGCTGTGAGAGATGAGTCTTGGACGGAATTGGCGCGGAGTCTGATGATGATATCGAGTCTGGGGATGAGGATCTTGACCGACATTCTGGAGACGGGTCAATAGACGTGGATCTTGAACGTTTGGCCATTTCTGCAGGGGGCTTGCAGGTGGTGAATGGTAGACAATATTATTGCGTAAGTTTGATGATTTGATGGCCAGTGTCCCGCATGGTTTGTCAACCCAAAGGATTTAGGTCTTGAAGATATCTGCCACCATCCCCTGCTACTGGTAAGTGAAATGACTTTTGTTCATTCACAGTTTCCTGATACTGCAATATCAGCTAGTCAAAATACCCTATACTCTCATGCAAGACCCAAGCCTCAGCAGATGTACTGAAAGATGATACTCTAGCAAGTCCCCAGATAATGATGGTGTTTCTCTTCACTGTCCTCTTAACTCCGCACCCTTAACTCCGTACATTATCAGATGGAGACCAGCACCGCCACAGCACCTGCTGGGCCAATCAGCGTCTGGCCAGCCACAGAGAATCACCAGCAGCGTGAATCCCAGTCTCACTTTCAGTTCCGTTTCCGCTCGGATTAATTAAGGTACAGCCCGTTTTCTTGTCAATGGACAGCGGCCTTAACACCTCCGCGTCTTGCTCGCTGTCATCTCTTGTCTACCTCTTAGGGCATCCTCACCTCACATTACAGTCACAGTAGCGCGTTATTGGCGCCTATTCCGACCAGCCCGAGCCATATCGTCGCTTTGCCGCTCCTCAAGACAACACTGATGGATCGTTCACTGATCCTGTCGCCCGCAGACTTCCAGCCAGCCATCTGACGGGCGAAGCGACTAGTGGGGTGATATAGGCGGACCAATACTCTGCCTATGAGCATGGCGCTCATTTTTCAGAATGCGTGGCAGTCAGTACCCTTCCCTTGCGCTGAGTGAAACTTGACAGGTGAGCACATGAGACTGAAGCTGGAATATCTCAGGTCTGCGCTCGACGTTGAAAAGGCGCTGTTGAACCTCCTCACCGAAAAAGAGCCCACGTTTGCAGATATATCCCACAACATATCGGAGTTAGTTCCATTCACACGCCCTGTCCACTGTTACGCGCAGCTGACCTGACACCTCCGTTCGCAGGCTCCGCAGCGCTTGCCAAAATGCCATCCTCCTGGACTTTGAGACCTCCCGCTCCGTCGAAGTTGAAGGTCGCCTCTGGGAGGCGCATCTCAAGATCAACACCCGCTTCCGAAAGTTGCTCTCCCGCGTGAGTTACTCCATAATATTCCGCTCGCCATGCGCTAATGTCAGCCGTGCGAGACCTAGATTCGGGAAGATAAGGATAACGGGAAGAAAAAGAAACCGGTGGAGCGGAGAAAGCTTGAGAAGCACTACTTGGAATTCATCAAATCAAGCCAGCGATTCTATCGCGGCTACATCCAACAATTGGCGTCCCACTTTGGCGGCATCTCGGAGTTGGAGAAGGTTGCGCGGAAGTTCAGCTTTGACAGTAAGCACTCGACTACTCCTAGGGCTGCCCCCGCAGCTTCCTGTTCTAACCACCAAATTAGATCTCTCCGCAGAGCCTCCCGTCTATCCTTCCGAAATCCTACGCAATTACATCCTTCAATCATGCCATGCAACTCTTATTCGTCTTGGTGATCTCTCCCGTTACCGCGAAACCGAGTTGGTTACCAAAGAACGCAACTGGGGCCCCGCAATCGGCTACTATGATCTAGCCACTGTGATCTACCCAGCTTCCGGAGCATCGCACAATCAGTTGGCTGTTATTGCACTTGCTGATGCTAACCATTTAAAGGCCACCTACCATCTCTATAGGGCACTTTCGGCCCAAGAACCCCATCCAGGTGCCAGGGGCAATCTTGAGATCGAGTTCAGAAAGGTCAGGGGATTATGGGCAAAACAGCAGCTGATTCCGCGTGGCGATGCTGGCATTCCGGGCAAAGCATTAGCCCCTCTATTTGTCTATCTTCATGCACAGTGTTACAAAGGCATTGATTTTACGGAACATGATGAACTCGAAAGTGAAGTTCTAAATCAGCTGGCAGTGGATCTCAAAGAACGTTCCTTGGAGGGAACTCTGCAAAAGTTCTGTTTGATCAACATCGCAGCGGAGGATGCCTCCCGGAATCGGTCGAATGGTAAGTTTCCGGACATCTTCTGGGATATATTGCACTAACCTAAATGGCAGAGAATTCAGGGACAAACGCTCACCTGTTCTTCCAACGTATTAACGTCAAAACATACTTCACACTCCTGCAGATTCTCTTAGCTGAGGTTGAGCGGTTCGCTGTTGAGGATTCAGGCAGTAATAATAAAGAGAAAGTTGGGGCTGACAAAGTCACCGTTGTTGCCCGGCGGATCTTGCCAGCCCTCCGCAACTATAGCGCTTGGCTATTGACAGTCAGCAGCCACTTGGTCGCCTACAAGGAGAAAGATACCCCTCTTGCAGTCCAACTCGCAGAGTTTTGGAAGATCTATGCCAACACGCTTACTCTACTCGCGTCCACTTTTGACGTGGTACATCTCCCAGAGGTGGAATATCTCCTTGAAGAAGACGAAGAGACCTTGTGTTTCGTGCCGCTTAGCGAAGGTGTTACGCGTCGGTACTTGGATGCACAGGGACAGCAGAAACCTTCAATGAATGATCCAGGCGTTGAGAGAAACCACCCTAACATTGAGATGCTCTACCGCATCCGGGAATTTGTCATTGACGGCTTGGATTTAGTTGTGGGCAATGTACGGAACAGTTCCTGAGTTTTTGGGCTTCTACTAACTTTTTCAGAAAATCCCTATTGCTCTTGTTGACGACGAAGACAAGAAGACGTTTATCTACAAGGAAGATGGTCTTCCGTCTCAATTCTTCGCTAGTCCCTCCGGTCATCACCACTCGCTCTCCACCGCAAGCATTGAACGAGAGGATATCCAGCAGGTTAGACAAGAAGCGAACTTCCAAACAGATACCAGAAGCACCTTTGGGGGCTCTCAATCTGCGTCTGTTTCTATGTCTGCTGCTATGAATGGGATCGTTGAGGGAGTTGAGCGCTTGGTTGAATCTGACACTTACGAGAATGCCCCAGTCGTCCCTAATCGCTCATTCGACCCGGTCGCGAACGCCACGCCGATAAATGACAATGTCCCTACTCGTCAGACGCCTCTTGCTCCACCTGGGCTTGGCCCCCCTTTGGCTAGCTATTCTGCCGCTTTGCCTCGTGTGTCATCGTCCCAATCGTTTACGCCACAGGCTGCGATCCCCGGACTTCCTACTATTTGGAGCACTGGTGCTTTCTCTCCAGAATTTCGCGATGTTTCTCCACGCACTCCGCCTGGTCTTGGAATACAGAATCCTCAGGGATCAATGGTTACCAGAAACACCAGCAGTCCGGGTCTTGGATACGCGCGTCAAGATACCGTTAAAGGCGACTCGATACCCCGTCAGAGTCTTTTTGCGCAAGGACAGCCCGAGAGTAATTCGCTCAACGGAAATGTTCCCATATCCCCATTCCTAGCTCCGTCGATATATCACCAACGCTTCTCTAGCTCCTCTTGGGATCCATATGGCATAGCCGCGCCCGCGAGTCCCTTTTTACAACAGGCATATCCTCGCTCTGCAGGCTTCGGACCTGCCAATCAGCCAATGTCAAGTGGATTTGATAACACGTCGTGGGCTAACAATGCTTTCATTGATAATACCATTTCATCGGGATACGTCTCAAGTCCAGGCCTCGACGGTGCTCGGAGAGCGCCCTCGGCTCCGTTTGGCGCTATTGGTCAATCCCCTCGTCTCGGACACGGTGGCTGAAGTGCTTTGACATTTTAAAAGAGTGTTTCGAGAACCACACTTTTCTAAGCGCCTCGTCACGGGTATGATATCTTCTCTTTCTCCAGATAAGAAAGGATGCAGAAGGTAACGTCGTGGGAAACGGGCATAACCGGTGAAGTTTGCTGCAACCGACAGGCTTTTCCATTTATAGGGAGGGGAACTGCACGAGTACTGACAGTTGTGCTATGGTGTATCTTTATGGTTCCCGTCATTGCCGGTCCGTAACCTAGCAGCCCAGCTGTCTCGAGCTTACAGCCCGTTTTGCCCAAGCTACCGTGCGTTGTTGCTGCTACATATGCGGATTGGGATGTCCTAGTTGAAGTGAAGTCAGCGAGGTTTTTATGCGTTCTGATTCCCTAGTTCAATGCTTTTTATGTGTTGAACTTGGGCTTCAACGTGGAGGGGTTTACGGAGTATCTAAGCCGATTTCGGAGAACCTCGATCAATATGTTCCATTATCTCTTGCTCTTGCAGCTAGCTTACTGCAGTTAAATTGCCAGCAAATACCAATGATCAGATCTTCCGAAGCTCGTTCAATCGTAAATTTTCGTATGAGATTATAATAATGAACTTGCCATATAGTGTTGAAGATATGTATCATGAATATAGACTGAGGAAGCAAAAAAGATTATGTCAAAGTCCATCATTAATTCGTTGTTGAGAACGCCTTTTCCTGCAATTCCTGTCTATCATGTTTTCGTCGAGGTAGTGTAAGAATGTAATAGTAGCGCCTTTCCCACTTGACAGCAAATGCAAGGGGAATAAGTAGAGCCAAGTCTAAGACGTTAGGTCGAAGGCAACGTGGGTATAGAAGGTTGAATCCTAGATGACAAAACAAAGTTGAGAGTTTTTATTGCCAAATGGCGGGCGTGCTATGCGTCAGAGGCCTTTCTATGAGCGCTCAGGAGTGTAGGTTTGCTTGGGGAAGGGGAAGCTGTGGTTTTGTTAGCAGAGTGCTACTCCTTTTTCACAAGTGAAAAATGGAAAAAAGAACTTACGATGGTCCCAATTCTTGGATGCTAAGCTTGGCGAGCCACTGGCCGAGATCAATGCTCTCTTCAAGGGACTTGCCCTGCACCACTCCGGCGACGAAACCACCGGCGAAAGCGTCGCTACAGGATTGTTAGTCAAGAAACATCTTTGGTGTAGGCAGTTCGATTTCTTACCCAGCACCGTTAGTGTCGTTGATGGCGTCCTTGGAGATCTCGTGAACGGGGAACTCCTTGACTTCAACCTCACCGCTGGAGGTAACGGTGGCAGTGACGGTGGGAAGAGTACCCTGGGTCACCACGGCAACTCTGGGGCGGTTGGTGTTCTTCTTAGGGAGCTGGGCCAGCTTCTTGGCGATCTCGATAATGTCGGTGGTGCCCCATTCGTGGCTCTCAGCGTAAGCAACGGCCTCGGTCTCGTTGCAGAAGGTGTAGTCGGTGTAGGGGAGGACACTGTCGAGCTGGTCCTTGAAGAACTGGGGAATGAAAGGAGCTGAAAGAGAAAGCATGAAGACCTAGTCGGTCAGACTCCGATTAGTGAAGCTCTAAGCCGATGTAGATAAACCGGTCCTCTCATACCTTGTTCTTAGCAGCAGCCTCCTCACCTAGCGCCTGAATGGCGGGAACAGAGACTGTAAGGTGGTAACCACCAACATAGTAGAACTGAGCCTTCTCGACGAGAGACCAAATGTGAGGCTGCTTGAGATGGTCGACCTTGTACTCGTTGGCAGCAGCAAGGTGAGTGCACATGCTGCGGTTGTGGCCGGTGATGATGACACCGCACTTGCCAGTGGGCTGAGCATCGTCGACGCGGTACTCGGTGTGAACACCAGCCTTGGTGCAGGCCTCCTTCAGGATGTCGGCGTACTTGTCCTTGCCGACACAGCCGATGTACAGAGTCGAGTTCTCAGGAAGGATGTACTGAAAGCAGAGACGGATTAGCAATCTTACAGGTCGCACAAAGACGGCTGAGTCTAGGAATACCTGAGCGCCACGAGCGGTGTTCTGCGCAGCACCACCAGCAATCAACTTGGCCTCGCGGTCCTGGAGCAACTCCTCATAGAGACCCATGTGCTTATCCTCGGCAAGGATAGCATCGTTGGCCTTGAGTCCATACTTCTCGAGGAGAGCGGCATCACTATCGCCGTTGTTAGTTTAACCCATCTCTACATGTCAATGCCATTGAACATACCCTACAGCTTGGATATCTATAATCAAGCAGCAAGAACTCATCAGTAAAGTGTACCAGCCAAATTTGACTTCACAATGGCCTGTCAAGGGATCCATTCACGCACCTAAGAGGGGGTTCTCCAAGCAGAGGAGAGGGTAGCCTTGGGGAGCAGCCATGATTGTTGATTATCTGTGCTGGTAATGGGAACAGAGGGAGCTTATGGTATATAGAGGGGCGGAATAGAATGAGGAGAAAGAGAGAGAGAGAGAGAAGGTGGGGGAGCCGGTCGACCAAAAGAATTAGTACTACTCGTCACTTCGCTGAGCCCGACCGCCTAGGTGGCGGTCGGTTAGCCCCACCCATATAAAAATATTATCTTAATAAAAATTATAGATTTTGATTTAACCTATTAACTTTAAATTACCATAACTCCACCAATTTTTAAAATGGAGCTTTATTTTAAAGATAAATCTACTATTAAAAACGCCCTTGCTAAATATATGTAAAAAAAAGCGGACAATCCAAATATCTTGCTATCTAAAATTACGAAAATATGGAATGTTAATTACTAACGCCTATAAAAACGTGTTTTTAATATAGGGCCTTAATCCCAACACTAGGGTGCTGGGAGATAAATAAATAACACGCAGGAAAAGGTCTTATTAAATTTTATTAAGAAATAGGATGACCTAGGCGCTTTAATAACCCCCTAAATAATTAAAGGTATTATAAATAAGATCCTTTAAATTAGCTTTAACTGTCGTCGGTACGCGATTTATGGATTCATAATATTATTAATGTCTTCCTGAAGGCTAGCTACATTCTAATAAAGGAAAGGGGTTAGGGCGGTGCCCAACAGTAGTATTAAATACTATTAGGTGCTAACCTTAATAAGTCCCCCTTATAAAAAGGCGGACGCCCTTGTTTACTAATAAAAGGCTTAAAATAAAAAAAAAGGCTCGAGGTTCGAGCGAGAGTAAAAGTAAAAATAGTAAGAAATAAAAAAAATAAGACTTGTATTTTTAGTAAAAACAGCTTGGTAGTTTAATATTATAAAAGTAAAAGAAATATAAGCGCAATTAAAAGTAAAAACAAAGGAAACTAAGTAAAAGTGTTTAGTTTAGTTTATTTTTTAAGTTTAGGTTTATTTTAACCTTTTTAATATTAAATATAGCGCATTTATAAAAACCTCCAGGACCTAATCCTTTGTTTAGTAAGTTATATTAATAATAATATGCCTTTGGGCCTTTAGTAAAGCTTATATTTAGGCTTTTAAAAAAACTTGCACGGCCTTATAAATAACAGGGTATTTTTTTTTTAGTGCGTTTAATACTATATTATAACTAATTAATAATAAATTAAGGTTGCTAGCTAAAGCACGGGCTAAGAATAATAGGGTTTTAAGTAATATTTACTAGAGTAAAAATAATAAAGTTAAATAAATAGTAAAGGTTTTATTACTAACAAAAGTAAAACTGGTATTTATACTTTCTTGGCGGGAGAGATATTAAGTAGAAGCATTTACTATTATAGGGCTAGCAGGGTTTTTAGTTAGCTTTAATAGCCTACTAGTAATGGGGTTTAAAGTTTTAAAAAATACTTAAAAAATTACTAGTTTGTTAGCTTGTTTTTTGCTTGCAGTGGGAGTGGGCTTGTTAAATTTAGTAAAAATAAGATTAAGTGCTTTTTTAAGTTTTTACTTTTTTTTTTAGGTTATTAATAATATTATTATTAGGATAGCAGGAGGGATTAATATATTTTTTTACTAATTTATAGGCTAATTTTGCACGGGTAATTGCGGTTTATTAAATTATTATAAGTAGAAACTTAGGCTTTGCTGTAAACCTAAGTTAAATATACTAGCTGGGTTATATAAAGGGCTAATAGCTTTATTTTAAGAGGCAAAAGGATTTAACGCGGGCGCTTAAGGGGCGAAAAAATTTAATATAGGCGCTTAAGGGGCAAAAGCATTTAATATAGGTGCCTAAGGGGTAAAAAAATTTAATAATTTTTAATTACTGGTGAACGTCGCGGCTATAGGGGGCTTAACTTAATTATTAGTTAAAAAACCTTGGGCAGCATTCTTTTATATATTTTTTTACTTATTAGTAAACAGGCTTTAGGCTGCTATGTTTTAAATATTTTTAGCACTAGAAATAGGCTTATCTGGCACTATTTTTACTTTTAAAGAACTTTGTTAATTTACAGCTTTGCATAAATTTTTCTAAGATATTAATAACCTCTTTTTTCTTTAAAAGCGGTTAAGGCGGCCTGGCGTTTTTACTTTTAAGTTATTTATTTTAAATGCTTAAAAACAAGAGTTATTTACCTTAAATATTTAAAAGCCGTTAGGCTAACTATTATTATTATTTATAGTGTTTTTATTTTTAAAGTTATTATTAAAAATAAAGTTATTTTTTAAGTTTTCCGCGTCGGCGTTATTCTTAGACTTTATTATAGTTAGCTTAGACTTGTTAATTAATTTTAACTCTAAATCCTTATTTATGCGTAATATTAAGGCGCCTTTAATAATTAGTCTTAATTTTTAATACTTTTTTATTTTCCTAGTTTTTATTACCGGGAGGTCCTAGTTTACTATAGCTTAAAGTTAATAAGTTTTTATTCCTGCTATGTTAAGGCCCTTAAGTACTAGTAAAAGGTTTATTTTTAATAATAAATTTAAAAGATTTTAATTTACTATTTAATAAAAGCTGTAAGTAATAAAATTATTAAAAAATAATAAATATAAATAGCTCCCTCCTGCTACCTAAGTAAACTTATTATAATTTATTTTTTTTATTATTTATATTACTAGGCCTCTCCCTGGGGGAATAATATAAATAAAAATATTTAAAATATAATAACTTATAATAATAATTAAAAATAATAATTAAGTATTATTTATTTTAATAATCTTAATAGGGTGCAGTCTTAGCCTAGTAATAAAGTTAAATATAAAATTTAAGTTTAATATACCTAGTAAAACTATATTTTTTAATTTTTATATTTTAATAAATACTAGGTTTCCATTATATAAAACTATTTATTTATAATATATAAAAAACTAGTACTCCCCGTGCGCGTAAATTTATATAATTAGGTTAATAAGCACTTTTTTTACCTTAAAATCCCTATTAAAATTAAAATTATATAAGTATTTCTTGTGCCTGGATAACCTATTTATTATATAAATAATAAAAAATACTTTAAGGTTTAAAACTCGCGTTCCCTTTGGAGGGAAACTATAAATTTTAGGATTTTTAATTTATTTATTTAGCATAATTATAAGTTTTCTCCCTACTTTTAGATTATTTAAATTTATTTTCCTATTAACTACCCACGTCCACGGGCGGTTGTAGCTATTATTATTATATATTTAATATATTAAAAAATAATTATAATAATTATATTACTTTTAGTAATAGTTTACGCAGCTTTTTTTATTTTTTTCCTATTTTTTATTTTTTTTATTAATAATATTAGCGTAATCCTACTTTTAAATTACTTTAAGTTTTTTTATTACTAGTGCAAGTAAAAAAAAAGCTTATTTAATAAAGGTAATAAGTTATGTTGCTTACTAAAGTAAGGCTTGGGAGGCTTTATTTAAAAAAGACATAAGCTAATAAAAAAAAATAAAAATAACAAGAAGTAAAAATTAAAAGGTTTTATTTGGGAGAGACGTGAGCTAATAGTTTTAAATATTAAAATAAGGGGAGTAAAAAAAGATCTTGCTTGGTTGGTTACTTGCTAAAATAAAAAAAGGAAAAAAAATCTTAGTTAGTAAGATAAGCTAACTTGCTTGTTTACTTACTAAAATAAAAAAAAAAGATTTTAGCTAGGCCTTGCTTAAAGAAGGCTTGGTTAAAAAAAAAACGCCTGTTTTTAAAAATTACTTAAAAAATAAAGATTTACTTGCTGAATTGCTTGCTAGAATAAAAAAATAAGAATAAATTAAATAATAAAATAGGTAACAACTGCTTGCTATAAGGGTAGGCAGCGTTTGCTTAAAAGGAAGGTGTGTTATAATTATTACTCACGAAAATAAGGAAAACAAAAAAGAAAAAAAAAAAGATAGATGGATAACATAGGAAACACAGCTAGTAAAATTGCTATTAGTAAAAAACAGGAATATAAAAGGCGTAAAAAAAAAACATAGTATTAGGATAAGGCATAAGAAATTAAGTAAATTAATAATAAAGATAATTATATAACATAAAAATAAACATAATAAATATTAAAATAAACACCATAAACTACTCTAGGTAAGTTTTATTATATTTTTTTACTAAGTTTTCCGCGCCTTTAAGCTTAGATTTTAATAACCACTAGTTATTTTTTATTTTATAACTTATTTAGTAAACTAGGTACTTTATTACTAGTGTTTATTTACGCCTGGTATATACTATTTTCCTGCTAATAATCCTTTTAATTTTATAGTAATTTTTATTAGTTAAAAAGCCTTTATTAACTATTACGCCTGGCTTTATTAGCTATTAACTAAAAAAGTCCTTTTAAAAAGGTTTAAGTATTTATATTAAGATAACGGGGTGGATTTACTATTTTTTAAGGAAATTTAACTTATAAGCTAATTAACCTACTTAGTATATAATATAAAAAGGACCAGCAAACTACTAGCTAAGTTTTTTTAATATTTACTTATTTATAAAAATATTATATTTTTTATAAAAATATAATAGTATTTTGTTATTTATAATAAAAAATATTAGCTAATATTTATAATTATAATATTTTTTTATTTAAACTACTATAAATAATAAAGCTTTATAAGTATCTTACCATATTATAAAAAAGTAATTACCAAGTTATTTTAATAGGTTTTATCCCTAATAAAGTGGGCGGCTATACAGTAATTTATAGGGGCTATAACTAGTAAAGGATTTTTTTAAACTATTTAACACGGCCTGTATTAAGGGCAGGAGGGATTTTTATATGGTTTATAACTTAGGGTGTAATACTAACTAATAATATAATATAATTTTTATTATTTAAATTATTCTTTTAAACTATTTATTAGTTTATAAATAATATGCCGTGTTATATAATTATTAAATACTAAGGGCTTTAAAAATTACACACCAAAGGTTTAAAATAAACTTTAAATCTTAATTTAAGATAATTTTTTATAAAATACCCTAGTTTTTTAATTATATAAATT